TGGTTACATTGACACAAGATGGACACTTCAATTTTGCCAGTTGCTTAGAGTTGACATCCGTGACACTAGGATGGTGAATATTCAGACATGGCAGACAGTATTTTGAATTGCAAGCATTGCATTTGAGATGATTATTTTCTATTAAATGCTTTTCACAGCCAGTGCAATTCATGTTCTTAAATTATATACGGAGCAGGTATGATCTCAAAAATACAAAAAAAAAAGTCCAATTAAAATATTATATTATTTCTCGGCGCACAGTAACAAAGGCCCCTGCTGCATAAATATTACTCACTGCAAATGTTGTACACTAAGCAAGGCCCCGAGACTTGAGACGGAGTTTGTGTTCGTCGCGGTAAGAAGGTCGCAAGCGCCGTGGAGATGAGGGCGCTTACGCGTTTGCTTCAAACGGCTCACAAATATTTATTATGAAGGTATTAGTGTGAATCAACTTGCAGATGTTTATCTATCTTCGCATCCTAGATGCATTACAAGCACTAAGTTTTGTCACTGCGTGTAATTTATATTGTATATAGTCGCGGATTAACTTGTTATTATACCAAGGAAAGCACTAAATATGGATGAACAAAATGAATTGTGCCGGGAAAAACTGTGTACATCCAAACCGTAAGGTAGGTAAGTTGGAACTCGAAGATTAAAGATGCAGGTAGTACTCAACCGTGCGAATTGCCATTGCAGGCATGTACAACATTGTCTATATGTAGGTAGGTACTTATAATTGTAACAGTAGCAAATTACTGTTCGGTTTGAATGTTACCATACAAATGATTTTTGAGGGCTTTGAGTGGAGCATGAAAGATGTCAACATCATGGCATATCTCGATGTATGCATTTTTAATTCTGTTAAATGGTGAAGCTAATTTTGTTTTAAAGGGACAGTTAACGAATGATTTGATGGATTGGCGGGGGATTTTTCTGGGAACCTTTAACTTTTTAACATTTCCGCAAGAAGCTCTTGCGCAACAATATTGCCGTGAAGTAATTTGTGCAGAAATAAAATGTCCGCGATTTTTCTACGCTTTCTAAGGTATGAAATTTAAAGTATTTGAGACGAGTGTGGTAATCCGCACGGTAAGGACACTTCCTGTCTTTGAAAGCAAGAAACCTCATAAAATTACGTTGAATTCGCTCGATTCTATCAATGTGGACATTGCGGATTCCAGACTTGGGAACTGTATTCTAGTATACTTTGCACCAAACTCTTAAGTTTGAATCTTTCGTTTATTACATCTAGAGTAAATCTGAAGCGTTTGTTTGGTAATTCCGCTCAGATCAGTCCGATGTAAATCTGTTTGCTCGGAATATTTTGACCGACGTGAAAGATTAATAATAATAATTATTATTATTATCTGTCATTTTGTAGGGTTACATAGTTTCTTTTAGAGGTTAGAAATCAAAACACGGTTGCTCCGGCCGTTCAGTAATAGCAATTTGCTCAGATAAATCTGTGATCACGTGACCAAAAATCCGCCGAGTCTGCGATGCAAATGCCGAACGCAACCTGTTATTGCCAAAAAAAGTTAGGGAATAGGCCGGCTGAGCTGCAATCGCGATGGCCGTCGCATTCTGTGTACCGTTCGCATTCGCTGCGGCTACTGTTGCTATAGCGTTCTGATATCAACGTTGATTACTACTCTTTTAAGTTTATTGATTAACATTACCTGCGGGGGATAAACGCTGGGGTATACAGCGGGATGTACCTACAGTCGTACCTCAGTTCCAGAATACAAACTGTAGAGGTAAATGGTGTTAGATCATCGGATCTCATGTGGAAATGGGCGTTCCCCAGGGTTCAATTTTAGGACCCTTCCTGTTTCTAGTATATGTAAATGATTTGCCATTTTTTGTGGAAAATTTGTGTGAGATTGTACTATTTGCTGATGACACATCTTTATTATTTAACGTTGACAGGCGCAAAAACAACTATGACGATGTGAATAATGCTCTCTCGCAAGTTCTGCAATGGTTTAATGTCAATAATTTAAAGCTAAATGCTAATAAAACCAAGTGTATTCAATTTTCCTTACCTAATGTAAAAGTTGAGCATATTGGAATTAAATTAAATAATGAAAAATTAGATTTAGTAGACTCGACTACATTCTTGGGTATAACGATAGACTCAAAACTGCAATGGAGTCATCAAATTACGCTTTTGGCTGGTAAACTTAGTTCAGCAGCTTATGCCATAAGAAAGATAAGACAACTTACTGATATAGATACTGCCAGGACTGTATATTTTAGTTACTTTCATAGTATCTTATCATACGGCATTTTACTCTGGGGAACAGCAGCTGATATTGAAAGTATATTCATTTTACAAAAAAGAGCTGTGAGATCTATTTATCAATTGAGTAGCGGAATATCTCTTAGAGAAAAATTTAAAGAAATTGGCATTTTGACTGTTGCTTCTCAATTCATTTACAATTGCATACTCCTCGTTAAAAATAATATCAATTTGTATATCAAACACAGTAACGTGCACAATTTTAACACAAGGAATAGAAACAAGCTTGCATTGCCACCCTACAGGTTACAGAAGGTTTACCGATCTTTTATGGGTCAAGGTATACATTTTTACAATAAAATTCCTGATGCTGTTCTTGAGTTACCCATAAATAAGTTCAAATGTCCCATTAAAAGTTGTTTACTTAAGAAAGGCTATTATACTATTAAAGAATACTTGAATGACAAAACTGCATGGCTGTAACTGCAAAATTGTTTTGTATTTGTTTGCAGTGTCGTACAGATAAATTACCTTAACTCTAAGTAACTATTTGCAGTTTGGTTCGAGTGGTTATGGGTAGTCATGCTCTCTTAAAAATCTCTTCGGCGGTGTCGTGTGAGGCGGGTCGTTGCGTTCCCTAAAATATGGTTGAGCGAAGCGATGGCTGGTTCATGCGTCATGCTCGTGAACGGGTGCTGCCAGCGGAGATGAGTCTGCTCTATACTACTTTATTATTGTAATGATAATTATTATTAAATTTAGATTGTATTTTACATTACACAACTTGTATTTATACTGTATGACACAGCAATCAATATGTAAGTGAACATTTATTATTTATCTGATAAAGATTTAATGGCGGTGTGGATTCTGGTATGGTTTTCTAGACCTGAACTTGGTTTTGCAGCGGTGTATCCTTGGCATTCTTTATACAGACTGAAAAGGGGGGACTGATGTTGGATTTGGTTTTGGGTTGGGAGAGTAGTGCCAGAATCGACAACAGTGTATGGGTAATCAATCACATGCATGTGTCCTGCCGTTATGTTTATAATTTGTTATAATAATGTACTCTGGTACTTATATATTTTTTTTTCTATGTTTGTAACATAGTATCCATTTGTGGTTATGAGTAGTCATGCTCTCTTAAAAATCTCTTCGGTGGTGTCGTGTGAGGCGGGTCGTTGCGTTCCCTAAAAAATGGTTGAGCGAAGCGATGGCCGGTTCATGTGTCATGCTCGTGAACGGGTGCTGCCAGCGGAGATGAGTCTGCTCTTGCTTCATTGGATACTATTAACCGTTGTACTAAACTTTAATCGTTCATTTTTTTTTGCCTAAACAGCAGGACACGGCATTCCTAAACTTTGTTAAACCAGTTTTTTATATAGTCATAATTTTTATTATATTAGCATTTGTAATGGAAAGTGACTTTATGAGTTACCTCATATTAAAGTCATTTTTCAATTTGACGACTCTGTATACAATACAGGGAGAAAAAAACAGCCCTTGCTGAGTTTCTTGCCGGTTCTTCTCAGTACAAGGTCTCCCGCCGTAGATTTGCGAACCGATGGCGTAGCTTTTCGACATTCACAAGTGCTTGTAACAGCCTAGACTGAATAAACGATATTGAATTTTGAATTTTTTTTTTGAATTTTGATGTTGTGAGACCGCGTGGTGGGGATAAACCACCGCTTGACTGTTGACAAATTGAATTGAAAATTGACAAAGATTCATACAAACTTTCATTCCCTATTTTATCCTCTTGGGGGTAGAATTGATCAAAATCCTTTTTTAGCGGATGCCTACGTCATAACATCTACCTGCATGCCAAATTTCAGCCCGATCCGTTCAGTGGTTTGGGCTGTGCGTTGATAGATAGATCACTATGTCTGTCAGTCAGTTTTGAATTTTATATATATACAAAAACTCTTTATTGTACACCACGAAAAACATTGAACACAAAACCATCTAGTAAAATTAATGCAATGGGCGGCCTTAGCGCTTAAGGCGATCTCTTCCAGGCAACACTTGGATGGAGAGGATTAAAAGGAAGCGGGAGAGACGGCGGTGTAAATCACTAATAAAATATACAATATTAGTAAAATACATACATACACCATACACACATACATATAAAATATACATAATGCGATTCGAATAAGAACAGGAAAGCCTCTATCTGTCAAATGTCGCTTGAAAAGTACGGTTTTTAGCACTCTGCTTAATAAATATTGATAATTAATATCGGTTGATATTTTTTTTCACTTATTGAGCTTTTGCCATGAATGGTTGATAACCTAAATCGTCAACCAAATGTCACTAAGTTGCGTTCAGAAACTCGATTTCAAACTTTCGTTTACATAAAGGATGCATGTTCGTATGAGACCTAGTAATAGTGCATGATTATTAATAACTACTCCGTCGGTAATGCAGAAATGAGCGGAATAGAAGAGCTAGATTCTGATTAATGTTTTTTCTCACAGTCTTAATAAATAAATATTATTAAAAATCGGTTTTTTTTCTCTCAATATTAGTAATTAAAAGTTATTAAAAAAATCTGATGCTTTTTCTCACTTAATCTTAGTAAATAAGTTTTATTGCATAAAAACTTTTTTTGCTCACTCTACCTATTTGGTTTGAATTGACAGCTATGACATCACAATATGGCGCCCAGTCGGTCCTATTCTTAGTTGAATCGCATTATAGTACACATAATTTTTAAGGTTACTATTCGTTTATGTTTATTGATCAACATTACCTGCGGAGGATAAACGCTGGGATAGACGGCGGGGTGATGTGAGACCGCATGGTGGGGATAAACCACCGCTTGACTGTTGTTCTGTGCTGCGGTAGCAATGGCCGTCGCATTCTGTGTCGCATTCGCAGTCGCCGCCGCGGCTACTGTCGCTGTCGCACTCTGGTTACAACGGAAAATTTTCGTTTTATTAATAGTAATTTATGTTTCCAACTAAAACAGTACCATCCCTATTAGGGATGGGTAAAGTAACCGAAATTCTTTTTAGTACGTCAATATACTAATCTTCTATGTTAAAAAATGAATTTTCTAATTATTAACACAGGGATATCTCCCGAATGGCGAGTCGTGAGAGAAAAAGTGACTGGACAATTCTTGTCTCTACAAGAATACAATTGTATGATCTCCAACTTTTGTCTGACTTATTTTCACGACAAAACTTAGTTTCCGAGAAAAATGTAAAAAACATAATTTTGTAAGTTTGACCTTGAATATATTTTTTTGCAGAAGTAATGATCGAAGGGGATTTTTGACATTTTATTTATAATGATATATTTAACGTTTCTGCCAATTTTCAGCTCTATGCGAATTATTCCATAGTTATGGACTTATTTTTGTCTATTTTGACTGGACTAATATTGATGCTATATAAATAAAAATGCCAAAATTGGTAATGTATTTTTGTCAAATAGCCTTTTGTCCAAACAGTAGTAAATTAAACAAAATCTTTCCATACAAAAAAAACGAGTAAACTAAACTCATGTGTATACCATGCGTAATAGGGTATTTGACAGTATTAAAAATAAAGTGCCAATTGTTAGCATCTATGTTAAGAATGAATACTGGCAGGAGTTTTTACTATTTTTACCATTAAAATATTCATAATTTTACCAAAAACTCACGAAAAAGATAATAGTTTTCTTGTCACGTGACCCAAAACGCTTGGGATTGGCGAAGCCTAAAATGACGTCACACGCAAGTAAACTTCCGGTTACAGTGACATTACATTGTATCGTTTGACGTTTTAATAACAGTCGTGTAACGTCACACACTAGTAAGACGCCGTATTGTCCAGAAAAACGTTATCGCGGCAACTTGAAAATGGAGTTTTTGATTTGGTTATTTTTATTGAAATACACAACAGAATGATGAATATCCCCTTTTTACGGACTCCATAAACATTAGTCAATAACGCGAGATCGTTTTCTAAAACTTGTCAAACACCTTATTATGATATTACCTTTGGTCTTTGGTGATAGTGATGCGTCGAAGCAGCGGGCGTGGACTCGCTCACTGTCATTTGCTTCATCGAAGCTGTCAATTGTTTTTCTAATGCTGCAAACATTAAAAATAATAAATCAATTCTTTTATATTTACCCGACTGCTAAGGAATTTTCAATAACCCACCTTGGGTTACTGAAAATCTTTGTAAACAGATGAGTTAGTGGAATAAGTTTCTCTATCACACACAATCTCTAACGAAAGACAAGTTTATAAATAAACGTTATTATAATATCTATCTATCATAAACATCATCAGCCTTTTATGTCCGCACTGCTGACCTTAGGCCTTCCCTTTAGATGGAATAGGGAGGTTAGGCCATGGCACGGGCTCAGTGCGGATTGGCAGGTGTTAACGACTGCGGATGCAACCGGGACCAACGGCTTAACGTGCCTTCCGAAGCACGGAGGAACTCGAGATAGTAAATTTTTGGTCACCCATCCAATGACTGACCACAGCGAATGAATTTTTTTGAATAGCTCCATATAAACGTTGTATAATCTATATGTGTGGTCCGCCTAGCACCGCTCAGATAGACCGAGGATTCGTTGACGGTCCACACGTCAATATGTCACGGATTTTACGCCAGCGCCGATATTAAAATCGGGCTGCTCTAGCACCGTGCAATCATAAAATATTATGTTTTTATTTTTTAAGCATTTAACTGCTAGATGTTTAAATCTAAAGAAAAGTTTTTACTAGAAAAATATCCACGCGGAACAGGCAGCGGACGGGACTCGAACCAGCACCCTTCGCAATCCGGGCGAATGCACTGACCAATTATGCTACCACGGCCCTGATGGCCGCGTCGAAATTTTCCTAGTCTTAAGCTGCAAGGCAGCGCCCGTCCGCTACCTGGTCCGCGTGGATTTTTTTCTAGTAAAACTTTTCTTTAGACATAAAATATTATAAATATTTATCAATATTCGTAAGTGGAATTCTTTGCCCGCGCACGTGTTCCCTCCTTCCTACAATCTGGGGTCCTTTAAGAGCAGTAAGCCATTAAGTTGGTGTAGCAGTTTATTAATATTCGTTTATTATTATTCTATCTTCGCGTTTGGACTTTATCACCACTTAACATCAGGTGGGGTAGAGTCATTTATTTGCCTACCTGGCTATAAAAAAAACTATTTTTAATGAAGCAGTAAAATTAATTTCGATCTGTTTACCAGTAAGGATCACGATCCCCTAAAGCTTAAGGTATTATTATGTTACTTATACTCGAGACTCGAGATAGAAGATTTTTGATCACCCATCCAATTACCACTTCCATTGACCACTACGAAAGTTGCTTAAGCTAATCACCCGTGCCATCGATCACACATAATATTAGTGTGGATTACAATACAGGATAATATTAGTGATGATTACAATACAGGATAATATTAGTGTGGATTACAATACAGGATAATATTAGTGTGGATTACTATACAGGATAATATTAGCGTGGATTACTATACAGGATAATATTAGTGTGGATTACAATACAGGATAATATTAGTGTGGATTACAATACAGGATAATATTAGTGTGGATTACTATACAGGATAATATTAGCGTGGATTACTATACAGGATAATATTAGTGTGGATTACAATACAGGATAATATTAGTGTGGATTACAATACAGGATAATATTAGAGTGGATCACAATACAGGATAATATTAGTGTGGATTACAATACAGGATAATATTAGTGTGGACTACAATACAGGATAATATAAGTGTGGATTACAATACAGAAGGTATTGTGTAATGTCGTAACTCACCTGCAGGCGTGGAGGTGACGGGTTCGGCGACTGGTTGACTGGGCGCGGGTTCGACACTCGTCGGTAGACTCTCATTAAGCTATTACATGTGAAACAACAAGACGATTGGTTAATCAAATAGTTTGTTGATGGTTATATATGCAAAATGATCAAGATTATGAATAAGAGCAATGTCGCATGACGTCAACAATAAATATCTTCAAAAACTGACCATAACTCGGTTTAGACCAAAGTGGCGTATAAGCGATTTTGCGTTTCATCTTCATCATCAGCCTATTAATGTCCCTACTGATGGGGCATAGGCCTTCCCTGTGGATGGAATATGAAGATTGGGCCATGACCCACCACGCGGGCACAGTGCGAATTGGTGGGTGCTAACGACTGCAGATGCAGCCGGGACCAACGGCTTAACGTGCCTTCCGAAGCACGGAAGAACACGAGATTTTTGGTCACCCATCCAATGACCGACCACTGCGAAAGTAGCTTAACTTCAACACGCTAACCACCCGCGCCATCGAGCTTCTCATCATCCTCATTTCGCCTTTACAATTTCGATATAATAAATATCAGTATTTATACTCACAATGGCGTCTGTAGCGGGCAAACAGGGTGGTGGCGATGCCGTTTGTTCTGTATTCGCCGCTGGACTCTGACAAAACATTATATAGACTATTTTATTTATTTATTTATTTTTGAGAAACCAACAGATATTAGACAATTGAACTTAGTAATAAGAATGGCCAATAATAGGTTTCTACGAATTAATTAAGATAGAAAAACTGTCGTTGTGCAGGCTAAACTAAGGTTACACGTACGTATGCATATAATAATGCCAGGTCGCGTGAGAACATTGCAAGGCGGCTATTAAATAGGTCTTCAACGAAATCTATATCATTTTTACGTTAGCAAGTTTGTAAAAGATCCAGAAAGTCAGGCACAAAGAAAAAAGTGAATAAATCTGCGCTCTATGTGTTTCATACATTATTTGTATGAATGAAAAAAGTTAACGTGTTTTTATTATACGGATACAATTCTCATTTATTTAAGCTGTTGAATAAATCGAGCTCTATGTGTTTCATACAATTATATGTATGAATGAAAAAAGTTAACGTGTGATAATTAAAACACACAACACAAAAGGGATAAAAATTTTATTTATTAAGCTGTTGACACGCAAGAGATTATCTTTATAATACAAGCAAATATAATAAAAGCATCTCATTTTATATTAAATTTTATCGGATACACCATTCTGCCTATATTTGTAAGGATAATTTTGATAAATTTTCAATTAATCAAGGCACAATGATATGATCTTTTGCCTTTTATAAAACTGATATCATAAAGAGTAACAAAAATTGTAAAGCTAACGTTTCAATGTGCAAAAATACAATTGAGTTATATGTATAATGAAATGATATTATACGGTATTACTCGACAGTTTTTAGCTTTAGAAAGCGAGAAAAATTCTCAACTCCAAGCCTTGTTCGTAGCACGCGACGCGTTGATTTTTACTCGCTTTAGAGTAACATTTTAAGAGTTATACCATTTGCGAGTACCGACAGTAAAAAAAGTCCTGTATTTCTAGAACCATAAGGTTCACAATCTCTTGTAATGTTTCAGGTTCTATAGCATCAAAGGCACACTTCCCCACCGTCCAGCATTATGTCCAAAAATGACATTTGTCACTACAGACATAAGGACTATAATCACCTGCATATCCTGTAACGTGTCTGGTTCTATTGCATCAAAGGCACACTTCCCCACCGTCCAGAATTATGTCCAAAAATGACATTTACCACTACAGACATAAGGACTATAATCACCTGCGTATCCTGTAACGTGTCTGGTTCTATAGCATCAAAGGCACACTTCCCTACCGTCCAGCATTATGTCCAAAAATGACATTTATCACTACAGACATAAGGACTATAATCACCTGCGTATCCTGTAACGTGTCAGGTTCTATAGCATCAAAGGCACACTTCCCAACCGTCCAGAATTATGTCCAAAAATGACATTTATCACTACAGACATAAGGACTATAATCACCTGCGTATCCTGTAACGTTTCAGGTTCTAATGCATCAAAGGCACACTTCCTCACCGTCCAGCATTATGTTCAAAAATGACATTTATCACTACAGCTATAAGGACTATAATCACCTGCGTATCCTGTAACGTTTCAGGTTCCAAAGCACCAAATTGCACGTCCAGAAATACTTCCCCGCCGCCGGGCATCTCCACCGCTGACGATGGAATCTGGAACAAATAATTAGGCAAAGATTAAGTAAAACTTAAATTTAAAAGAAACTGGTAGTAGAAATAAATCCACGCGGTTCATGCAGCTGACGGGACTCGAACCCGTAACCCCCGCTATCCGGGCGAATGCACAAACCAACTGACGACACTGTATGAAACAAAACAAACAAAACAGGAAGAAAAATAGCCCTTGCTGAGTTTCTTGCCAAATCTTCTCAGTACAAGGTCTCTCGCCGTAGATTTACAAATCGATGGCGTAACATTTGTCTTTCACTAGAGCTTGTAACAGCCTAGACTGAATAAATGAGTTCGAATGGCCGTGTCGAATTTCTTCTTATATTTCTTATACAGCAAGACAGCACCATCTCTTCGCATTGTAGGTAACCCACAATGTCAAATGAATACCTTTACAAGTATTAAACTATGTGTCTGCCTTGCAGTTTAAGAAAGGCTAATATTTTCTATACATTTAAACATCGAACAGTAACATGCAATAAAAAACGAGCGAGCCTTACAGTGCTCGCGTTTGATGTGTAACATTTGAAACCTCACCTTATATTAGTAAAAAAAGAAATAAAACCTACTACAAAAGCAACAAGCCATTTGAACATTATGTTCTAAAATCAAATAGCGCGCGCTTTCGCGACTTACTGTTACAAGCTTCCGTCCCATTACACGAAATCACTCCCACAAATTGAAGAAAAGCGAGAGGAAAGATGTCGCACATCAAAAATTGTAACTAGTATAAATACCTTAGAAGGAGGCGGCACTCTCGCCCTCTGAGGCTTCCGTTGACTGCTCACGTCTGTAGAGCCGTACACGCCATAGTTTGTAGTATATACGCCTACAAAACAATTAATATATTGTTACTAGCTGACCCAGCGAACTTTGTACCGCCATAAAAACAGGGGCAGGTTAAAAGAGAAAATTTAGGGCCGTATGTATTTTTAATACCACATTATAAAAACATAAATATTGTTCAAAAATTTTAGGGGTGTGCAACGTAGTATTCTATCAATTTCCTGGGATAACATTCCTCCTAACCCATATGAGAACACTACGTTACAATACCCAATAATTTGAATTTTGGCGCGAAGGCGCAATGTAGGTTTCAGAACACTACGTTACAGGTGGACAACCATTATCACTTAAGGATATGAAAAGTAGATAGTAGCCGATTCTCAGACCCACGGAATATGCACATAAAATTTTATTAAAATCGGTCAGGCCATTTCAGAGGAGTATGGTAGCTAACATTGTGACACGAGAATTTTATAGCGTTTGGTTGCCAAGTGAATAAAGAGACTACATGGTAAAGTATATATCTTCGAACGAAGCACTTCATATAATAATGATCGAACTACACTTAAGGTAAGTTTGTTTGATCACATTATATATGATATTGTTTTAAACTTTCATGGTCACTAACATTACCGCTATTAATGGGATTAACGGGATTTTTTACTTCAGTTACTCCGTGATCGGCGCTTGCAACAGTGCCGAAATATCCGAGACTTTTAATAAACAAGGTACATGGTAACAATCCCGTTATTAGCTATAATAATATATTGTTTTAAACTTTTCTGATCACTAACATTATAGTAATATAAGTTATTTAAGGGATTGATACTCTGCGATCATGGCGTGTCAGGGTGTGCGTAATTGAACTACTCCGAAACGGCTCGACCGATTTTCGTGAAATTTTATATGCATATTCAGTAGGTCTGAGAATCGGATAACATCTATTTTTCATCCCCCTAAATGTTAAGGGTGGTCCAACCTTAATTTTTTTGTCATTTTTTATGTTTTTATTTTTTATACATCATACAAAAATACATACAACCCTTTTTCACTATTTTTTATGGCGGTACGAAGTTGGCTGGGACAGTTAGTATTACTATAAAACAATTAATGTTTACTGTTTGTTACATTGTCCATTTAGGTATTAAACTGCTAGATGTATGTTTACAGGTTACATGTCATTATAAAGAAGAAATATAATTTTAGACAAGTGCGAATTTATTCTAGGGCCAAGCGACATAAAGATATTTGTTGCGTTAAATCAAAATATAGGTCATATTTTGAATTATAGCGTTAAGAAACGGCGCAAGTGACAGTTTTCGTATAACAAGCGTCTATAGGGTATAGTGGCTGCTTATCATCAGGCGTGCCATATGTTTGGTCGCCACCCTTTTTACATAAAAAATCGGAAAAGTACACGAAGGGTTTCGTGCTAAAAACGGCAAAACATCACGTCTGTTATACGGGAACCCAGTTAATTAATTATTTTATTAAATTTTTAGTGTTCGTTGTTATAGCAACAACAGTAATACATCATCTGTCAAAATTTCAACTGAGTCTTAGTAATAGGGTCCCGTTTTACCCTGTACCTCTTATTAATAAACGAAGATTAACTTGGATAATTGTTTCTTAGGTTTTCAAGCACATCACTCATAAAATAAAACTAGTTTTATAAAAGTCTTTCGAAGGTAGCTCGACAAAATTAAATAAAAAATCATTTTGACGAAGCAGCCTGTAAAGGCTGCGAAACGTCAATAAATAAAAATTTCGTGCATTACCCCTTAAAAACTAGTTTTATTTAAGCTTGGATAAGTTATTCCATGTTTTGTCTCTGGTCATCGAATGACAAATGGAATTTATCATTCGATGCTTATTCTTCGTTTATTAATAAGGGGGTTAGGGTACGGATTCCTGATAAACGAATAAGTGTGTAAAAAAGACATACTATTGTCGTGTCGTTGCGACTGTTGCGTGAGCTGAGAGAGATACTGAGACTGCGCCGCTGACAAACTGCCCGACATGCCCATTGGCTGAAATTATAATAAAACAATTATATTATTATAAAAAAAATCCCAAATTAATTTAAAACTCACTAGAACAGAGTGTCAATGTGTTATTCTTTTCAATTCATGGGAATTTGGAATAAAGAACTAGAGTATCCTGGCATACTTGTATAGTAGGGTGTTTCATTTTTCCAAAACTTTGATTTTCATGTGACATTGATTTTTACTGGAGTCTCAAACAACTGGTACAAAAGACATATAGGCCAAATTTCATGAATATTGAAGAATATTTAGATGTTGTACATGTTGGCTTTTTTTTATTGCAGTAGTGAAATATGTTATACTGAAATGTTTTTAAAATAATGTTTGTTTAGAGCCCTAAAACGGAGGTGTAGATATTTTAATTTTAAATTTATCCCTATCATCCAATCTAGAAAATCCTAAATCCGAACCCAATTCAAAACAGTGTCAATTATTCTGATTTTTTGAATAGTTTGATACATTTTTGTTTTTTTTTTTTTATCTTTTTGAAAAGTGTTGTAAATCACAATGGAGTAGTCCTTACACCCCTATTTTCCGGAAGTTCCAAAGTTTGTTGAGTTTAACGATAATTAAAATGATGATGAGATTCCGGTTCATGGGTTTCTTGATGTGAAACGAGCGATGGAAGTTTACTACATTCGAAATGTCCTCAAAAATGGAAGAAAGAAGATTCAATGACAAATTATGTGTATGCTCTTAAGAGCATGAGGTCAATGATCATGCAGATAGAGGAATTTCTTTGAACTAAAATAGGGGCTGTGAAGAATCCTTGAAATTACAGGACAAAAGTAACCAAGTGTTCGAAAGAAGGAATTGTACAAAGTTGGTTAATATAGTTATATGTAGTTTTTATAAACAGCAATGAAACTATAAAATGTCTTTTGAAAAGTTTGATGACGTGCGCAACCTCTAAAAAATTATCTCTAATGTTCTTGAAATTTGGCATGGATAAATTTTAAACCATTAAGACTCAGGCGGCGAGCAATGTAAGCAAAAAAATTAAATTATTCTTTGTGCTCAACAAAATGAAGCACCCAACGGTGCCCCTGTTAACGACAACAAAATATGACGTTTACGAAGACGACGGCGTAGTTCCAATTTCCACCACATTGATACACATCGTTGTGTCGCTGAAGTGGCAATGGGCAGGCCACATCGCTCGAGGATCTGACAACCGTTGGGTAAGAAAGGTCCTCGAGTCCGTACCGGGCGACGCAGCGTGGGTCGGTCCCCCCAACAAGGTGGACTGACGATATCGTCAAATGTGGTGGGAGCCGCTGGATGAGGATAGCGCAGTCTATTAGGGATGGCCTATGTCCAGCGGTGGACGGAGAAAGGCTGATGGATGGTTGTGTCCCACTGTGTGTGTGGGTAGTAGTGGTGCTGACCTGGTGATGGTAGGCCATGGGGGCAGGGTCGGGCGCGTGCTGCAGCGGGCTGCCCCCCGCCCCCACGCCCACGCCGGGCCCCACGCCCACCCCCGGCCCCACGCCCGGCTCTACGGGGCCCACACCGGGCCCCACGCCCGGAGACTGCCGGCTGCCACCGCCCATCGCCTGCAGTGCCCAAATATAATAGGTAAACACAACGAGCTCATGTACTCAATGCTTCAGGCTAACTTCAGTTCGCTACTTTACAAAGTCGACGTAAGTCATAAAAATTACAGGCATTTTATTAAAATTGTCCGTATCTCTACAGACATACGGACAATTGTAACAAGATACATCTTACTCAAACGAAAATTACATTGTAAAATAAGGGTATTTTTTTAAATCGACATATTTGATAGATTGTCGGTTTTACTTGATGTGAGATCAAGGCTTTAATTGTAATATTTTGGTTATAAGATACAAAAAGAAGAGTTCTTACAAAGAAGAATTTGTAAAGAACGGTTAATATTTTCCCTTAAATAATACTAATTTTGCGTTTGAAGAAACTAGTACCGAACATCCAATCAATGAAATCGGTGCAGTAAATGGCTATATATGTCGACTTGATGAAATAAGACCCAGATGAACGAGCGACAACGCGCGTAAAAAGTTTGTCAGATGATCGCGATCGTTGTAGGTATTTCGATACGCGCGTATTGTTGCGTACAATCGTATGAAACAGCGAAAAATGGATGAGGGTAGCTGTGTGTTATCGCTTGTCATCTGAACTTCTTTGAGACGAGATCACGCGCGACCATCTAAACTTAGCCTCAAACAATATGCTTAAATACACACTATCGCGAATAGAATATAAGAATTCATAGCAACTTAGGAAACACAATCTCCCCAAAAATTAAATAAGCGAAAAATCTATCACCCGCCAAAACTATCGCAACATTATACATACTATCTAGGCTTAAAGTAAATATTGATGTAGATTCTGGTGTGACTCTCTAAAGTTTAAACTAAATTTAACATCAGTCTCTCCTTTCCATTCTGTATAGAGAATGACAAGGATACACTGTTGTCAAATTTGAGTTTAGAATTTAGAGAATCATGCCAGAATTGACATCATTATAAAACTTTTCTCAAATAAATAATAATTAATAATTGAGACACCACCACAGATACTCAATGAAAATTAGTAATAAAAATTGACAACAAAACTTTGTATTTAGACGGGATGTCATCGATAATTTAGTTTTAATCTAAAAAACAAAAAAAAAGTTGCAAAAATCTAATGAAATATGAAACCAATATTGATGAAAAGTACTTACGTCTACGATTGGATGATGCGCGTTGTGGTATGTGTAGGTTGGAATGTTCTCCGCCGGCCCGTTGGTCTCCGGCGTGTCCCAATCCTCCTGGCAACGGATAAACAACTTAGAATATTTAAAAAAGAACATCAATATCATGATCTTTCTAGTTCTGTACCTCTTAAGAAAAACAAATGAATCCCACTTTTTTCTGTCTGTAAAGACCCTTTATCTCGGTAACGCGTGAAGGTATCGAGTTGAAATTTAAACCATTTACTCAAGTCTGCGGTCCCTTGAAGTTTTGATAGAATCAAACTTCTAAGTTAACTTAAAAACAAAGATACAGGCGTTAATATTATGTCTGTCTGTCAAGACCCTTTAACTCGGACACGTGTGGAGATATCGAGATAAAATTTAAACCATCTACTCAGATCTACGGTCTCTTAAATCTATGAATACATAAAAATACTAAAACATCAACTAGCAAGAACTTTGATGGAAAAGCAACCAAACTATACATTTAAGAGACTAAAGAGACGTGCTCCTCAAGATCTTCTCTAACACAAACACAGAAAAGTCAAAATAGATGAACATATCATTGGGTCATGTACCATGAACGACATCTTTTTTCAAATTCTTAAAATCCAGCTTAATGTCGACAAGACAGATCGCAAGAAAAAAAAAGACTTAAAAAAAATCTATGAAAAATTCAAACTTACCGTTGCATTGATCTGTGAAGTGTCCACCTCGACCGCGTTCTGTGCACTCGAGCTGGGCGTGAAAACCTGCAAACAACGATAGTTCTAACAACCCATATCAATAAGTTACGTTTATAACATACCAAAACTGTACAGCAGCTCTTATAAATAGAAATAATAATATAAATCGTTTAAGGGCCATAATAGAACGCTCATTTGCTGAATTATTTAACACGTTTCAGAGAACTGATCTTACGTTATTTACTGATGCTTATGAAGTCCATAAACAGTGTATGTTCATCATTCTGTTGTGTATTTCAGTAAAAAATCTTAATCAAAAGTTAAGAAAGAACGTTTCTCTGGATATTATGGCATCACACTGGTATGTGACGTCACACACATGTCGCAATAAAATGTCAAACGATACAATGTAGTGTCAACTTGACTGGAAGTTTACTAGCGTGTGATTTCATTTTATAGTCTTCGCCAATCCCAAGCGTTTTCGATCACAGAATCAGCATTTTTATTGCAACAGTGCGACAATGAAGATGTCACCTGATCACAGCATAAAAAAAAATTCTATTTAACGTTTCTTTAAGGTATTGGTTCTCTCAGAATAGTCAAATCACTCCTAATCATCATCATCATCATCATCATCATCATCATCATGATACTTTATTTTTCATGCTGTCAAATAGCATATTGTATTCAGAAAAAAAAAAATCCGGCTCGAAGGACCAACAAACTTAACAGTACCTAAATTATTCTTAATTAATATTAACTTAGCAAATTATATATTAAAATTTAAACAGCCAACAAATTTTAGTTCAATAGTATGGAAATTTGAAAATATTCGGAGATCTATATAAATGCGACAAAACAACCCTTTTGCAGGTTCAGAGACATTTTCAAATATATTTAGTACTATTTTAATAAAGTACGCTACGTTAAGAAAAGCGGCAGAAATAAGTTAGATTTTATGTTATTGTTACCTTGGTGTCTGAAAGAGATCCTGACCATTCTTCGTTGTCCCAGTCTTCTGTTGTAGGAAATGTGTCGCCCATATTGCCACCTGATTGAGAAAACAGATGTTATTTTACGATACTCAAAGTGTCATCAAACCAGTTGGAGAACGCTATATATTGTCACAAACGCGCTCGAAACGGAACCGCGAAAGTGCTAGAGATCGAATGTGCCAGAGCACCGCGGGTCGCGATATAGCTCATTCTAAAATGAGCCTTATGCAGTGCGGCGTAAGGGAGAAAGTGCAACGACATCTGCACTTGTTTACAAGTTATGCGCGTTACCTGCGTAGGTGTAAGTACTCGCGGGTGCTAGCTAATTCTCAATTTAACAGATATTTTCTAGAATGCGTCGATATAAGCGCGATTGGCGCCGCGCAGAGACAGTTGAGATTCAATAGCGATTTCGGAGCGAATCCAAAGGCAACAAAAGTGTTCAAGTGCGATAGTTAGAGACTTGTATAGTGAAATACAGTGTTTAGTGAGTGTTTTGTAATTAACATTGTGTGTTAATTGTGTGAACTGTGTGGTGAATAAATAATTGTCAAGCGTGAACTGGCATTTAATTTCGAACCCCACCGCAACACGTAACAATATGTATACAGAAAAGTAACAAGATTCTTCTTTTTCACCGTGTATAATGAATTTTGCATGAATGTACATATCAACTGATTGTTATAAGAGTGAAAGGAAAACATGGGCCAGCTAATTTTTTCACGCATGCAGTCAATGGTGTCGATTCTGGCACGATTGTCTAAACTTAAAACTAAATTTAACATCAGTCTCTCCTTTTCATTCTATATAGAGCGTGACAACCATCCACTATTGTCAAAATTAAGTTAAGGTATAGAGTCATGCCTGAATCTACACCAGTATATTGTTTACCAGTTATAGAAACGTTTTACTGAAAATAAAACGGTTATTAAACATACTTACCTTATTCGAAGCCTTATAAATACATGAGAGTAGCATACTTGATTTCCGGTCTTAAATCTACATCGCTGCCGTGATTGGCTAGCTTCGTCCAATCAGAATTCACTTCCGGTTCGCGCCATTTCCCAGCCCTGTATTACCAAGGCTTTTGTGGCTGCCTAATTTGTTCGTCATTAAATCTCGAATGTATATCACCAGGCAGTATTTTAAAATATTAGGCTTCGAATAAGGTAAGTATGTTTAATAACCGTTTTATTTTCAGGTAAAACGTTTCTATAACTGGTAAACGATATACTGGTGTAGATTCAGGCATGACTCTATACCTAAACTTAATTTTGAGGCGTCGGCGACGTCGGCCACCGCCCACGGCCTCGCGCCTGAAGGGGCCTCGCAAAAAAATTTTACAAGTTACCCATTTATTTTCGTTTCTCCGGGCTTGGCTTAGGTAGCCGACCCCGAACGATTCGAGGAAAAAGCTAAGCAGATGATAATGACTTTCATTAATTTCGAACACGTTCGTGATAGAAGCGAGTAGTACTTTACGGGTATTCAGAATCGTCTGTCTGGCAACACTATGAATCAACAATAAAACTTGTTTACTCATACGTTATTTTATAATTTAGCTCACTTAATTTAACGGTTGTTTACTGCGAAGTAAAATAGGCCTCGCGAACTTGATGTCGCCGACGTCCACATGTGGTCTAGCGCCGCCACTGCTAGGAAAGTACGATTTTTCTGTCTATTGTTGTTGAAAATCGTGATATATTCGGTATAGTGTAACATAGTCGTGTGTGCATTAAGCGAGTGTCACGCAGTCCCCTTTATACCTATGAATATACATAAGAATACTGAGGCTCAAGTACGAATTTTCACAGTTCCGCAATCATAATAGGCATCGTCAAATTGTGTATGAAAAAAATCTAGTTTGTTGTTACGTCCGATAGTTCCAGATTAGTAGTAATATAGTGCAACACTAATACCCGTATTCATAAACATTACTATGAGGTCTCACAGGGTGCGTTAACGCACAGGGTCCGAAAAACCTATTCATAGACAATACTTGAGTGGCGACCGGCACTATGCGTCCCTTATAATGAACGCACAGACAAGGTAGCCTGCTAGCTGTATTACGCAACGCATAGTGCAATATTGTTCTTTACTTTTTGTCTTCGTCAAAAATTTTAGGTTATTTGCGTTGACTGTTATTTGCTGTTCGAGGTTTTGTTTTTTCTTTGTTTGCGGCTGTATACGAAAATTATGGCGTTCTTTTACAATGGATTACAGTAGTGAAGAAGAATTTGATATACACGGTGGCCGGGGAGTTGACGTTCAAAAGTAAAATTTAGATACTTTATGATGAGGAGTATCCAAATCACCCCCATGTATGTTCTACGATTTTGCGTACTTTTCGAGTTATAATTTTTTTAAAGTTTTTTTCGTAATTTTTACCTAACATCGGTTTTCGATTTTTTTCTCATTCTGTTGGACGTTTCTGGTTCAGTTTTTTTTAATAACTGACTAACATAGTCTAACCTATCATCCTAAAACTTATGGTTTATCTAGGCATTGCAGAATTCACTTAGAATTTGTTCGAAAGTTCAAAATTACGATTTCAGCTCAGTACACACAAATTTTCAAAGTATCAAAAAAAATGTAAATGGGGGGATTTGGAGTTCAAAGAAACTTTCTGAAACATTAAACTTTAAAACAAGGTCACATAAAGATAGGGTTAATGGGGGTTTATTTTCTGTAATTGACCTTCAAAGTACGCAAAATCGTAGAACATACATGGGGTGATTTGGATACTCCTCATCATAAAGTATCTAAATTTTACTTTTGAACGTCAACTCCCCGGTCACCTTGTATATATCAATGAGCAAAACAGAATAAGTACCAGAAAAGTGATACGAGATTTCCAAAATCCTTTTGATTATTACAGTTCAGAAGAATTTAGATGACGCTACAATCTAATTAATTATAATTACCACGAAACACAAATTAGGTCTCAAGCACTGTTTGGTTTTAAAAAGGTTATGAATTATGACAATTGACAAATGATAGACATGTCATTCAGAGCGGTGTGAACTACGTTACATAAATGAACCAATCACAGAGCTCTGTTCAACGCTGTGCGTTCTCATAGCGAAGAGTCATTTGAGTATTGTTTATGAATTGAAAGGCTTGCCAAGTAAAACGCACTGAGAAATGTCTTACTTCGCACAGTGTTGCTACTTTACTTAAACAAGTATTGTTTGTGAATACGGGTGTTAGGCCCGTATTACAGAATGACAACTAAGTGTTGATCTTTACTTGAGTACAGTTAGAAAGGGATGTCGCTATGTGCTATATATAGCGACATCCCTTTCTAACTATGCTCAAGACTAGATCAATCACTGAGAATCTTTCTATAATACGGGCCTAAGTGTATCGTATCACCGGGCGGCACGACGTAGCATAACTATTGTATGTGTTATACACACTGTGTATAGTTCAAATAAGTAGTGTAGTTTTTTTACAGTCCAGAGGTTTAGGGCCCGCTCAATTTGAACGTCAACTCAATTTCAATGAAAATCGTCTAAAACAGTATTAAAATTTATAAATTAAAAACCACGCCAAAAGCTCACTGGGGGTATGTCATTCAGTTTTTACTGCTGCTGTGAAACTCATGTAATTATATTTTTATTAATCATACCGTTTTGTTCGCGAGCTTTTCAATTGTTATTTCACGAGAGAACCAATAAAATATTTATAAAGGACAATGGGCAAAACACACCCAGCTCCGCCAACAATGTAATTAGTATGAATCGATAGATCTACGAAAAACTAGCCTTTTTTATTATGACACCGTAAAAAAATATCCTGGTAGTCAAAACTTGATTGATTTTTATCTAACACGCTTTGGACATTGGAACACGATTATCGGTTTTGTCAATTAGTATGGATGAACTGGAATCATGTTTTCTTCGAAGAGTGGACAAGTTTGTGTGATTTGTGGTCACTCCGTTTTACATAGAAGACAATATACTATTACGAACAGACTATTTGAGAAAACCATAACCCATGCGGGGATTTTTGGATTTACTCTAGCGCGGCAGAATAACACCAGGGCACCCTTGCACCTTGTGGAGTATTCCCTTATTACCTGAGCCCTCTATGTAGGGTCGAACTAACTAAATTAATTCCCTTATTTAATTAATGTTCGTTCGTTATAGGTAGTACTTGTACCTATTTAACTTAAAATAACTAAAGACCCCCAGGATGTAATTTGATGCGCTTTGTCACATATGATCATGGCTATAATACTTTTCAAACAAATGTAGTTTAAACCGTGGCGGACGTGGGTGCATCGTCCATACATTTTTACCCAATGTCCTTTAAATTAATAATCCTTATTTAACGCTATTAACTAGTTTGTGTGTATCTACGCGAGTGTTTGGGTATGTGCGTATGTGCGGTGGTGTTCGCGTGTGTGTATCTGTGTTTGCGCACACTCAACATAAGTAAAGTGTGCATGAGCGGCACGCAGTAGCGAGTTTCATGTCAACTTTCAATTTGACGACACTGTATGAAATGAAACAGGGGGAAAAAAGCAGCCCCTGCTGAGTTTCTTGCCGGTTCTTCTCAGTACAAGGTAGCCTCGCCGTAGTTTTGCGAACCGATGGCGTAGTTTTCGACTTTCACATGTGCTTGAAACTAAATAAAAGATTTTTGAATTTTATGTTACACTCACCGGGCGGCGCGTCGTTGTCGTAGAAGTCGTTGCGCGGGTGCCTGGAGACACGGCGGCCCCGGGCCCCGCGCGCGCCCCGCGCCCCCCCGCGGCCCGCGCCCCGCGTGCCACCCTTCATGTTACACTCACCGGGCGGCGCGTCGTTGTCATAGAAGTCGTTGCGCGGGTGCCTGGAGACACGGCGGCCCCGGGCCCCGCGCGCGCCCCGCGCCCCCCCGCGGCCCGCGCCCCGCCCCGCGTGCCACCCTTCATGTTACACTCACCGGGCGGCGCGTCGTTGTCGTAGAAGTCGTTGCGCGGGTGCCTGGAGACACGGCGGCCCCGGGCCCCGCGCGCGCCCCGCGCCCCCCCGCGGCCCGCGCCCCGCCCCGCGTGCCACCCTTCATGTTACACTCACCGGGCGGCGCGTCGTTGTCATAGAAGTCGTTGCGCGGGTGCCTGGAGACACGGCGGCCCCGGGCCCCGCGCGCGCCCCGCGCCCCCCCGCGGCCCGCGCCCCGCCCCGCGTGCCACCCTTCATGTTACACTCACCGGGCGGCGCGTCGTTGTCGTAGAAGTCGTTGCGCGGGTGCCTGGAGACACGGCGGCCCCGGGCCCCGCGCGCGCCCCGCGCCCCCCCGCGGCCCGCGCCCCGCCCCGCGTGCCACCCTTCATGTTACACTCACCGGGCGGCGCGTCGTTGTCGTAGAAGTCGTTGCGCGGGTGCCTGGAGACACGGCGGCCCCGGGCCCCGCGCGCGCCCCGCGCCCCCCCGCGGCCCGCGCCCCGCCCCGCGTGCCACCCTTCATGTTACACTCACCGGGCGGCGCGTCGTTGTCATAGAAGTCGTTGCGCGGGTGCCTGGAGACACGGCGGCCCCGGGCCCCGCGCGCGCCCCGCGCCCCCCCGCGGCCCGCGCCCCGCCCCGCGTGCCACCCTTCATGTTACACTCACCGGGCGGCGCGTCGTTGTCGTAGAAGTCGTTGCGCGGGTGCCTGGAGACACGGCGGCCCCGGGCCCCGCGCGCGCCCCGCGCCCCCCCGCGGCCCGCGCCCCGCCCCGCGTGCCACCCTTCATGTTACACTCACCGGGCGGCGCGTCGTTGTCGTAGAAGTCGTTGCGCGGGTGCCTGGAGACACGGCGGCCCCGGGCCCCGCGCGCGCCCCGCGCCCCCCCGCGGCCCGCGCCCCGCCCCGCGTGCCACCCTTCATGTTACACTCACCGGGCGGCGCGTCGTTGTCGTAGAAGTCGTTGCGCGGGTGCCTGGAGACACGGCGGCCCCGGGCCCCGCGCGCGCCCCGCGCCCCCCCGCGGCCCGCGCCCCGCCCCGCGTGCCACCCTTCATGTTACACTCACCGGGCGGCGCGTCGTTGTCGTAGAAGTCGTTGCGCGGGTGCCTGGAGACACGGCGGCCCCGGGCCCCGCGCGCGCCCCGCGCCCCCCCGCGGCCCGCGCCCCGCCCCGCGTGCCACCCTTCATGTTACACTCACCGGGCGGCGCGTCGTTGTCGTAGAAGTCGTTGCGCGGGTGCCTGGAGACACGGCGGCCCCGGGCCCCGCGCGCGCCCCGCGCCCCCCCGCGGCCCGCGCCCCGCCCCGCGTGCCACCCTTCATGTTACACTCACCGGGCGGCGCGTCGTTGTCGTAGAAGTCGTTGCGCGGGTGCCTGGAGACACGGCGGCCCCGGGCCCCGCGCGCGCCCCGCGCCCCCCCGCGGCCCGCGCCCCGCCCGCCCCGCCCGCGCCCTGCGCCCCGACCCGCGCCCCGAGTGCCACCCTCGCCCTCGCCGCCCCCGCGACCCGTCCCACCGGCTGCAAACACAATCAATTATAAGCGATGCATTTCATCGACTTCTTTAAAATTTCGATTCGATTCAATTCATTCATTCCATTAAACAATATAATTGCGTTGGAAATAATAATAATACAAAATAAAAGCAGACATAAATAAAATAATAAATCAAATTACAATTTTTTTAAGTCAAAGTGGATTATTAAAATTGTAACAAATAAAAAAAAATACAAATACACTATGTCAAATTGGATAAAATTCATATATAAAATAAACATGTCAACCTAATCCTGTCTCATAAATTCATCAACACTGTAATAACACTTCTTCAACAAGAAGTCCCTCAATTTGTTTTGAAAAGATTTGTAGTCAATAATCGATTTCAAACCGATTGTTAGCCTATTAAAAATTTCGACCGCCTGGTACCTATAGCTATGTTTAACAACCTTAAGTTTAGGTTCGACCAGATGTGGTAGATCCTTTATAAAAGACCGCTCGGCACCGTCTCTTGAGGAATGGAAAGGCACCCTCATAGTCGGGGAGCCCGATAGCGGAGATATTAGAATTTACTCGAGCGTAATAAAATAAGGGAGACGATCACCTTGCTCCTTGTAAATACTCCTACCGTACCTCCCAAGCAGCCGAGCATAAAAAAATTTCAACAATCGGCCCTAGCTTTTGGTCGCGTCCGAATCGTCTGTCTCTTAAATAGATGCCAGGAGGAGCGTCCACGTAACGTTTCTGATGACCGACAAACCTTAATCTGCCGGTTTATATGCGGGATAGAGATCAAGTGTAGCTAGCCGCAAAACGACCAAAGTACGAGCAACAATAGGTGAGGACAATTTTCTAGCCAACTCTTCATTGATATAATAATATTACCCCATTGCCCCCCCCAGTCATAAAGTGGCGACGCCCTTGCAAATAAGTGTATCTAACGTAGACCACCAAGAGACCTGACAAAACAAGAGGCCAGCAACGCACACAGCGAACTATTTTCCGCTTTGCGCGCTCGATCCGATAAAAAAATGGACCCAGTATTCGCTTTTAAAACGTCTTGTCTTTCTTTTACACTTCTCTTTTTCAACACAACGTAATCTTAGAATATTTCCTTCCATATAATGCGGTTCTCTAAATTTTCGAGCGACAAATGTGCGCACGTATGCTTTAAATCAGTGACAAGTCCGCGGCGGACTTTTATTTTTCACGATTAAAGGAGTTTTGTCCTCTGCGCACAAGTACACGAGAATTCTAAATTCAATTTATTGGAGTAAATTGGTTAAGCGAAATCGAATTCTTCTCTTAAGATTTCCATTCTTAAAATAGTGGAGTTTAAAGCTACGTGTCATTGCTCAAAACAGGGATACCTCTACTACGAGAATATCAGTAGGCCTAGATTAAGAACTTTAGCTACGTATGTATTGGATTTCCTCAAAATTTAATTGCCTATTTAGTAGCAAAATGGATAAAGTCAAGACAACCAAGTATATTTGTTCGTGCTGCACGATATACAAACGGAATAGAATGCAAAATAAGAAGTATGTTTCAAAAATTATTTAAGTGACTTTTTTTTGTTTGATAATTGTTGAAATTCAATTTATATATTTTTCTTTCTTTAGTGTAAACTTCAGCCCATAAAAATTTAATCATGTTATGCCCACATATTTAGAGTTACAGTTTGGTTTTCTATTATTGTAATTGCTTTGGTTTTTTTTTATAATTGTAACTTGTTTTGTGAGCTAATAAACAAATAAATAAAAAAAAAACAAATAAAGAATTTTTGGTCTCTTAAAAAATCAAAAGATAAAATGCCACTTTATGCTAAAGCATATTATCATTTTATTTTCAATCTAATCTTCAATGTTCTGTAAACCTTGCAATGGGTAAGTCTTAACACACAATACCAATTTTGCCAAGTTTTCATAGAAATAAAACAGGTAATGACTAACATTAGCTAGCGCCTGCATACTTGACTTGGGTTGTATTCCACAGATATTATGTGAATCTCTGGTATTGTTTTTATAATAAAAGCGTCTCGGGACGCACGACAGAAGTGATAACTTAAAGTAATCTAAGCGGCGCTGCGGGTTAGAGTGAGAGAGGACGAGCCTGCCTACCACTGCCGTATGCGTGAGAAAGGGAAGCCAGAGAAGCTGCCGCTGTAACGCGTTACGTAAGGAAGCGATTTACCTTAACATAAGTTATCACTAAAAAGATTTGAGTACGTTTGACCATAATAACACCCGATGTTCAGCAACTCGCAAACTCAAATAATGCCTATTTACTCTTGCCTGGAAGATCCCTATATTATATGTATAGGGGTAATATTTATATGTGTAATGTGGTATAACTCACGTGGCCTGGCGCTGGGGGCCCGCGCTCGAGTCTCCACTTCTCCGTTGCCGGTGGAGGGAGGTTTCTTCTTCTTCTTCTCACTTGTCTGCCATTCGCCCTGCAACAAACACAAAAAAAATTGAGTGCACGGATCACACATCTGAAGTGTGAAACTTCTTTTCTTAAATAGCCTAACATTAAGCGGTGCATAAGGCATAGGGGAATGGAGCAGCGCACGCTTCTCTCCTATATATATATATGTGAGGGGCTCGATGGCGCAAGTGGTTAGCGCGTTCGGCTGCGATCGTTGAAGTTAAGCAACTTTCGCAGTGGTCGATCATTGGATGGGTGACCAAAAATTTTACTATCTCGAGCCCCTCCGTGCTTCGGAAGGCACGTTAAGCCGTTGGTCCCGGCTGCATCTGCAGTCGTTAGCACCCATCAATCCGCACTGGGCCCGCGTGGTGGGTCATGGCCCAATCTCCCTATTCCATCCATAGGGAAGGCCTGTGCCCCAGCAGTGGGGAGATTAATAGGCTGATGATGATGATGATTTAAATATATATATATATATATATATATAATATATATATAACTAGTCTGGCCATAAATACTGTTACATAAAACTTTTTTTTTATGATTATGAGTTTAGTTTAGAACACGTACATTATTTTAAAAACTTCTTTCGATTTTGCGCCGATTCACATATTTTTTCGTGTTCATTATCAAATTACAATCTGGAATGGGGTGTTTAAGAAAATAGAATTGCAGTGATCGCCTTGCACAAAGTGAGTATGGAGCCATCGGTCATACTCCAGACACTTCAAAAGCTTGGTATAGCAGCCGTGTGTTCGTATATCATACAATCAACAGATACAACAACACTTCGTCTGTCGAAGACCAGAAAAGACAGGGCGGCCGCGTGCTGTTGGAACTAATATGCTATGCTGGTTTAAGGCAGAATTCGTCGAAACCCCATTAGAAAGCAAGAAATCTTATCGCGAGAAATGAAGATTCCCGCTAGGACTCTGTCGCGTATTATTAAAGAAGACCTCAAGCTCTGTGCTTAAAGATACAATTAAAGAGTGGATCGATCAAAACACCTTCTGTCGCAATACGCAGGTGAAAAGCACAGAAATATCCTCTTTACCGGTGAAAAAAATTTCACGATTGGAGAACACTACAATGAGCATATAGGAAGGCCAAAGGGGAAGATCTTCCTCCGCGCTGGGTGATGGTAGCCCGGGGGCCGGCCCGACTGATGTTGGTCGGGCATCGTATATATGAAGAGTTAGCTTCCGAATTTCATTTGCGCGATGTAGGCTTCCATACTATTATTGATCGCAGTGCAGGTAACGCCATCTCTTGAGGATGGTGAGTAATGATTTCCTCAATCCGTTGTCTATATGTGGGGCATATAGATGTCGCCGCCACAAGCAAAATGATAAAATGTACACTCGCAGTCCTAAAGAAGCTGCTCAAGCGGTCGGGAAGGTACAATGTGGTCATCATCCTGCGTCAGTGATGGTTTGGTGGGGTGTGTTATCAAGGAGTCACAAAACTAAAATTTTGTGAAAGAGGAGTGAAAACTTCAGCCAAAGTGTGTTAAGATACAGTCTTGGATCATGTTGTGAAACCTCTCAGCAATACACTTTTTAAAAATATACCGTGGACTGTCCAGAAGGATTCTGCACCTGGTGACAAGGCACGAACTACCCAAGCCCGGCTTGAAACCAACGGTCCGGAGTTTATAAGAGCTGAAAACTGGACCTCATCCAGTCCAGACCTCAACCCTTTATGGCGGCGGTCCGCGCCGCAACCGCGACCGGAGACCGAGACGAGAGACAAAAGACCGCCACCGGCACTTGTTCTTTAGATTTATACAGATGATAGTTCGCGCGTGCGACAGAGACGCGAGACCGAAGACAGCGAGACGGTCTCCGTCCCGGACTAGTAGTGTCTCGTGTCGCTCCCGAAATGCACGGGTATTTTTTTTATTGAAGTTCTCCCGTTTTAGGGAAGGCAAAGGGAACAATGCCCATACAGCCTGGTCTTTAATTAAATTAATCTTCTTTTTGTTTTTACATTAGAATGTCGGTGTGACGTATTCTAATGTTTCTTGGAGTGTTTGGCACGAAATGAATCGAGTTGGCTTTTCGATAAGCTTCTGTGAGGTAGTCAACACTACAATAAAATTCTCACGTCCACTTGACCGGAACAGCGTATATTTTAATGATTCCACTAATTCTTCAGTTACGCAGACAGTTGTTACACAAAACCACACCAATTTTATTTCACAATATCCACTATGAACGAATTTAAGAATAATTAAAATAAGAATGTCTTCTGTATGTACCGCCCCTCGGTACATACAGAAGACACTTGTCACGGTCTCCTGTCGCGGTCGCGGCGCGAACCACCAAGTTTAGACTTCAAATTAAGGTCAGTTTAAGAGGACATGGCCTGCTCTAAACGACACGGCGACATTGAGTCTCTTAAAAAATCTTTGGTGGCCAATCAGATCAATAGATTTTTTATTAATCTTGGCTATAATTTGGAATAGAATATTTTTTGCTGAGACTTTAATAAATATGTAGGTTGGTATAATTTTTAGTAATATTACATTCCTTACATATTACTTGGAGGAGCTCGATGGCGCAAGTGGTTAGCGCGTTCGGCTGCGATCGTTCAACTTAAGCAACTTTCGCAGTGGTCGGTCATTGGATGGGTGACCAAAAATTACTATCTCGAGCTCCTCCGTGCTTCGGAAGGCACGTTAAGCCGTTGGTCCCGGCTGCATCTGCAGTCGTTAGCACCCGCCAATCCGCACTGGGCCCGCGTGGTGGGTCATGGCCCAATCTCCCTATTCCATCCATAGGGAAGGCCTGTGCCCCAGCAGTGGGGACATTAATAGGCTGATGATGATGACGATTACATTCCTTCATTAAAAAAAGGCATTTTAATTTGTAGCAGAACTTATGGCTAGATATTGTCACGTATGACGCTCGTAGGGTTTCAGCCTTCGCAGAGGTACCCTCCAACTAATAACTTTTTTTATTCCTATTTTCTACCCCTTATTAATACTTTTCCGTTATCAGTGACACGTGGAGCGATAACACTATTAATATCTGACGCGCTCGAGTATGCCTATGCGATTGTTTTTTTTTACATTTTTGAAAACCTGTACACCCTTCCCCCACCGGTGAGAAGGTATACAATGAGGGCTTTCGCGTATGAATCCGCCGCTAGAGGCGCTAGTGTAGCGTGAGGTCTCCGAAATGTCAAATGTTATTGCTTGTTGGTTGACTACGCGGGTTTATTTCTTATTAAAATAATGTTGTGAATAATTGGTAACAATTCGGCTTAATTATGGCAAATATGAGTTATGTGGCAATGAATGTCAGTTATTAAAAATTTGAGCTTAGAAAAATGATTATGTTCCCATTTTTTCCGAATAAAACGGAACTGCGCGTCACTGTAGCATGGCCTATTATGTTTAGGATATGGTTCTTTTGTGTTAAAATACGATCTAAATGTAACCTTTGATTTCATGTGCGTATTAATAAAATTTAAAAGTTACAATTTAGGACCTCACTCAACAGTGCCGCAATCTGGTGAGGCAGAAAACGGTAGCCCTCATTATAAATATTTTTTTTCTTTTTAGCAAACTAATCTTAACAATCCAATAGGTCCTAACGACGGTCGAGTAAATCCTTATTTAGCAACGTTGGCTCTCCTACTACAAGGGTTATATAACATGACGCTACGACCAGAAGGGGCAGAGCAACAATGAAAAATGTTGCGAAAACGGGAAAATATATTCAAATTGAAAACCTTCGTTGTGTGGCTTGCGTAAAGGTTGAAGTTACGCAAAAATCATGAATGAAGAAATTGTTCCCCTTCAAAAGTTCTAAGAAAAACAGAAGTCCGCGACTGAGTAAACTTCTATAGAACCTTAATGTTAGAAAGTTAACAAAAACTGTTGTTGTAGGTTTTCAATGTCTTTTCAGGCTTCATGTTATTATATCGTTTTCAATTTTAAAATCTTACTTATGTTTTTATTACCAATAAAGATTATGATTATTGTCTGGGAGCGTTCTTGGCCGAGCTGGGCTGGCTGGATTGAATTCAGCAACACACCCTGCAGGCTTAACTGTTTAAACACTTTACCCTGACAAGCTCCTATGTAGAACATGCATGGATGCAACAAAACTCTCGGTATAGGAAGTGGTAAACTACTTGAGTAAAACCATAAATAATAATAAAGAAATAACTGCACAATAGAAATTCTTGTATGTAAAATTCTATTTTTTTTTTTTTTTTTAAATATTTCCGACACACACCAATTAGCCTAGCCCCAAAGTAAGCACTGTAAGGCTTGTGTTATGGGATGCTAGGGTAACGGATAGAATACATATACTGTACATATATAAGTATATTTATATAAATACATATTAAACATCCATGACTGGAGTACAAATGCTCGTATTCATCACACAAACATTTGCCCCCACGGGGATTCGAACCCGAGACCTCTCGAGTCGGCGACAGCCATGAAACCCGGCGTACAAACCACTCGGCCACGGAGGTCGATTGTGCAGGCTTTGTAGACTATGTTCGATGCTCAAGAAGTTTGCCGAAAGGAAATACATCGAGATCTCTTGCAGATTCCCTGAGAAGATTAGAAAGATTGATCTGCTTCTGGAAGTAGGTGGTCTGACTCTAATTATGGACCGCTATACGTTGATTGGTCCACTTTTAAAACTAGGTGCGGAAATCATAACCCCATATATAGAACACCCTCCACTAGTGTTGGGTAGGACACGACTTGAAAAAGAGTTTGTAAGAGTAGCCTCTTTATTGTACTGAACCAGTACAATGTCCCACTTCAAATGAGGTAAGGCGTACTGAAGCTCGGCAATACATTTGAAGTGACGAGTACAAATGTGACATTGAGGCGTACAGAAGCTCGACATTACGTTTGTGTGCACGAGTAGCACCTCCTCTACGCACTATCAATATTGCTGGATCCAGCATGCAGGACAGCGCTATACACGTAAAACAGATAGAGATACAGATGGATAGTGCGTAGAGGACTAAAATGAAATGTCATGCCTCGCTCTCTCTCTCAGACTTACGAAGAGTGAGTGAGTAACGAGACGCAACTATCGCGACATTTAATGTGAAGTAGTACATTTTAAAATTTTGAGCCGCTCTTACAATTTGGCGTCATGTCCGGGACAAATGTACCGCCTCTTGTAAGTCCTACTCAACACTACCCTCCACACGCCAAACAGGACTATAATAGCAGAGCATACTTGACGAACACATACATACTTGACGATATAATTAACCATCAACATCATCAGCCTATTAATTAATTAAGTATCCAAACTAGTCTATGTGAATTACAATTAGGCAAGAGTCGTACTTGCTAAATCAAGTGCTAGGACATTAAAGTAGTTCCACCTATAAATACCAGGGCGAAATACCAGGTTGCCAGTATTTTATATGCACATAGGGGCCCACATACAACTCTAAATCCAACATCATTGGGGGATAGGTGGGTAAGACTACGGCTTTACGTGCCTTTCGAAGCACGGACGAGCTCGAGATAATAATAAGTTTTTGGTCACCGATCCAGTGACCGACCATTGTGAGAGTTGCTTAACATCTACGATTGCAGGCCGAACGCGCTAACGACCCGCGTCATGTTACCTGTATCCGCTGGCTCTCCTCCAGCAGCAGATTGCAGGCAGCCACCATGTCGTTGTCAGAGTCATGGAGGGCCGAGCAAACCTCTTCCTCCGTCCGGCAGGTCATTTCCATCAGCTCCAACACCTGGACGACAAGTTTATAATATTAATCAAAAAGAGGACATAATGGACCCTACCTCTAAGGAGGTAACCTCCACCTTACAGAAGACCACAGACATTTTTTTTATAGATAGGTCCGACAAATGACTTCACCCCACCTGATATTAAGTGAAGGTGAAGTCCAGACGCAAAGATAGCTGATACAGCAGTTGTACCTGCCACACCAGCCATCCTCACCCTGCCGGCCTGCATGTTGCTTCTTCATGCCTCTTTTAAAGGATCCCAGGTTGTAAGAGGGCACACGTGAATGGACAGAGCATTCCATTTACGGATAGTGCGACAAAGAAATGAGTCACCAAATTTCTTTGTACGCGTTGGAATTGTGGCCACAATTAGACCGTGACAACGTAAGCCAGCGCGCGTGGTCCTCTGAAGGAAAGGGGAGGGTGGAATAAGAGAGAATAACTCCTCAGAACACTCGCCGTGATACAGACGAAAGAACGCGCTTAGTGACGCCACGTCACGGCGTAATTGAAGAGGCTCGAGGTATTTAGTCACCTCCTCATCGGCTATGATGCGGATCGCGCGCCGCTGTAACCTATCCAAAGCATCGAGCAAGTACTTTGCGGAGCCATCCCAGAGGTGCGTGGTAGGTATTTTTGTGATATTTTTAGTATCGCAATGGCTATGGTGGCCGCTTACCATCAGGAGGGCCATATGCTTGTATGCCACCATTATAAACAAAAATAATCTATCGTCTCGTCGGCGTCAGAAGCCGCACAAACCGGCGAGAGAGTAATGAATGTGGTATAGTGACAGATCGTGCCTAACTTCTAGTCCACTCTGAAGTTGCTTCGCGCAAGTGTACAGTCTTATACACAATCTTCGTCCAACTATATGCCTTTTGCAATGGTCTTTTGAATTGTGCAGTGTTCAAAGCAGACTAGAAATAGTGGGCGTTCTGTAACGCAGACGAAGTTGCAGTATAGTAAAATGTGCTCACCATTCTCCGAACGTCAGACGCGTCTTCGCTTTTACGATCGATCATGTTTGCCATGCGGAGCTGTTCTGTTGTTGCCTGTAAAGAAAGAAGGAATTGTAAACTTATAACAACATGAAAAAATTTAAAAGATAACAAAAACAAGTTTATTTTTTAATCCTTTTTTTTGTGGAACTGTACAAGAGGCAGAATAGGCTTATCGATCTTGTTAATAAACAGAGATGTACCTAATAATTATCTTCTAAAAGCACTATTTCTTCTCATTTGATTATGAAAAAACCAAACAGATAATATAACTGCAGCATCAGCAATACAATAGAAAACAATAGTCTGCACTGTACTATAACTACCGCAAGCTGCTGCGGAATGAGTCCTTCCTATAATCTGGGGTCCTTTAAGAGAGGCGTGAAGAAGCATTTTTGCAGGCCGGCAAGGTGAGGATGGTTGGTGTAGCAGTTTATAACTTCTGTATCAGCTATCTTCGCGTTTGGACTTTATCACCACTTAACGTCAGGTGGGGTAGAGTCATTTGCCTACATCGCTATAAAAAAAAAACACTGCAACTCCTTACATATGTGCAGCGAAATCTGCAAGATTATGCAGATCTGCACACTGCTGTGCAGTACAGGGCAGTGTGAGAATCACCTTAATCACAGTCTTGACCTTGATTACCCTAAAGAAATAATCTACTTTCTAAACAGGAAGTAATAGAATACCACAGCCTACGTAATCTATAACATTGGGCAGGTGTCCCAGTGAGTTGACCTACCTGTGGTTTCACCTTCTCCTTGGGCTGTGGTTTGTCTGCGCCCTTGCCTTTGTCCTGTGCGTGCTTGCCCTCTTTGCCACCAGCCTTCGCACCACCCTTGGTGGCGCGCGCACCCAAACTCATCTTTACCTGCTATATTTATATTTACAGCTTCTATTTACAAGCAGCTGTAACAAAGGAAAAATTACACAAGTCAGCAAAATATATTATTGTTCAATAGCAGAAGCGGCAGTCGTTCTCCTGTCTGATAAAAATATTTAAAGTCCTAATCCTGAACAGACTCCAGCGCCATGTATGAAGTACAGTTGTAAAAAGTCGTCAAAATACTAATACTGTAATTGTTTTTCTGTGAGAACCATTTGCAAGGTATTAGAAATCTTAAAAAAGAATTGTTGAAATGGATAAGGTAAAATTCATAGTTATTGAAACTAGACATTTGCATGCCTACATTGTCAAGGTATAAATATTGTCAACCAAAAACTTATTAATTTACGTAACACATTAATTTTACACAATATTTGAGTGAATAAATGATTTGGAAAAGTTCTGACTCAAGCCCTTTTTATATTCAACGGCTTACTTTCAAGCTGTTGTAAGGCATAGAGGATGTGAACATATGTATAATTATTTGTTCAGATATATTAAGAATGATTATTAACATAATTAAATTACCCTATAATTAAAACTAATCACCTTCAAAATTATGAGTCAAGACCATCAATAAAACATTCTAAGCAATCATTACAAACACAAATAATTACACAGGCCCAAAAGTACCCTGCGCGCAAGACCAGACTACCTGAATTTTATGTTTTCATGGTCTCTGAGTCAAATATGGGGCCAGAATAGAGAAGTTGGTTCGCATTTTTTTAACAACATAAACCATATTATACGAAAAACTTAAATTTTCAGCTTTATTGCTGATATCTGACAAAACGCGAACCAACTTCGCTATTCTGGCACCATATTAGAACTCAGCGACCCCGAAAACATAAAGTTCAGGTAGTCTGGTCTTTCACACAGGGTACTTTTTTTGTGAGCATGTGCGTTTTTTTAACATAAACCATATTATACGAAAAACTGAAATTTTCAGCATTATTGCTGATTTCTGAAGAAACGCAAACCAACTTCCGCTATTGGCACCATATTTGGATTCAGGACCCCAAAAACATAAAGTTCAGATAGTCTGGTCTTTCGTGCAGGGTACCTTTTTTTGTGGGCCGTGTTATCATACATAAAAAGCTGTAGAATCTAAATATGCAACTTGCACTGATTGGATTGGACCTAGGTTACCAAGATCAACTAGCTTCACTTTAAGAAAGAAAAGGAAAAAAAACCTTTGAAGGTGAAAAGAAAAAACCTTTTAAAAGGAAAGAGAATTCTCTCTTTTCTTCTTTTGAAATAAGATAAGAAACTAGAAAGAAATTGCAACAATGTAGAGGAGTCAGAGGAACTTTCATTTGATAATGTCCACTATAATATAATTATAAATTATATACTTTATATTAGCAGCTATCTTATTAATAGATGCAGAAGTTTTTTATTCACATCTCATTAAGAAATTTACAATTCATCAAGGGACAAAACACTGCTCTGGATTCAGGCATGGTTATATAAACTTTACTTATAATTTAACAGCAGTCACTCCTTTTTCATTTTCTTGTCATTAATAAGGATATAATATTGTAAAAATTTAGTTTTAGTTTAAAATATAGTGCAAAATACAAACTTATTACTATAGATATAATACTGTAGATAATTGTTTGTATTTAAGTTTTAAGGGACTTCCCCAAAAAGGTGTTCCAATTTGAAATAAAAAATAGGCTCAGAAGTGTAAAAAATTAAATTTTCAAGTAATGAGATGAAAGTATAAGCATTCATTGTTAGATTGTAGATAGAATTCTTTTGAATACGTTTAATTTAAAAGAATACCTAATGAAAACAAAAGAATTGTCTTTCTTCATCATTATCAGTGTTGTTTTGTCCCTTATCTTAGTTTCAATACAGATACAAACAGTGACTACTAACAGACTTCTAACAATTGCAACTTAATTGGTTTGTCTCCCCGTTATAACAAAACCAGGATCTAATAGGTTAAATAATATCCTAATGTTGATTGCTTCTTTAGTCACTTTGTTAAATGAATAGTTATTTCACAAATCTTAGCACAGAGCCCAATATTTTGACAACAATGAAACATATGTTTTTTGTCTTGATTATCATTATTTGTTTTGTAAAGTAAACAATTTAAATACATTTCTACTAATATACTGTTTATCATTTAGCTTGATATATTTTAAATAACCACCATACTCATTATTTAAAATATTTATTACATAAAGCAACAAATTACTATTGAATGGATTTTGGATATGAATGAATAGTATTTTTAAGAAAAAATTTCAATCATTAATTGAAAAGATGAACAAAGAAAGAATTGAGAAAAAAACAGCATTTACATTAACTGTGAATCAGTGAACTAGATTTTAACCTGTTTAGAAGCAAATTACTTTACAAGTAAATTAGAAGAAAAAAATGAGGGTAGTCTTAAGTCAATCAGTATTTACAGTGCTTGAAAAAGATCTAGGCACGTTCACTGTTTTATCTTTTCATGATATTAAAGAAGCGGTAAATTAAGTAAACAAAACATTCGGGCGGATCTTCAACTTCCGTGTGATTTTTCTAGTAGCAATTTCAACAATTTTACGGTAATGTACATAACAAACGTCGTGTTAGGAAATTGATCGTCAAAATACAGGTAAATTTGTAGCTATTTTGCACAGAAATCAGGACAATGATTCATTGTGAATGGGTTGCAAGGGCAACACAAAAAAGGAAGACGAAGCGCACCGATTTCGACCGGAACACATGAAATACCCGGATATATTCACTTTTTTGCGTCATAAAAACAGTTCACGTCATCAGATTTTAGCACATCCAAGACGAACTCCACAGGCCAGCGGCACATGTGGGGGACGCCATTCCTGAAGCACCTTTCTTGGTATCAAAATGACTCTTTGTTGATGAAATAACCGTGCACCACACCAAATTACACCATTCTACCACGCACAATAACACATAATAAGATCTGCGGAACTATTATTACCTTAAATTAACTAAACCTATTCGAAATAAACTAAATTTTTATTAAATTTTACTGATTACCATACCTGTGAATGCGCTCTCAAACGCAAGCTGGTCACGTGATTTGCTAGTGTTGTGACATGATGACGGTTAAAAAATACGATTAGTGAAGAATGGCCAGTTAATTTAAATTCCGTTTATGATATTTAAAATCAACACATAATTATCATGTTTCATGGACAAAGCGGTTGCTTGGTAATTTGAAATTTGTATTTCAATATCCGTACGTTTTATTATTACAATTTAATATTAATATCAAAGATTACAGTGCACATACGTTCAAGGACAGGGACATAATGCAAGGTTTTTTTTTAGTTTTATTATTTTATTTGTTGGCTACAGTCAGATTATTTGTATGTTAAGACAGCAGACTTTGACAAGAATCGCTAACCTTAAAACTAAATACAGTTTTCATAGGAATGATAAGGAAAGACCAAACTGCGGGACAATTATGTACAAATGTAGTTCACTCCACGATCCTTTTATTTTATAGTTAATAATGACAGTTAATTTTAAAGAAGCTAATTGTGGAATCAGTTTTATCCTTCCAACAGCGTCAGTAACTAATTTAACTTGAGCTATATGGGTGGACGTAGCATTGACACAAAACAGGGTTACAAGATTGATGTCAGATACCTACTGTATTAATGTAGCCATCAGATCATAGAAGGCTATGGGCTTTTCTTGACTTGTAACTTATGCATAGTGAACATATCTTCGGTTAGCAAAATATAATAGGTAGGTATTTAAAAGATTTTTGTGTATTATATTATAATTAGCATCAATTGTAGCCTATCAATACTTTGATAGAAGTTTACATTTTTTTACATACAGTACTAGTAGTTTATCTTAAATAAAACAAAATGAATGATTATATATATGATATTTATTTAATTATTATAAATTATATAAAATAATTAAATAAATTGTCTCGCAGTTTTCATAAACTAGAATATGAAAAACCGGTTTTCGATAATTATCGATTAGAACATATCAGGTTTTTTTTCGAACGATGCACTATTTTAAAAGCAAGAGAAAGTAAGTATTAACAGCCTAACTTTATTGACTTTATTTTTCATTGCATTCTCATTCAATGCATTCTTATATTTTATAGGTGTTTTTGGCACGTAATATATATGATCGAGGCAGTAGTTTCTTTCGATTCCACGTTTGTTTAGTAGTCAGTAACTGACCTAAACAGCGTTAATTTTAAAGATTCCATTGACTGTTCGTTTACGCATTATGAATATAATTTGAAATTAATATATTATGAAAAGGAAATCAAATTAAGGTAGTGGTGTATTCATAAAAACAAGGAACATGGTAACAATCCCGTTAATAACTATAATTACATCCTTTATAATTCATTGATTGAGTTAAACGGGCTTTACACTACCCAATTTTAAGGGCCCAATCGAAAGGGTGGGCGTGGCCTTTAGCTAGGGTAACAATCATTACACCGAATAGAGCGCTCGGGGAAAAAAGTAGAAGAAGTAAATACTACCAAATTTCTTGGACTTTACATTGATAATAATATGACATGGAAAACTCATTGTAATTATGTATGTGAAAGCTAAGTAAATTTTCTTATGCCTTGTATATGCTTAATGAAATAGCTGACCGTTCTGCACTAATGACAGCTTATCATAAATACGTTGCGTCACTACTGAGATATGGCATATTTTTTTGGGGAAATTCTAGTAGTAAAGATGTGTGCGAGCAATAAGTAGACTTCGCCCTACAGACCTTTGTTATCCTCTTTTTAAGGAATTAAATATATTGACTGTACCTTGTTTACATATATTTGAAGTTTGTGTCTTTGTTAAAACGAATTCAAAATTGTTTTATAATGTTATTACATCTAAAAGACACTATAATAAGTTGTGTCAAATACCACATAAAACTGCTTTGTTTGGAAATAGTTTGTAAGGCGTTGCTCCGATACTATGTAACAAGCTACCAAAAGATATACGACAAATCGATAATGTGGTTAAATATAAAGTGACCCTAAAAAAGTTTTAAGTAAATAAAGCTTATTATACTTTATTTCAGTGATGTTGTAATTTAAATTATTATTTATGTTTATAATTAACTAGCAAACCCGGCGAACTCCGTTTCGCCACCAGATGGCTTCGTTTTATGTAACATTTCGTTTGGTGATTAAAAGAAGTTTTTGACGTGACAACGTCTTAAATTAGGTTGCGGCTGGGAGTCACTTATGAAAAAGTGTAACGCTCGGTAACGTTACGATGAGTCTCTCGTGTTAAGTTTAAGTTTACATGTACAATGTTTTAGTAAACAAAATATATTTCTATAGTTAAAATTTGTGCAATTCTTATTTTCATTCAATAGGCTAGTTTACTCATGTCGAATTGTATTAAATAAATGTTTATTTCTTAAAGTATTTGGTCTAAGGAACCTAAATATATCGATTTCACTTCATAAAAGCAGAAGATTGCTGTAGAAATTTAATTTTAAAAAATATTTTTTAGTCTATATTTTTTAAACACTAAAAACGCTGTTCGCCACATCCGGCATGATTTTGACGTCTCTTGTGGTAAACAATTAAATGTCATTCACGTGTTACTGTAGGTGGATTCTTTCGTCTGACTAAATTTATCTTAAAACACTTTTAACTTTAGGAAAGAAAAAAACAGTAAACTTAGTTTTTTTTGACAAAACTAATTATGGATGCCGGTTTTGTGAAAGCAGAAAGCACAAATCTGCCAAGAATTGACGCATTGATGGTTGGTGAATTTGTTGCACTAAACCCCGATTTCTGCTCTGCGGAGCAGAGAAACGACAAGGCATCTATGTAAGTACAGTGCATTTAGTATTACAGTGTAGTAATAAACATAAAACTGATACAACATATGAATAAGTGTAATAAAGTTGCGTAGGTTAATTTCTTTCGGCACTTTAATCCACAACTTTCCTGGAGTCTTCAAGGATGTGTTTTTATATTCTCGTACAATACAGTGATGATAATTACTTTATTTTTCGTGGTATTTATTAGAAATCATGTTTTTTTTATTATAAACTCAGTTTTAAGTAATTTTCTACGTGTTTACGAGTTTTTGTTTACCAGAGTTCACGTCATAGCATAGATAATCTATAGACTAAAATGGCCGACAGCGTTTTTGTATGTCCATGAAAAGTCTATATTAAAATTAAAGATTTATAGCTTTCTAGGTTTAAAAAAAATACAATACATGTTTTTTCGGTCTAATAGAACATTTATTAACCATTTAAAACCTTTTTCCAAAAAGGGTCAACTAGCCTATTCCTTGTTCCTATTGTGCAATTTAATTATATTCATATCAATAAATATTCTACCGAGAAAAAGACGTTGTCACGTAAAATCTTCGCCCGTAAAACCGACTTTACAGGCAACCAACCAAAAAAAAAATTTTTTTTAAAGATTAACACTCAAACCTACTTTTTCTTGAAAGTTAATTCATCTCAAGATTTTTTTTGTGTAGAAACGAATTGCCAAAAAACACTTAAAACAAGTTCAACAAATTATTCCAATCCATATTGCATTTTTTATCTAAAGTCTTCCAGCAGCAATGACATTTTTGATTTGAATGATATCTTTTTATATTTTTAGTTTTTTTTAGTTTGAAGGTTTTTGTCATCAAACATAACATACATGAACTCTGGAAACATTACATTCTATTAAAAATGCATTTCTTATTTATTTATCTTATGCCTTTCTTCAATTCAGTGATTATGATTATTTCTCAATATTATGTGGACTTATAAGTATCAAGAATATGTAAGTGAATGCTATACATTTCTAATATCTAATTACAAACCTATAGAAAATTTTCGAGCCCCGTCTGCTGCCTGGCCACGTAGATTTTTTTTTAATTTTTCCTGAATTTTCTTTGCTATAAACCTCACGGAGCCCGAGACCTTTCCAACGAATGCAAAACCGTGGAAATCGGTTCGTGCGTTCTGGAGTTATAGCGTCAGGAAGGAAAACCCGACTTATTTTTATATAGTAGATTTTCTTTGCTATAAACCTCACGGAGCCCGAGACCTTTCCAACGAATGCAAAACCGTGGAAATCGGTTCGTGCGTTCTGGAGTTATAGCGTCAGGAAGGAAAACCCGACTTATTTTTATATAGTAGATAAGATTCAAATAATCTATTGTATTGTTTGACAATGATGATGTGAATTTGTTATAATTTTAGATTGTGCTCAATGAATGGGATAATTGTAATAAGTTTTTTTCTTCTCAACATGATAATTAATTTGCACACCCCATTGGGTAATAATATAGGATGCTCTATCACCATTTGTTACCTTAATCTGCAAATAAAGATGATTGTGATTATGATTAGTGCGTCCCCGACTCGTGTGTGTCGTCGTGTTATAAGTAACTTGGTTTTAGTTTGCTACTCGCAATATTGGCATTGTTGGTATTCTACACCTCACACTGCTTTCCATATTAGTGGCTTCACTTGATTTCTGAATAAACGCTACACAACATCTTTTTGTATTTGCTCCATGGTCCCTTACTCCCTAACTCAATTTACACCACCCTTAGTCAGGCTAAGGGTCCCTTAAAATTGAGTAGTGTAAAGCCCGTATTACCCGCATTCCAATAAAAAATAAAGGGAAAATTAGTAATTCTGACAACTAGCCTGCTGTATAATTTTTGTATCCTTGGCCTTCTTTTAAGAGAAAATATTCCCAAAAAAGAAACGTTTCCCGGGTTTTTTAATGTCATTTGATTAATTTTACGTCGACTTTCGTAGTCTGCTTTATTTAAGTACTCTTTGGTCTGCTTTTAGTTTTTCTGTAGTGCCCATCTACGTGAAATTGGCAGAATTGTGGATATATCCCCGTTGAGCCAATAAAAAAGAAAGAAGAAGAAGAGTGCGTGATACAATTGAAAGTTTGATCATTTTAGATAATTTAGTTTGTCTTCCGGTGTTGAGCTACTTTTTGTATCTATTTATTTGTCTGTGTATGTAATTAACTTATTTATTTTATTAAAATTGCTCCAGCCGTGTAGACGTGAAGAAATAACAAACATAACTTCAGAAATTTTGGACACAAACACCAGATATTCGCCAAATCCTGAATGAGCCATCACTGAAGAAATCTAATCTTCTTTCGTAAAGCTGTGCTAATTTGCTGTTCTGTGCTGTTCACTAATTCCAGCATTCCGTAATCCATGCACGCAAAATGTCGTTGTTAGAGGATGTCTTTCTCCAGGATGAGGCAGGAGAAGCACAGGAGTTGGAACGGGTTATCGAAGGTTATGAAGATGATGAGAGGCCACAGTCACCAAGTAGTGACGAAAATGAAGAAAAAGAGGACGAAGCAGGCATGAGCTTAAATCTATTTTCATATCCGATCAAACGTAAAAAATGAGTCATGCTACTTATTTATGTACATTTTCAGAAGAGGACAAAAGACGTGTGGATCCCACTCAAGGGAAGGCTAAGCGAGTGGTGAAGAATCCAAGGTTTCTTTTAAACCCTGCAAGGTTGACAGGGCCTAGAGGGATTCAAGTTATACCTGATCATTTCAAGGACTTTAAATTTAAAGGTATGAAATATAGTGATACAATATTGATACCAATTTTTAATGAATTATAAATCATGTAACATTTCAAATATCTGATGGGTATTTATTTTGATGATTACTAAGAGCATTTATTTTGTGATGAGCACAAATGTTAGCACATGACTGTTGCTTGTTTCTGTTATTAACATTTATCACCTTTAATTTACTTATTAAACTCTGCTGAGTTCATAATGGTATTTATGATTACATTTACAGGTAAAGGACATGAGAAAGAAGATTTGGACATGGTTCTAAAGAAATTAGAGCACTGGGCTTACAGATTGTATCCTAAGTTTGAATTTGGGGATTGCCTCAAAAAAATTGAAACACTTGGCAAAAAGAGACCTGTTATGGTAAAAAATCTCATGTTAATACTTAACACTGTCAACATATTTGTTTCTTAGGTTTTCACGCACATCACTCATTAAATAAAACTAGTTTTTACGGGTTAATGCACGAAACTTTATCATTTATTTATTGATGTTTCGCAGCCTTTTCAGGTCTGCATTGTCAGAATAATTTTTTTTTTTTTTTTTCAACTGTCAACAGCTTTGCATTTGAAAAGCATGATATTCAAAAGAAATCTTTGCTAAAAAAATATAATTTTGCAGGTCCACCTTCGTAAAATAAGATCTGATCAAATTACATCAGATGAGACTGTAGTCCAAAAGGATTCTAGTGATGACGAACTGCCATCTGCACCTCAAGAGGAGGACGAGTTTGACAAACTGCTGCAACAACAGATAGAATTGGCTCGATCTACTCCCATGTCTGTTAAGAAACCACCACCTGACACACCAAGTGTTGATCGGTAAATTCATTATAGAATTGATGCTTGAAAACTTATTCGAATTCCTTTAAGTGATTTTGAGTGAAGAGAAGCATATGGCCAGCTCCAATTGTCATACACACAATGTTAAAACGTATCAATAATTGTATTTGTAACCATTATTATTATATATAGGTGGAAATCTGTTTTTTTTATGTACGTCTACTAGACATAGCTATCCTTTACTGTTTTATTGAAAATACTTTATTAACAATTTTGTTTCAGTTCCTTATTGATGCCTAAAGCAGTATCTTCACCTTCAATAAATGATGAGCAAAGAGAAAGGATGCTCAAAAACAGAAGAATGGCAGAAGAGCGAAGGCTTGCTAAACTGAATAACGAGAGTAATATAAGCACTGAGGCCAAAGACAGAACAATAGAAATCGTTAATGAAGAAGATACTGAAATTCAAAATGATTCAATGAAAAGGAAACACAACAGAACAAATGTAATAGACAGTTCTTCAGATGATGAAGAAATGACTGTGAATCAATCTATTGCTGTTGAAGTGCATAGTAAGAATGTTCAAAATGGTGACAGTAATTTTGAGACCAAAGAGAGATCTATAGAAACAGTAAATGAGGGAGACAATGAAATTCTAAATAATTCACTAGTAAAAAAACACAACAGAACAAATGTAATAGACAGTTCTTCAGATGATGAAGAAATTACTATGAATCAATCTATTGCAGTTGAAGTGCACAGTAAAATTTTTGAAAATGAAGTCAATACTTCTGACACAATATCTAATGGAATTGAAGTTACAAATTCCATGCCTGACGAAGTCAGTAATATTGAGAGAATAGAAAAAGATAACAAAAGCTCAGATGAGGTAGCCAGGCTTGAAAATAATAAGGCAGATGATAAGTTTGACACTTTAACAGATTATAATATAGAAGAAAATAACGCAATTAATATTGGTTCTACAGCAGACAATTCACCACTAAGTAAGGACATTGTTCAACCAGCAGCTATTGAAAATAATGCAATTAATGTTGATTCTCCACTCAGTAAGGAAACTGCTCAAACAGACACCATCAAAGATAATGAAGACCCCGCACTACTGAACGAAACAAAGAAATCTAGTTTAATAGAAGAAAGTTCAGTCAATACCAAAGTGTGTGTAAACAATGATATTGATAAAGAAATCATGGATGTCGACTTCGATGATGATTTTTAGTTGTAAATAAAACACAATATTTATCACTTTCCAAGTTTTATTCACGAGGGTGCAAACAAATAACTATAATCTTATCACAGTAACAAAATGATTCCATCATAATTATAAGGCTTCAACCATTCGCGATTAGAAAAATACATACAATTCTAAGAGTTGTTATTTTTACAGAAACTTGATTATTCCATAACTTTAGCCCTTGCACAAAGCCTTAAAAAAGGTGCAAAGGTCCAAAATGAACATTACCAAAATGTTTTAAGACACCAAAGTCATAACCAGGAGAAAAATATAATTATTTTACAGAGCATCTTCATCCTAGCAGCAAATTTAGGTTGGGACATTTATTTAAGACTAAATTTGGAAATGGTTCTAAATAAATAAATATTTCCAACACACACCAATTAGCCTAGCCTTTGGGGCACTGTAAGGCTTGTGTTATGAGATACTAGGGTAACGGATAGAATACATAATACTGTACATATATAAGCATATTTATATAGAAATACATAGTAAATATCCATGACTGGAGTACAAATGCTCGTATACATCACACAAACATCTGCCCCCACCGGGATTCGAACCCGGGACCTCTCGAGTCGGCGACACCACGAAACCCGGCGTACAAACCACTCGGCCACGGGGGTAGTCATCAAATACATTAGTTATATTCTTGTTGGCCCCTCTGCTTAAAATTTTTGTTTCACAGAGTCAAGTGTATACAAAACCTATTATTCGCTATTCCTATCGTTTGCTATTTGTAAACTTGACAACAGTTTGTCCTTTTCATTCCTTATCCAGGCGCTTTTCATTCCTTAAACACCCTGGCAAAATTCTTGAGTTTCGACCATAGACAAGGAAGCATGCGCAGTAGCAATTTAACATACAAAAACGTCTATAACGATAGTTTGTCTGTGGCTTTGCCGCTGCTTAAACTGCAAGGTAGAATTTTGTATTGAACCCTTAAGCTAGCACTTCACTTAGCTATCATTTGCTATTTGTAAAATTGACAACAGTCTGTCTTTATCATGCTTTATGGCGCAATTACACTTGGCCGTTAGCCCGAATACGAGACCGAATGGAATTCGGGTAAACGACAAAGTAAATGAACCGAGTCGAGTACGCCCGTATTGGGGAGGATTTCCTTTAGTTTACCCGACACCGTCTACCAGACCGTATTCCAATTTAAATATGGCTTCGGGTGCCCGAATTCGAGTAATGTCAATCGTGCACCCGAATAGAACAACTAACGACCAAATGAAATTGCGCCATAAAGCATGATAAAGACCAGTGGCAAGACAGATTTAAAAACCACTGGAGGACATTGGTCTAGACGGCAAAGATATACGCATCATACACAACTTGTATAAGAACCAGAGAGCTAGTATTGGAGTTGATAACGAAGAAACTGAAGACATTGAGATTTGTCGTGGCGTCCGGCAGGGTTGCATTCTCTCTCCGATGCTTTTTAATATATACTCAGAGGCCATAATGTCGGAAGCTCTTGAAAACCTCGAGGTTGGAGTGAAAATAAATGGCAAGACGGTAAACAATCTACGCTATGCAGATGACACGGTTCTCATTGCAGCTTCAGCAAACGACCTACAGGCAATGATAAACCGGGTGAATGAAAGTAGTGAAAAAGCGGGGCTGACTATTAACACCAGTAACCAAATTCATGGTGATATCGAGGAACCCAGATTTAAACCCTAACATACTGATAGGCAACAAAAACCTAGAGCGTGTGCGACACTATAAGTACCTCGGTGCTTGGGTAAATGAAGCATGGGAACCTGATCAAAAAATCAAGACCCGGATTGAGATTGCCCGAGCCTCATTTAACAAAATGAGGAATATTTTGTGATGTCGTCAAATAAACATTAAGCTCCGAGTTAGAATGCTTTTATGTTACATCTGGCCCGTAGTCACCTACGGCTGCGAAGCATGGACCTAAAAAGAGGACACTGTGAAACGTGTCGAGGCATTTGAGATGTGGTGTTATCGTCGTATGCTCCGTATCAGCTGGACTGAAAAAGTCAGGAATGAAACCGTACTCCAGCGTGTCGAAATGACTCGGAAACTCATGCAAACCATCAAGAAGCGCAAAATAGAATACCTCGGTCACGTGCTTAGACACGACAGGTACGAGCTGCTCCAATTCATAATGATGGGCAAGGTTGAGGGTAAAAGGCGCGTGGGACGCAGGAAGAAGTCCTGGCTACGAAATATCAGGGAGTGGACGGGGATCAGTTCCGTCGAGCAATTGTTTCGCCTCGCCATAGATAAGGAGAAGTACAAAAAGTTAGCGGCCAACCTTCAATAATGAAGAGGCACTTAAAGAAGAAGAAAGACAGATTTCGCGAGGCCCTGTTCTGTGGCGAACTGAAGACGGATTTTATAAAATAATAAAAAAACGCTTTTAAGCAATGCATGAAAGTTTTTGAGGCGCGAGGCCCCTTGTACCGCGAGGCCGTAGGCCGCCTCTGATAAAGACAGACTTGTCAATTTTACAAATAGTAAATGATAGCCAAGTGAAGTGCTAGCATAAGGGTTCAATACAAAATTCTACCTTGCCGTTTAAGCAGCGTCAAACTTCTAGGGCAAAGCCACAGACAAATAAACTTTCTTAAACTTTTCTTTAGATTTAAACATCTAGCAGTTAAATGCTTAAAAATAAATAAAAACATAAATCAACTTTCGTTAAGAACGTTTTTGTATGTTAAATTGCTACTGCGCATGCTTCCTTGTCTATGGTCGAAACTCAAGAAGTTTGCCAGGGTGTTTAATTTTTCATTTAAATACTTGATTTTCCACAAAGTACAAAATGGCTTCTCCATTCATTAGCCTAGCCACCGCCGACAGTGATTCTTCGCATTCATTCACTGTAAAAATCCTTTGTATTTTGATAATGTTGATAAATATAAATATGACATCTTATTACAATGGTAGCCTATATTTTTATAAAAACCCAACCCAAAATCGCTGCTAACAAGATGAAAAAAAGATTTTCTTACTTTATTATTTACATGCAAAGGTATTTCCTGCTCTGGGGGGCTACAACGTAACAACGTAACTGTTAATGTATTTTATTATTTTACTTGCACATATTTATTCATTTGTCGCAGGCACCGAATAACCAGCTAATGAACCTAGGAATATTTATTTTGCATTTTAATAGGATATTGAACAATAAAATAGGTTGGAATAACTAAAATATTAAGTTCATCCAATAAAGTTACATTGAAGACCCCCTTGTCGGACAGCAAGCAACATTATAGGAAACGATGGGAATCCACTAAAATGTGTAAATGTTCCCAATTTCTAATTACATATTAATTTTATTAATTCTACATTCCCTCTTAATGACCGGGAACAAGTACATACAAATGTATATCCTATGTTCCAGCTCGAGTCTACATTCAAGTCGGAGAAATTCTTTAATATACTTTTCAAGACTTGTTGTTGCATCATTTTGGTTGCAACAAGTAGATTGTACAATCACTGAACAGCCAAAATAATATATAAACTAATACCCTAATTAAACAACAAAATGCAAGGCAAGTATTTCATAAAACTATACCAACTATGATTACTGGGGGACAGCTGTGAATAAGTAAAAATGTTTTATATATTACAGATATACACAAGTCTTTTTTATGTTAGCTAAAAACATTTTCATTCCAGCTTTGTTATAGAATAAAGCAAACAAAATAATAAAAGAGTGAAATGCTTTAACAAACACAAAGACAAGAAGACATTTTGTTATTTTAAAAATACTTATTATAAAACAGAGTTTTTTTATTTATATAAGAAGAATAATTCGTAATAACTGCTTCATTATCTCTTTTAGAAATAAGTGGACACAATACACACGCACAATATGTCACTATTAATGTACACCTATGAAATCATTCAACATTAATAAAATTAAGCTGAATAAAATAGGCACATTTACAAGATTTTATTATGAAATACTCTTTCCTAAATTCGTTATAATTAATTTTTGAAAAGCTGAAATGAAATATTTTATCGACAACTGAATTTGATTATACAAAGAAATTGGCTTTTCAATGTAATTAACATTTTTTTAATAATAAATATCTGTAGAAGACAGATTTAATTAAAGTAATATATATACCACAACCGAAAGTAAACCATATCTGATTGCACTAAAGTTGTAGATCAAACGCACTCCCCTATTTTTAATAAGGATTAAAATTGACCTTAAATATATTAAATACAGCAAACATTTTGTTTCACCAAAAAATATATTCCACTAAATAATATTACGCAATGCATCGCATTCGCAACATTGTAAGTAATATTGATGTCGCGATTATGGCATGATTGTTTATACTTAAAACTAAATTTAACATCAGTCTCTCCTTTTGATTCTGTATAGAGAATGACAAGGATACACTGTTGTCAAATCAAATTTTAGTCTCAGAGAATCATGCCAACAACGGCACCATTGGTGTCGATTCTGGCATGATTCTCTAAAGCTAAACTTAAGTTTGACAACAGTGTATCTCTGTCATTCTCTATACAGACTGAAAAGGACAGACTGATGTCAAATTTATTTTAAGTTAAAAGAATCCTGCCGGAATCGACACTATTGTATCACTAAATTTAAGCCTATACAGGTATTAAATCTACACTAAAATAAATAGTTATATACAAAATTAATTTTTGGTTTCTGTCAGTACAACAAAAGATTTTAACTATGCTCAAGAAATTTAGAAGAGGACTAATTTTGCATTATAAACGCATCGGAATACTGTAATAGAGTTATCACAACAATTTCAAAATCCAAGGAGGAAGCAGGACGGCCCTCTACATTAACATATAGCGTCGTCTCGCTTCAAAATTGCAATATTAAAGTCCTCACTCACTGTATGAACACTTCACTGATACAGCAATCGAATTTGCCATTCGATTGTGTGCCTTAAACAGTTTTAATAAAGTCCATGAGCAGGAATACAATAGCCCTTTCCACAATGGTAATAAAAACAGCAAACGCAATGGCTCATGAGTATTATCCCTATTTAGAGTTAAGCAAACCAGAAATATATCACATTTGGGCATTTTGTTGTTTTCAATTGATAAATTTTATCTCATCGTTACAATAGGGATGATGACTATTTTTTTTTCTTCGTTTATCAGGTAGATTATCAAAAAGTATTGGACACGTATTTTTTCTTTTTTCACATAATATTAACATTGCAGAGATATATTGATTTGAAAAGTCACATGACCTCACTTTTTGGTACAATTTTCACTTAAAAGTCACGTCACGAGCCCCTACTCCCAAACTTGGACTATATATAACTTTGTCATTTTTTTGTATTTGTTGATTGCCCAAAGTAAAAATACGTGGCCATTAGTTTTTGATCATCTAACTGACGGACTAAATAGAATTTCGATTACTGTACCCCGTCATCACCCCTATTAAAATGCCTAGACTACTGCAACCATTTGCAACATGCGATTAAATCTAAAACACCAATGTGAATTTAACTGTCCCAACGAAGGACAGGACGATGTATTCAGAACTATATTAAGTGCACTAATAGATTGTAAAAATGGCACTGGCTGTACATGGTTTAAAGACCAAAATTCCCTCAATATACCAGTTGAAGAAAAATAAACCGTAAGTTGTCCAACAAACGGTATATTTCAGATCAATATAAGAAGGGATGGTCAATCATGAAAATAGCTATTAAGGGGATTTGTACTTATCACACTCAAATCACGAATACTGCACCGGGATTCGAACCCAGAGCCTTTGGAAAAGAAAATGATTTCACCAACCGTTTGTCAAATTTTATACAATACATTTTATCTGACACAACGAATCACCATTTCATTAATGAATCTAAAATATATTGTGTGTCAGGCAACTTCGTGTCCATTTTCTAGGAACTGGGTTAGTACGGTAGAACATTTAGTCTTAACTGGTCACAAAAACGCAGAAATATCAATAACAATTTAAAAGTTTCTTTCACTGAGTAGAATTAGATTTAGCATTATAAGAATTACCTTGTGTTAAAGCTAATTTAATTTGCCTCCGGTATCAAGGAAGCGAAGAACGATGTGAAAATCATCCATCCCACTGCCAGTAAAGATTGGTCGTTCGCTGCAGGTTGTGGGTTGATGGGTTGACTTTCTGGTTGATTGCTGGCATTTTCGTTTTGGTTGCCAGGCTGATTTTGGTTGCCCGGTGGAATCTGGTTTTCCGGTTGATTCTGGTTGCCGGGTACATTTTGGTTGTCAGGTTGATTCTGGTTCGGGTTGTTCGGCTGGTTCTCAGGTTGTGCCACCTCGTGGTTGGCGTGCAGATCACGGAAGAAACCAATTTGGTGTCTGTGAAAGAATTTCTTTTTTTATAAGTGATGAATATACGTTAATTTTTGATTTGGATTGGACATTCATGCAAGCATTTTAATAATAATAATATTTCCAACACTCACACCAATTAGCCTAGCCCCAAAGTAAGCACTGTAAGGCTTGTGTAATGGGATGCTAGGGTAATGGATAGAATACATAATTATACTGTACATATATAAGTATATTTATATAAATACATATTAAACATCCATGACTGGAGTACAAATGCTTGTATTCATCACACAAACATCTGCCCCCACCGGGATTCGAACCCGGGACCTCTCGAGTCGGCGACACCATGAAACCCGGCGTACAAACCACTCGGCCACGGAGGTCGTCTTTACTTGGCTATTTGTAAACTTGACAACAGTCTGTCCTAATCATGTTTTAGAAGGAGTGAAAAAAAAATACATGCTTTATAAGGACAGACTGATGTCGACTGACTGTATTTTTCTTTCTTCTCTTTTCTGTGATGTCACTGCTCTGGGTATGGCAGAATACCAGTGCAGCAGGAATTTTACCTGCTGTATATGCTGAGCCATATCCAGTGTTGGCATCTTATAAAATACACATTTATTATCTGTAGCTGTTTTTTTGTTTGTTGTAATTTTTTTTTTGTACATTGTGTTTTACTTTATGTTATATGTATTTTTTGCATTGTATGTGTATGTCATGCAATATTGCTGTCAGCAATAAAATATTTTTTCTTTTTTTCTTTCAGTTAACAAATAGCAAACACGACTAGGTAAGTAAAATGCCGGCATCAAAACAAAAATTATCATGTAAGTTGATATTAAGGGGGTTTTGTTTGATACGCATTACGTTTACATCAAACCACTGAATCGATTTTGATGAATTTTGATATACATAGATTCGACCCTGGAGACGAAAAAGAGCCTAGTAGGCTCTTTTTCGTCCTAAAAAATCTTGAAGGGGGTGGTGGGCGATTCCGTCTACCTAGTTAAAATTGTAAGTAGCGCACGGCACTAGTAAATAAAAAAATAACCAACACTTACAGGTATCCAGCAGCTGCCAGCAGTAACACTAGAAGCAACCTTGCAGGGCTGCCATACAAATACACCAGAGAGAGCAGGATCGCCAATCGGGAAGCCGCGTAAATTTGCTCCAGCCAATCCTGGGCCTGGCCTTCTTCTTCCTCCCCTCCCCCTACGACGGGTGGCGCGGCCGCGGCGGGCGGAGGCTCCGTGGTTGGGACGGGCCCAGTGCCTACTGCGGCGCCAGGCACTGTGGTGGTCGCTTGCCACCTGCGGGAGACCAATTTGTTAAATTTGTATTTTGAGGAGCTCGATGGCGCAAGTGGTTAGCGCGTTCGGCTGCGATCGTTGAATTTAAGCAACTTTCGCAGTGGTCGGTCATTGGATGGGTGACCAAAAATCATCTATCTCGAGTTCCTCCGTGCTTCGGAAGGCACGTTAAGCCGTTGGTCCCGGCTGCATCTGCAGTCGTTAGCACTCGCCAATCCGCATTGGGCCCGCGTGGTGGGTCATGTCCCTATCTCCCTATTCCATCCATAGGGAAGGCCTGTGCCCTAGCAGTGGGGACATTAATAGGCTGATGATGATGATGATGTACTCTGTTCAACTCTTAGACATAGAAAATGGATTGAGGGAGTCTCGCATGAAATTGTCAACTCCATTAAAAGAAGAAACACCGAGCGTAGCTCTCTCCATCGCTACATGCTCGGTGTTTCTCTACGTGATCAAATCAGAAATGAGGAAATCCGTAGAAGAACTCGAGTAACCGACATAGCTAAGCGTATCGCCATGTTGAAGTGGCAATGGGCAGGGCACATTGTTCGTCGAACCGATGGATGTTGGGGTCCTAAGGTGCTTCAATGGCGACCTCGCACCAGGTAGCGCAATTTCGGTAGACCCCTTACCAAGTGGACTGATAAAAACGAATCGGAGGGACCCACTGGATGCGGAAAGATCAGGATCATTGTTTTTGGAGATCCATAGAGGAGGCCTATGTCCAGCAGTGGACGTCTATCGGCTGATGGATATAATGATGATACTTAATAGAAAGAAGAGCAATAATGCAGCCCATAAATATCCGAACTATTAACCGTATGTGTCATCTCACTCACACATATCTACCCAGTTGGGACGGGTAACGCACGCAAGGAAATGCATTTTCTATATGACTGCTCAGTCCGCGTGCTGACTGAATCCAGCAAATGCAGTCGGGACTAGGGTTGCCACCTTCTTTATGTCCAAATAAAGTACATTGGATATTAAAGGCAGAAAAAAAAGTACTTTGTTTCCAAAATACAGTACATTTTATTCCACTTTATAAGTAAGCTTAAAAATATATTTTACGTTGCTTATAGCAACTTTATATAAATAATTTTTAGCTACTAAAAATCTGTAGTTCTTATCCGCAATGGGAAAGGCTATTGTACAAATCCATAGAGCCGCGATAATGTTGCAGGAATAAGCTAAGGGCGACATATTATACATACTGCTGTTCCGTTTTACGCAAAAATTCTGCCTATCCTCTTTTTGTATATTTTATGTAAAATTAATCCCCAAGTAATCAAATCACATTAAATAAAGTATTTTCGCGTACTTTATTGTTGGCATAAAGTATAGAGTACAATTACCCGAAATAACGTACAATGCTTTATAATAAAGTGCGGATGGCAACCCTAGTCGGGGCTTACGACTTAAACATACCACCTAAAGGACTGAAGAGATAGAAATAATGGCGCGATTACAAATAGATAGCCCGAATACGGGCAAAAGACTAGGTGCAAATGAACGGAGTCGACAAATGATAGAGCGGTTTTGGAAACATTGAAATGTGCACGGCAAATGTGTACCTGAACTGCCTAAAAACCGCTATTGGATTTTTCATACCTGCGCAATTTATAACTTGAAAACGGTAAGTAATACAAAAAAATTGTTTATACAAAAGTTGTTGGTTTTCCATTTAAAGTTTTCCATTAAAATGATATTTTCAGGGTGAAAAAGTGAAGTTTTGTTGTACGACATTGCAACAATGACATAAATTGTAGTACTCAACGCGCTCTACAATTATGGTCGAAAAAAAATGTTTCTAAAATGCATACAATACAAGAAAAATGCGTTTCAAAAATGTTTTGCGGTTTTTTTTGAGTTTTTCAAAAAAACGCCTACGAGTTGAACAATTTGAACATGCCCATCGCCAAGGTGGCTTACTGACGTCATTTGGCAACAAAAAAAACAAGACTTACCCTTTAGCTTTTTTTTTCACTGAAACGATATTTTTTTCGACAGATTGACTGTACTAAGTGTAAATATTGCTTCGGGTGCATGAATTGGAGTAATGTCTTTCGTGCACCCGTCTACGGGCTAAAGATCAAATGTCATTGCGGCATATTACATCTCCGGTCCCATGAAGGCCCATTGAGAAAGTATCTTAACTTCCACAACCGCCATCAATGAGTTCCTTATCGATTATCCATCCTTAGGTACTAAAAGTATAGATGAGAAGGTCATTTTGTCCGTCTGTCTTATAAGGTTTGTGAAAAGCCTAAATCTCTCTCTGATGCATATATTTCTTGGTATAAAAGGGTGCTCGCGTAAGACAGAGGCCTGTTTTGTTACTAAATAAAATTAAGGACGGCATAACCAATGCCCATATCTTCAATATGAAATATATTATGTTAACAAATGAGGACCACCAGCAATTTTTGTAAGCCTCAACAAGGTTAAAGAAAAATGCCAATGTGAAGAAAACAACCTCTTTCCCGAACATAAAAAGAAAGGTGTGAATGAAAATTCTCCTAAATGCTTCGTAAAAGGCTTAAATTAAATGGTCGAGGCAATGTGTTTAAAATTCATAACCAACAGTTGTTCTAGAAAGCACGTGTGCAGTAGAGCGAAACAGTAAAATGTTGACAAACGCAGGAGTCAAGGTAAAAAAGTCTAGGTCACGCCGAGTGATCTCATAGATAGGCGTTCGTTCGTTCATTGCCGCAATTTTTGGAAACCAAACATCTGCGCAAACGCATCCGCAGAAAAAAAAACAGTTTTTGAGTTTGGATTTGTCGCTTTTGACTAAGATATTTTTAAAAAACAATTTGGAACTATACAGACACCAATCTAAATTGAGTCTTTGGACAATTATGTTAAGATTCAAATTCAACTTGAGATTTCCGGATACCTGATCGGGCGTGTGATTTGTCATCATTTTGTTTGGAGATTAACGAAGCAAGACGTTGCGTCATTGAGGTGTTGTGTAGTAGCTATTGGAGATAGATTAATACATCTACATTGGGAATTATATGACTCAATTATAGTACCCGATGATTCTGATAACATCTGGGATGGGTACGACAAAGCTATTTTAAGCAATGACCTTTGTACCGTACGGATTTACAAAGTACATAATTGTTGTGCTCAAGCAGAGTCAGTTCAGAACAAAGTGTAATTTCTGACACGCAAAACATTGATGCGTTTAAAGCGTGCACGCGCAGTTTCAAGCATAATTTAAATGAGACAAACCATACTTGTTATCAAAATCAAAGGCTTATATTTAACTGATAACCAAAAATGGTAAACGGCCACCAAAGAAATATGACGAAGACCCATATTATAGAAAGATTCTCAGTAATGAATCTAGTCTTGAGCTTGAGCACATAGCGACATCCCTTTCTAAGTGTATTCAAGTAAAGATCAACACTTAGTTATCATTCTGTAATACGGGCCTAAATGATTTCCAAAAAAATACAACTGCTAACCTAACCGATTGTAACATTTTGGGTAAACATTACAATATTTTCCAAAATTCGTAGTCAATAATTTCGATAATAGCAAGAGTAGTCTTTCTGGCTACTATTTATTCATATATATATATATATTTCTTAAGCAATTAACTGCTAGTAGTTTAATTCTAAAGATACTTCTAATACTATTTATTTGTAACGGAGCAGTATCCTTGTACTTTCTCCGTGTATCGCATTTGATGCAGATCGATCTATTTCATTTGACTTTAATCTACAATTATTGAATTTGGTCAATTTTGGATTTTGTAGATATACCAGATATACCATGTGAAACAAATTCACACCCACATAGGGTAAAATATGAATGGATATTACAATTTTATCTAACACCAAATTATGCACTCTTATTTGAACAAATAAATAGATTGATTGATTAACTATGAAAATATGCCCCATTGAGATTGCTACACCGCTAACCGTAAGCCGTAAAATTGTTAGACTACAAAGTTACAAAAACAAATAAATCACAATTAATGAATCATTCTTAATATTGTTATCTCATTTATAAGTGTGTCATTGAAAATGATACATATGAATAGATAAACATATACAAGAGTAAATTAACATAACTTTAATTTTAAGAGAGCTAGAGTATATTTTTAGGATCATCCGATCGAATTGGAGAGTAACCTCCGCCTTACAGAAGATCGCAATAAAATAACACTAGCTTTTGTTGGTGAGTAACGTAGGCAACGGTCCGAGTGATATTTTTGGTCGCAAGCAGACCCCTCTTTCCCAGTGGGTACTTTGGGGAAGTGCCCAGGGCCCCGCGATCGATAGGCCCCCTCGGATCAAATACAAAGTCCCTAGTTCCTGTTAAATCACCAAACGGGGGTCATAGGGGCCCCATTATCCTAATATGCCCAGGGCCTCCAATAGGTCAAAGACGGCACTGATCGCAAGCGTCTTTAAGCTATAGTGGCCGTTTACCATCAGCCGGGCCATATGCTTGTTTCCCACTCGCTTAAAATAAAAAAAAGAGATAAGTAAATATCTTTGATTATTTACTCTTTAGATAGAGCGTGGCAGCGCAGATGACGTTGAAAAAAATATCAGCCAAAGGCTGGACTCTAAGTCGTTTCTCGTCACATAGTGTTTTTATCGGAGTGTTTGATCGGTGACGCTCTATCTAGAGAGTAAATAATCAAAGATACGTATATATTTCAGCTGTTTAAACTACTACAGTTCATAAAATAGATCCCGCTGTCAGAAGGACGGACGAATGCTTAGCATTAGGGTTCCGTCGTTCCTCACTTTGTCCGGAGCCTTTAATTTTCCGCCACCTTATAACAGTTTGCAGCTGCCAAAAGATGTGCTTTAACAATGAAAATGTTGTTACGCAAATGCTAGAATATCTTATCTAATGATAAGAGTTTATAAAGATTGCATTTATTCAATCGTCATTTTGTTGGTTTCGAATAACACATGCTTTTAACATTGAAAATGTTTTTTCGTTTGCTCTAGTGGGCCGCCATTTTCGCTTAAAGTGCGACTCGCCCGTGATACCCCGAGGTTTAGGGCCACGAGGACGTATGAGAGCTTAAAACACGCGGAATTTGAAGGGCTTAAAATGTTGTAAATATATTTTGGAAAAGTTGGTTTTAAAAAACAAAAATTTCAATGCTCTTTCAAGTCGTGTAGAGCACGAGATCTGTGATTTTTTTTACTTTAATAGGATAAGACGATAATCAATATACAATCAGAAATAGATAATGTTGTCAAATTTCTGTAACTGACCTTAAACTCAAACAAGCCATTTGAAAATGTACAATTTCATGATCATCATAAAATTACACTTTATGATACATACTTTGGTGGTAAATAGACCACTTCACACGGCTATTCGTATTGGCTATTTGTCATTTTGACAGCAGGTTGTCCTTATCTTCATATTAGTACAGTCAATCTGTAGGTTGAGTGGTGAAAAAAAAAACCTAAAGGGTAAGTCTTGTTTTTTCTGTTGCCAAATGACGTCAGTAAGCCACCATGGCGATGGGCATGTTCAACTCGTAGGCGTTCTTTGAAAAACTTAAAAAAACCCTCAAAAATTTTTTTGAAACGCATTTTTCATGTTTTGTATGCATTTTAGAAACTTTTTTTTCGACCATAATTGTAGAGGGCGTTGAGTACTACAATTTATGTCATTGTTGCAATCTCGTACAACAAAAAATGCGTATTGTAGGTGGCGCTAAAGTCTCAAAAAAAGTGTTTTTTCACCCTGAAAATATCATTTTCTTTTTCAAAAAACTCCTACGAGTTGAACATGCCCATCGCCAAGGTGGCTTACTGACGTCATTTGGCAAGAGAAAAAACAAGACTTACCCTTTAGGTTTTTTTTCACTGAAACGATTTTTTTTCGATAGATTGACTGTACTTAATGGAAATAAAAAGAAGATAGATAAAAAGAGAGAGAAGAGACATATTTACAAATAGCAAATAACAAGCCATGTCCATGTGAAGTGTCGGCATGAGATGATTCGTAAATGATGTTTGTATCAGCAACATAGGACGCTAGTATGCTGGTGCGCAAATAAGGTAATTGGGTAACTCATAATTTTTATTTTATTAGTGTACTGTATGCTTTCAGTAGCAGCTGACCTTTACAGCGTCGCCGGCTGTGGGGACGGCGAGATCCTAAGGGGACCTCAAGCCGAGAATTGGCGAGTGCCTTTAGAGGTATTCCAGGCGGATGGCATCTCCCCACGGGGGGAGTCTCCTCTCCGTCTGGAGCCTCTAGACCACTCGTACCTGAGGGGGTCGGCTCAACTAGAGGGCGTCTCTGAAACTCGGACCTCGGCTCTAGTTAACCGTTGTCGTGGTCACAAAATCTACTGATAAGGATCAGTAAATAACATTTTATCTGTTTGATAAGAGTACGAAAAAACTTAATTAGTAACGTAAGTACTTATATGTATGCATGAGTAATCTATTCTATAGAATTAACGTCAAGTGACCACAATCTGCGAAATTTTCTCAATAGATTGTGCATCTTAAAACAAGCTAAATAAAGCTCAATGTCAGTTGGGGTATTTTGACAGAATTGGATAACTTATCTGTGGCTGTATAAAAAGTAATAAAGGGACTTACATGTTGGCATACTGCTGCATGTATTGCATATAAGCTTGCTGCATCATCATCATGTGGTTGGCTAACAACGCTGGGTCATTCGGCACAGGGAGGTATCCTTCTCCAAAATTATAGTTTGGGTACGGAGGCACTCTCCCATAGTTGTTCACGAATGAACTCAAATAGTTCTGCATCTCAACATTGTGGTTTTGGTCGTTCTGTCTCATTTCTGGACGGGGTTCGGTTGGGGTCGGATTGGCAGTATTGGTCGTTGGTACATTTCTCTGCCTCAATCCATCAGTGGGAGGTTCTACTGGGGGTTGGGTCTTCTGTGGCGGTGGCATCCTTTTATTTGGTGAGCACACCAGGTGCATAGTATGCGCGATCTGGCTTTCGTACGTGCGTAATACGTCTTTTAATATAGTGTTGTCGTCCAGCAGTTGGCCAGAGTAGATTATCTTCTGTTCTTCTGTCCTCTGCAAAGACAGGATAATGGCACTTTAATAGTTTAGTTCAGGTGGAAAAGTGTTCAGTTATCATAGTTATAATGGTTAGCTCGTTTTCTATTCAGTGACGTAAGTTACTTTAACATTTCATATATCGCACCTCCGGTGCGACACTGTTACTTATGCAAAAAATAATTTTTCAGGAGGAGCGTTTAAAACTTTTACATCTCCAAACATACAATATTTATTAAAGCTTATACTGCTTAGCTATTTATCTAAAAAAAATTAAAAAAGAACTTTAAATATTGTATGTTTTGGGATGTTAAAGTTTTAAACGCTTCTCCTGAAAAAATGATTTCTTTGCATAAGTGACAGTGTCGCACCGGAGGTGCGATATGTTAAAGTGAAATTTCAATACAAGACAGTATTTAAAATTACATACATACATAAGGTTAAGTTAAGATTTTGGTCAAAATGCGTTTGTGTTACAAGGTATTTTAGTCGTATTTCTAATAGTTTATTATATTTGCAAGCATTCTTATTATTGTCAAGGTAATTATTTCTATAACCGATTTATCAAATGCATCACTGAAGATTATAAATAAAGCATAAATAATTTTATTAATTTAAAGTTTTATATTTAAACATATTTTTCCACTAGCATATTGCTTGCTATGGTTCTGTTCAATTAATTAAAACATTCAAAATGTTTTGATTGTTACAGCTCGTTAAAATCTTTATCGGTGTGGTTGCAAATAACTACAACATAACTAGGATTGTATTAATAAAATTTGTTACATAAAATGGTAGTTAATTTCTTACATGCTCTTGTTTACTTTCACCTGTACTATTTATATGTTCACTTGTCTATCACTATATAGTATAAAACTAAGTTGCTTTTAGTCTGCCTGTCCCTATGTATGCTTAGATCTTTAAAAATAGGCAACGGACTTTGATGCGGGTTTTAGGGCTCCGTAGCCAAATGGCAAAAAACGGAACCCTTACAGAAACGTCATGTCCGTCCATATGTCACAGCCATTTTTTTCGAAACTATGAGAACTGTTGAAACTTGGTAAAGAGATGTATTCTGTAAACCGCATTAAGATTTTAATACAAAAATAGAAAAAAAAACATAAAATTTGGCCATACTTAGAAATGAAACTCAAAATTTTTTTTTTCTTCCATCCCATAAATGTGGGGTATCTATGGATAGGTCTTCAAAAATGATATTGTGATTTATGTTTTTTTTTATAAACTGAATAGTTAACACGAGAGACACTTCCAAAGTGGTAAAATGTAAAATGGGGGCCATACAAATTTGAACCATGTGCTTTAAGAAGATGACCAAAAAGTTTATTGAGTACTTATTTATATTATTTTCTTTGAAAGTTAATATTTAAATACCATTTTTTTTTTAATTATAATTTTAACCTCCTAACTTGACAAGATAACTAAAATACAAATAATAATAAATATACAAAAAAATGTGAACCAAAAGTAGTTAAAATAACAAAGTGAAGACGAGCTAAACTTTTGAAAATTAGTAATTTATTTAAAAGATTTCTTATTAGAATTTCTAATTTAACATATGCTTATAAATATAATCAAATGAAAAACTAACACAATTTTTGTTTCACAATAAAACATAGTCTACCACAAAACGAAGACTGTTTGTATTATCTTCAGACAATAACTAGATAATGAATATTTGTTTTTCATCATCACAATACTGGCTCTTTATTATATTAAAAAGATCTCTCTGTTTACTTTAAAGTATTTTTTTGAGTAAATCAACTGCCCCTTATTAAGGAATGAAAAGAATCATTATAGGCCGTCATTTAAGGCACAGAAGAGGTCTAATACTATTAAATCTTACCGGTTTGCTAGGATACACTTCGGAAAGATGTCCTTTCAGCTGGCGTACAGTCCATGACGATTGGCATTCTATATTCTGATCTTCAATTTGTTGATTCGGTGCCTTAACAATCAGCGTCACGTTATCTGGTATCATTTTCAATCATCCAATTTTTGCTTGTCGTGTTAGGTATTATTAGATAATCAACAAGAAACACTGGTAATTTTAAGCAGCACGCCTATCGAAACAGTCTCACAATTAAATAAAACGTTTACACGAAAAATTTTCCGGCTGATGCAATAACTATTCTAAAGATATCTTGTTTCTCAGATGGATTATCAATGGACAAAGTTTAATAGGTTTTCATGTAAATAAATACTTCGCACAGGTATAATAGAGCCTAGCACTTGTCAATTTGCCATTGAATGAAATTATTTGTCGACATTTCATTGGTCCAGCGAGTATTCCTGACGTCACATGTTTGTTTATTAATTTACTTGGATTTATTAGTAATTCTATTCAATGGAAAATACAAACAAAATATTAATGAATAGGTAATATGAATGTAAATGTATTAAAAAAAATTCAATGCGGTTTAATTTTGAATAATATCTAAATTAAATGAGGTAACATGAAAGTCGTATAACGGAACGTTTTATTTAAAAGACAGTGCCACAGAGTTAACGCTAGTACCGTATGCCTTATCTATGGTCAGTACCCTCTTTGATAAACGCATAGATGAAATAGGATTAAAACTTATGTCTCACAATCTCTCTCTTTCATGCTTTATAGAACATGACAAGGACATACTATTGTCAAAAGTGGTAAGGCACAATTTAGTCTTTTCTATAATATATGATGCATTATTACATCGTTACAATTTTTTCGTTCATCTTTAGTACGCCTCACAGGCATTTCATTTTTAATTTATTATTAAAAAATCCAAACCTTATAGTATTAACCGATGCATTTTGAACCACGTCATAACGATATTTAAATAGGATGTAAAAACAGACAGAATACACATCGCAAGTGTTCCAAACGTAGATAGAGAAACTGATACAATGTGACTTAGGATACTAGTATACTCTATGGGCCAATGGTTACCCTATCTACGGTACCAAAAAAATTAATTGTGCATGTGTGCATGTCGGTCTTTGATTCTGAATTTGTAAATGATAGTGTTGTTTTGTCAAGATATGATTCCAATAAAGTAAAGGCAGAAACATATTAACGTGTTATATCGTGTCGCGATGCGCCAGAAGCACATCGGTTTCATACATTTACTATGGTTAGAGACATATTTACGTATCCTGTTGTGACGATGCTCTAACCTCTCTCTCTCTAACCATAATAAATGTATAAAATCGATGTGCTTATGGCGCGCCACAATACGACTCGACACGTTAATATGCTTCTGCCTTTACTAATGCAGTGCTATTCGTATATGTTGTATGCTCGTAGATTACAAATAGTTCTCACACTTCTCGCAAAAGTTTATCGAGAAAGTTGGCTCAATATATTATGTGTTATCCATTGCCAGCCAATAAACAGTCCACAAATATTAAAATGAGTCACACCCACATTGTAATGTATAGAAATAAGAGAAATAGAATTACTAAAGACGAGGCTGTGAGTATTTAGTATCCTTTGCCCTTTAAAAGGAGAATATTAAGGCAGAGACAGACTGGCCCCACGTACGCAACGTATGCAATGCATTATGACATCTGCACTATGGAAACATTGTGATGCTGCGTGCTTCTAACACTTGTCATACGCAACGCTGTCCCACGCGTCCCATGCAACGTTCGACCTGTCGCGCCAGATTAGTGTAGGAAGGTGAAAGGGGTATTCCCAGGCGCCAGGCGTACGACCTGTGTGTGTATCTAAATCTTTCATTCACATCGCGTCAGACACAAGTTGAACGTCGTTTTATAAGCATTGTGGAAAAATGGCAGATGTTGTTCATCTGCCATTTTCATCATCATAGATTTGGTTAGACAATGATGTCGATTATGGCATGATTCTCTAAAGCTAAACTTAAATTTGACAACAGTGTATCTTTGTCATTATCTATACATAATGAAAAGGACATACTGATGTTAAATTTAGTTTTAAGTTTAGAGAATCCTGCCAGAATCGACACCAATATGAAGCTATTTATAATATTAAATGTATTGAAAATCTTATTAATTCATCAAAATGCAGCATAGGAAGAAATAGTTAACTATAACATTTCTTCAATTCTTGTGGTGCGGAAATATTCCGTTAGAAATAACAAACAAAGATCGTCCTCTAATTCACTCTTACAATCAGAAAATTCTGCAATAATTGTGCACCTGAGAAATGACAACAGCATCTGATGAAGTTATACGTCGTATACGTGGCACAAATGTGCACACTAGCTCTCCCACGTTACATCGCATACGTTGCATAGGTGGGCTCAGTCTGTCTCTGCCTTTACAATTGCAAATAAAACACTGAGCTACGTTCAAAACTCACGGTTTGAGAGTAACGTAAACTTATTTGACATAATGAATGGCATTTGTTGCACCTGGAGCTCGAGTTTGGAACGCAGCCCCGGTCCGTGATTTGTTTTGTTGTTTGTTATTTGTTTCTGTACACTCTGTTGTTTTGCACTTCATTTTGAATATCTTCACATATTTCTTTATGTATTGAATTTTTGGGAATATATCTTTTAAAAGCGATGTTTTTACTATAAAATTACGTTCATCAGAAATAAACTTACCTCTATTTAACCAGAAAACTATCTAACATTAGAAAAATGGGAGTTACAGTGTAAGTAAATAATGAATATTTCTCTGTACTACGAAACCCTATGTACTCGATTAGATAAAGAATAATGTGGCTTGTTTTTAAAAACATACGAGATCATTTACTTTAGCTGATAATCTGAGACGATTCTGGCGTGATTCTCTGATGTATTTAACATCAGTTTCTTCTTTTCAATCTTTATATTAAATGACAAGGCTACACTATTGTCAAATTTTAGTTTATGTTTAGAGAATCATGCCAGAGTTGACACAATTATTTTGCCATGCTGATGTAGGCTATCTTCTTGATTCAGTGTGTAATATGTGATAATTTAATATTGAATTATTAACAAATAAAACTACTCAGTTTACAGCAGTATCCAGTGCCAGAAAATAAAACAGGGACATATGTGATAGAACTGCTCTCAAAACGCATATTAGCACTAGGAGCTACTCAGCAAGGGCAGTTCCTTGTGGACTGTGAGAGCTATTTATCTCATCCTCAAATGGGTAAGATTAATAGATAAATATTGGTGTCGATTCTGGCTTGATTGGTGTCGATTGATGTTCTGTCAGGCTTTTTCTATAATTATGATGAAGATGATATGATTTTGTATTGACACTGTAACAATATAATATTGTTACATAATTATTTAATGCTGTGAAGCTTTTTTGCCAGTTTTTCTCCACAGCTAAAAAAAATGTCCTTAACTGGTGGTAGGGAAAAAAATTTGGACAATTTAAAAGAGTTGTAATGTACATCCAATTTGAATTTAAGATATTTCGACATTGACATTGATTATCTAAACGTAAATTTAAATTTGACAACAGTGTATCCTTGTCTTTCTCTATACAGAATAAAAAGGAGTTAGAGGTGGTTTTCCAATTACAGAGCATAATGCGACTCAGCTGATGCTTAATTGGAACGTGAATTAGTTTTCAAATGCACCAGCAGAGTGTGTTCAGTTCAAGTTCAGTGTTGAAAAAAATAAAGTCAATGTTTGTATCTTCATCCATATTTATATTAAATTTTTTAACAAAGTTTGAATTAACTTTGATTATTTAAAAAAAAACTATAATGAAACGAAAGTTTTAATAATTTTTCAACAATAAATAATATTACTAACAATAACATATAAATAAAACATTTCGATCAATGCCAACTTAAAGAAAAAACTTTTGTTAATTTTCTGTCTCTGAGTTGGTACGATTGCACACATCACACAAAACCATTACTTTTGAGAGTGCTCGATTGTGCAAAGCGTTGCTGTAGTTGAAACACTCAACATTAAGCATTATGCCGCATAATGCGCTATAATGCTGTAATTGGAAAGATACCAGAGTATCATGTCAGAATCTACACCATTTTCATTACTAGGTAAATAAAAATGTTATGTTTAAAATCAAATCAGTTTTCGCTTTCTAAAATCATGATTATTAGACAGCTTTAGCTTCAAAGATAATTTTAACAAGTTCTATTTTCAATATTATTATATTAAATATCACATTTTTAAATCAAAATAAATTTATGTAGGTATTGATAATCATTAGTTGGTAAAAAGAAAAAAAAATGGGTGCGTGTACTTATGTAGGCGCGTGAGAAGTTATCCTTCTTTGGCATCGTTTAAAATTAGTTTTTAATTGCATGCAAATAATTAATTACAATAAATTAATAAAAAGTCTGGAAAAGGACACAGTCAATAAAGTTCAGTTTTAATTTGAAAAAATAAATAAATAATCAAAATATTCAATTAAAATCGCTACTGAATATAATTTATTAGAACATATGTGATTTGCACTTGTATGAAACTCAAACACGTATTCCGAATATACAAACTAGAAACATGTGGATAAATATTATAAACTAGCGGCCCGCCCTCGCTTCGCTTCGGTGTAGAGCTGAAGTGTAGACTACAGTTTTTGTTCTCAGGCTTGTATTATACACAATGACATTCATCTATGATTCTTCTTATACCTGCATGCAAAGTCTCAGCCCGATCGGTTTAAAATTGATAAAGTTTCATACAAACTTTCATTCCTTATTTTATCCCCTTGGGATTTTCTTTATATTTTTTTCCGTAAGAACCTTGTACAGAGTATTAGAAAACTACAAAAAAAAACAGCCAAATCGGTCAAGCCGTTTTCATGTTATGTCGTGACAACGGAAAACGGGTTTCATTTTTATATATATAGATATGAAAACAGTCTCTGTTCTAAATTCAAAACTCGTAACTTTTCCCGATGTTTGTTGCACGTGTTTCCCGCGCTAGGACCGCGAGTGGCCGCGCATGCGTACGGTGCGGCGGGCGACGCGGTAATGGCAGCGCGGCACATGAAGTTGGTCGCTAAAGCGACCAACTTCATGGTGTTAATTTTTTGTGTTACATGATGCGCGCGCATCTTAAAATTTCACTCTCAACAATTTTTCAGAACGCGCCTAAAGAAGTATAACTTCAAAAATAATGTTCAAATTGGAATCAAATCAGTAATTGCACTCATGTTTTAACTGTGGAGTAAATGTGATTTTTCTTGTCTCTGTATTTTCACAGGTACAACAAAAACTGTACACATACTACACAACTCTGAGCAACCGGCATCTGTGTTCTCAATCTTGGAGAGTGGTACAAAGAACATACATGTAATTGCTGATGGACTCTTTGACTTACTCATGATGAAGCTCTCGCAACATTACACTTCTAAAAAACAGACAAAGATTGAGAGCAAAGGGCCCAGGTTTGAGCTTGGGGATTTCTGCGTTAAGTTAGGTTCTGTAACAATGAATCAGAATTTCAAAGGCATTCTGGTTGAGGTAAGTTTGAGATCAATAAATAATATGGATGTAATAAATTATTACATACAAAAGTAAAGCAAATTAGGTATAAAGTCTTTTTGATTATTTTGCCTATTGTTAGATTCCATTAAAGAAGTAAACTACAACCAACAACAACCAATGAGAAATGTAGATGAGGTTATTTTTTATATTGATTGAGAATTAAAGCGAAGACCATTTCAGCATTGACTCAACAAAGGTTTATTGTGATTTTCAGGTGGAGTATCGGCCATGTGTTATGGCGAATGCTGTCTGGGGACTGCTGCGAGAGTTCCTTCAAGGTCTCCTCGGCCCTACAATACCAGTACAGCCTCCGCAACACCTCCTCAGTAGAATGAACGAAATATACACACCTATTGACACTGTATACCAATACTTAGAACACTTCAGTGCTTATAGAAAAGTCACAGGAATGAGGAATGCGTGAAATCTCCTTTATGTACTGAATAAAGTGAAGTGTATTTAAAAAGGTTATGTGCAGTGAATAAAAACCTTCTGATGGACTTATTTTTAACTTAAGTAGGTATTTAATTTTGTGATTTGTAGCAGAAGAGTTTCTATTGAAAATGTATCTTTAAATTCATACTATTTCATTTAAATTAGCTAGTTCAATAGTGACCGGTTATTATTACTGACTCTTAACAATTTGTGCCTACTGTGGTTTTCTGAAATATGAGTACACATTTGTGAAACGTATTTACACTATTCAGCATTACATTTTAGGAATGATGACGTATGTGGGCATAGTATTAAGAATAGTTATTAATAAATTCTATTTTTCTGCTATATACAATTTTTATTTCTATATTGCAGAGTTTCTTTTTATTTAGGCCTTATTTTCATCTAAAAGAAGTAAATTTAGCATATGCTTTCTATTATTTTTTTATGTATAAAGAGTGGCAAACAAGCTTGGCGTAGTGTAAGCGGCCACCACAGAGTATTGACAGCTTCGTCTTCGTATCGTCGAACGCCGAAGTTTTCATGGAAACCAAGCAGCGACCGTCGTACGCCAGAACAAACTGGCTATAACTATAAATAATTAAATATCACCAACACTCACACCAATTAGTCTAGCCCCAACGTAAGCACTACATGCAACGATATTGAATACCCTAGCCTAGATACACCAAAACGAATAAAATCGTGGCCGAAACCTGTCCAAAAGGTACATTGTACGATCCATGGAGCTCCGTAAGGGTCAATTTTTACTAGCGTAGTCTGAGCGCATCGAAGCGTAAATCCAATTATTAACATAGCAAATTCAACCTTATCTCCACAGCGGACTGCACACATTACTTCGGAGATTTAAAAGACGCGCGCGCATTTGACGGAATTCGCGCGTATGCGCCTGACCAACGCTGATTGGTGCGCGCGCATTCTCACGAATCCGCGTGCTCACTACTCACTAGCGATGGGCGTTCTCTTATCGTCGTCTCGCGCGTCGCCGGCGCCGGAGGCGCCGCGGCGTGCGGGGAATCTGACCTGAGCGGTTGCTCACTGCAGAGGTGGCGGGTTCGCATCTCGTCTTCGGACGAGACGGTCGATGGGGCTGTTACCCCCGCCTCCGCTTCTTCACACATCGCCCTCGGCGCGGTCAAGCCCACCGGGTGAGACCCATGAGGGAGGCCCAGTGAGCGACCTGCGAGCGGGCGATGGACTTCAGCGGGCAGGGGTAGTGGGTGTCCGAGGGTAGGTGGTGCCAGGGTGGGTGCGGAAAAAGTTTTTCCTGACTGCCCGAACTTTTTCGTAAAGTCCGCTAGCAGTTCGGTGAGCTGGAAAATCTGTCTGGCTGTGGCGTCTTCTGGCGGGGCGGGCGGTGACTGGCCTTGTAAGGGTTGGTTGCCTTCATTGGGTGGTGGGGCTGCGGTGGGTGAGTCCGTCGGCGATGTTCCGCTCGCTCGACGGGGCTTGCGGTTGCGTCGCTTGGGGCGGCTGGTGCGGGAGGGAGGAGCGTTCGCGGGGGCCATTAACGTGGCCGGCGCGTGCTCGCTCACCTCCGTGGGCTGCTGGATTGGCTCGGTGGGCGGGCGGCCTGTGCGGGCCACTGTAGTGGCGCGGCGGTTGCGCGCCTCGCGGTGTTTCGCGGGGCACGCGCTGTAGGTTGCCGGGTGCGCGCCTGCGCAGTTTGCGCAAGTCGCGGGCTGTGTTAGCGGGCGGGGGCAGTCTGCGGCGGCGTGCGGGTCACCGCAGCGCACGCAGGCAAGCGGGCGGTGACATCCGTGGCTGGAGTGGCGGAACCCTTGACAGCGGTGGCACTGCGCGGGGGTCTTCCTTCCTCTCCAGGCCTCTATTTGTACTCCGGTCATGTGTAGTAGGGTACTTACGGCGTAGATGGCTGGGATAGTCTCGGGGGTTCGGCGTAGCGAGGCGAAATACAGGCATCCGGTGCGGCCTGCTCGCGCCCGGATCTCCTTTATGTGGTCCACTGCGAAGCCCTCTGCGGTAAGGGCCTCAGCGATGTCGTGCGGCTGGGTATTGGTGGGCAGTCCTCCGATGGCCACCTTCAGATTTCTGTCATCGGGGTGGGCGTGTGAGTACCAGCTAAGTCCGGCCTGGCCTTCCAGTCCGGAAAGGTGGGCCTGGACGAGCTGGGCCTCGTAATCGTCATCCGGCAAGAAACGTACACCCGAGCCAAACGGGCGTACGTTGGGCGAGCGTCCAAGCTTCTGTTTGATTGCGCTCAGATGCTTCGGCCAGTCCTGCAGCTGCTCAACCACTATCGGCAGGGGCTTACGGGCCCGCTGGGACGTGGGAGCGTTGCTGGAGGCCGGTTGCGCAATCTGTGCGGTTGTGGCTGAAGCGGCGGTAAGCGGATTTTTTTTCTCAGCTTCGGGGGTAGGCGCGGATTTTTCCGCGGCCTGCGCGTACGACTGCGTCGGCTGCGTCGGTAAAGCAGTCGGTGTGTCATCTTGCGGCTGGTCTGGGGCGGCGGGGGTGGATTCTTGCTCCACTGTGGGGGTTGTTACCTCTATTTCGGTGGGCTCGTCATCGAGGAAAGGCAGCACATCGCAGCTGTGCGATCGGCGCGGATAGATATCGCGCGGTCGCACTGCGCGGGGCTGTCGCGGCTGCGTCTGTATGGGTTTTAGGTAGATTTGTGTTGGCGGCGGGAGCGTGAGCGGCTGTGCGTTGACCGTGCTGCAAGTTTCGATGAACTTGTAGTCATCTGGGCTGAGCTCGGTCACCGTGCTGTCTTCTTCGTCCAGGATTCGCATGAAAGCCCAGATCCAGTCGGACATCCTTTTGGAAAGCAGGCCAGACTGCATGAGTCGGCTCGACATCGCCGCGTCCAATTCATATTGGGCGCGCTTCGATCTCAAGCCGATCATCTTGGCTGCGAAAAGGGCCTTGGTTTGGGCATAACCTGCGTTCTCTGGAGGGTTGGGGCACTGTGGCATCGTGTGCGTGGTGGTGTCTTCCATGCTGCGGGCTGGGGGCTACGCCTGCGCGAACCTGGCCGAGCGCAGCCTTGCGGCGCGCTCAAGGCCTGCGGCTGTGCGGCAGTCACCGCCGGCGCGGAATGGCGCCGGGCAGTCTCACGAGCGGGAAAAATGCGCAGATTTTTACCTCGGAGAGCTTGCGGGTGGAGGTGGTTCCGTGCAACGGCGTAGTACAGTCCGCGATGGGCGTTGAATTAACGAACGGTTTAAATAGACGGTCTACGTTCAATCGACGCTTCGACGGTCTACAGTTAATTCGTTAACTAGTTGAATTCATAGACGGCTAAACTGAGAGTCCACAGCGTTCATATCTACTGACAAAGCGTCGAAGACGCGTAAACGTATCTGGTTTACCCGTTACAAGTCCATACGTTCGTTCATTCGTTGAAATAAAGCAATTTGAAACTTAAGTATATGGCGTGGGAGTTGATATTTGTTCATTTTTTAAACTAGAGTTGTTAAAGTGAAAAGGTAAGAGTATTTTTATATTGCGTGAAAGAGTACGTCGATGGATCTGGCTAAACGATGCAGTGCAGGATGAACGGGTTTATAATAATGGTTTTCCTCAAGTAGTTGCAGTTTTGTTTATTGAAATTTGAAATTAGTGTGTTGCGAGGTCAAGGTCAAGGGACACGTGAATGCGAATTTAGTGCAAAGTTCGTTTAAATTGAATGTTTATGTTATGAGTTTAATTTGTAAACATTTAAATAACTATAATTCGACGAAACTATAAGACGACGACGGGGTATTCGCTTTACATTATAAAGCGCTTTAAAGCCTGCCGTTATCACGTCAACTAGTCGAAGAATTCAACTAGTTGATCGACTAGTCGATGGACGGTAGTGGACGGTTTCGTTTCGTCGACGAAAAATACGTCGACGACCCACCTCTACACTAACCAACTTCCGCGTCATCAGGTGGAAATTAGCCTATGTTGATAGATCAACTGGCAAGTGATGCAATAGCATGGCTGCTGATAAAAGTGTATTCGCGAGAATACGCGCGTATTCTCGCGCATTCGTGCAATTTCGCTTTAGTTGTGAAGAATTTTACGCTTCGTTGCGCTTCGAATCTGCGCTAGTATAAATTGACCCTAAGATGATCGCGTAGTCAAAAACAATGTAAGGCATTATTTAAACATTGAAAGTCATCTTTAATGCATACCATATAAGGTGATAATTAAAACGCATGCGTCAAAGGATACGACAGTTCGAAATACAAGCTCGTAAAATGTTACGACTTATTGAACTTCGCCTCGCCTGAAGACACAGGAAGCACATTGAAACGTAGTTGTTCATTAATTTCAAAGGGCGGTGCCAGCGTTGACCAGCGCTTGTCGGCACTTGTCGGCGCTTATCGGCGCTGGTCCATAGAAATGCTTGCGCCGAGTATACGGTTGCCAGATTGACTGGACTTGGCTGGATTGTCCAGCTATTTCACACGTTGTCCAGTGTCCCGGTTTTAGGCAAAATGTCCAGCTAAAATGAAGCTGAAAATTAAAAACCACCAGTATTAGTGGTTTTCCACCGAGTTGGCAACACTGGCTCCGCTGCGGCGGCCTCTTGCTATCTATGCCCGGGATTGAATTCAATAATTCGATTGAACTTTGACGAAACTTGTACTAAATTTAAATCTTTTCTAAATACAGATAAAGGTTCTAAAATGATAAATGCGGCTAAAGGAAATGCTAAATATTATGTGGCAGAAAAAGTGATTTCATATTAATTTTGTTTGATTAAGGTTCCTCTGTTTTAGGTTTAAAGAATTTTATTTCTCATACGAACTTACACAGACAGTTCACTTAAAATGAGATACATAACTAAAACTAATAACTTAATTGAAATGACACAGCGCAGCTGCTTTATAAAACTATAATTTAGTACAATAGGTAGGCAAACTATTGTTATTAATACAAGCACAATACAAAAATGCAATCTGGCATGTTTACGAGCGAATGACAAAATTATTATTTTGCTACCGTCCCTTCACAAAGAAAAAAAGAAAAACATACAATTCGTACCGGCGGAGTGCCGATAAGTAACCAAGACGGTAGATATTGTTTCATCAGTCACTCGATGCATAGCATTATGAAAGATGCGGAGTCGCTAATGCAACCTATTGCGTTAGAATTCATATTTATATATTTAATTTTTGAATTTTCTTTTACCACGTCCCGATATAAACAAACAAAACAAAAGAAGAAGAAAAGAAAAAAACTTTTCCCTGCAGTATTTTAGAAAATTGGGGCAACATAGTTGGTACATTTTAGCGATTCCCTTTTTTTATTTATACAGACAGATCCAGTCCCAACCACAATCAGCTTCCCGTTTACACGGAAATTATGAAAAAAAAATCGTGGATATATATATACACAAAAAGTTCCTCTGTTTTGTAATAGTAAAAAAAATATATATGATGATGCTGATTAATGTATGTGGCAAAAAAGTTATTTCATATTAATTTTGTTTAATTAAGGTTCCTCAGTTTTGTAATAATAAGATTTTTTTATAGTCATGCTGATTTTTTTTGTCCAGCAAAAAATCCTAATGTCCAGATATTTTATAATATTGTCCAGAAATTTTGATTTCTCAATCTGGTAACCCCCGAGTACCGGCAAGGACCAGCGCCGACAAGCGCTTATCAGCGCTGGTCGGCTTCCAGCTTTCTTTCTGTATACGGCCTTAAACAAAAATTATGTGTATAAATAAAATGGCGCTTTTCATATAGCTCTAGTTCATATAGCTGGCCCATATAGCCTTGATGACTGTGACTGCAACCTTTGCATTACAGTAATATAAGTTATTACGGGATTGTTACCATGCACCTTGTTTTTAGCGAGTTTCCGATATTTCGGCACTGCTGCGCTTGCAACAATAAAGGTACATGGTAACAATCCCGTAAATAACTTATCTATTAGATAGACAAGTCCGTCTGTCTGTGGTGCTGTTTCAGCGGCCAAACCGTAAGAGGTACGAAATTTCATCTAAATCTTTTCAGTAGTTTTTGTGTGATTGAGTAACAAACATACAGACACACTAACGTAAAATACCGGCCAAGTGCGAGTCGGACTCGCGCACCGAGGGTTCCGTACAAACCTGTAGGTATATTTTAATAATTATTAAAAAAAATTATATGATGTAACTAAATACGGTTTACTAATTTACGGTTTTCGCACTTTTTCCTTTATCTGTACTATAAGACGTTACTTCGTACCATATTTCAAGATTCTAAGTTCACAGGAAGTACCGTGTAGGTTTTGATTCCCGTGCGAGTTTGGAAAATTTGCGGCATAAACGGCTGTATCTTTTGATTGCTTTGCATTAGAAGTTTGATTTTTTCACAGCTCCAAGGGACAGTAGACCTGAGATATGCATTTCAGTTTGATACCTCCACGCGTTCCTGAGAAAAACGGTCTTGACAGACGGTCGGACGGACGGACGGAGAACAAAGTAATCCTATAAGGGCTCCGTTTTTTCCTTTTGATGAACCCTAAAAATGTAAAAACACATTTGAAATATTAGTAGCATTACTGTTTTATGTACAACTATGAGAATGTGATTATTAGAGTGAAGCCAAACGAGCGTAATTTTGTGAGTTGTGAGTCGCTTATTTCGGTCACTTATTTTACTTTCAACTGAATTTCTGCCATACGAACGTAATTTATTCAGTTACTATTGAGCGTTAGTACGGGGTGTTCGTGTCGTCGAGTGCAATGGATCCATTAAAAATATTGTGTATTTACGAAGCATATTCAGAAGATGAGGCCAGAAAAAGAAACTGGGTAAACCCACTGAATAGTCAGAGGCTGATATGTGGACAGTTCCATACTTTATATGAACGTTTATGTGCAAATCCAGATATGTTTGAAAAGTACTATCATATGCCATTACGTGTTTTTCAAGAATTATTACACCACGCAACTTGTAACTAACTGTTGCTTCCCCACTCCCCTTCCTTGCCCTACCCTCACCCCGACTGAAATTCGGACGAGCTTATGCGCATTGAGTCGGTAGGCAACTCATTTTGCGTTGTCGTGTGGCACCAACTGCCTCTTTGTATGAAACCGAATGCAGCAGAATTTCTGCGACCGAAATTCTGCGACTCACCACTCACAAAATTACGCTCGTTTGGCCTCACCCTTATCCAGATTGACACTTAGTTAAATGGCATACTTCTCTTCTTCAAGACTGTGATGTTTCGATAGGAGGGGAAATTTTGCCCTGCTATGGCTCCTTTAAATCCAACAACGTTGTTCAATCGTTCGAAATATTCCAACATGGCCGTTTTAATAATTTTGTAAATAAACAAACGGGAAATTATTTACGAATTCTCGTAATAATGTTTTGAGTGGTATCAATTTGAACTTTGTTTACATCAACAATTAATCGTATACCGAAAAGATTCTGGTAAACATTACTTGCATTCAATTCTTTAGGGCAGTACCGAACACTCATTTCGTATAGTTTGGTATAAGTAGTTAATTTGTGGAAAAAATAAGAGTTAAAAAGTTGTGTTTCGTTTTTAAAAATGTTTACTTTTGTATTTGTTTCAATTATTATTCTGTCACAAAGAGGTAAGTAAGTTTTGCTAAATAGGGTATTTGACAGTGTTAAAAATAAAGTGCCAATTGTTAGCAACTGTGTTTAGAATGAATATTGGCAGGGGTTTTTACTATTTTTACAAAAAAAATATTCATAATTTTACTAAAACCCCACGAAAAAGATAATAGTTTTCTTATCTATTCTCTAGTTAGTCTCACGGGACAAAGAAAGAGCTTACAATGGTTATCATAGAGCGTTTGTATGGGAACCAATGTCGCCGCGGCGCTCGACTCCACTACACTTCCACCTAATAGATAATAACGAATCATACGACGCGACATCAAAGAATCGAACCAATAAGTGCTCACACCCGAGAGCGACGACGTAATCAAAACCAAGTTTTGGTCTAGTTATGAGCATTTGCTCACACGTAACTGTGGCGCGCCTGCCCCGCCCACAAGGCCCTTCTAACCTATTTCCGGGTCCTGTGCTGGAGACATACCTCTTATAAATTATTCTTCTTCCCACAGAACACTGTGCCTATGCCATCAGTGGGGATAGGCTACCGATCTCCTTGCTACAGACTTTAAGGCCCGTATTATAGAAAGATTCTCAGTAATTGATCTAGTCTTGAGCATAGTTAGAAAGGGATGTCGCTATATATAGCATATAGCTATATCCCTTTCAAACTGTACTATGTAGTAAAGATCGACACTTAGTTGTCATTCTGTAATACGGGCCTAAGAAACTATCAAAACACTCCCAATCGAATTTCTTCTTCATTTATCGAAAGTGCAAAATCATATGCATAATTTTGATAATATATTTTGTAGTAACTTCCCGTCTTGTTTACCGTGTAGCAAAATTTTAAGTCCATGAGTAACATGAGCTTTTTATTTTGCCAGCTCTATTAAGTAATGGTGCGGCTCTAGAGAAGATGGAGTGCGGCATAGACAACTCTCCGGAGGTGGTGGTCGGGAGCGACGTGCCTCTCAACATGTATCCCTGGGTTGGGATACTTTACTACGTCAGCCGTGAGTAATTTGATGCAGCAATAGGTTGTTCCCTTCCCTTGTTACAGTTCTGAAGTTAAAAAGGAACCCTTACCTATAGTTTCGCTATGATAAATTAGGAAGTCAATGAAGAACCGGAGTAAATGAAGAAGTAGGTAAATAAAGAACAAGTTATTTAAGAAGTTACCAAAGAACCCAAGTTAGTTAAGAAGTTACCAAAGAACTTAAGTAAATTAAGAAGTCAACAAAGAACCCAATTAATTTAAGAAGTCAATGGTGTCGATTCCGGCGTGATTCTCTAAACTTAAAACTAAATTTAACATCAGTCTCTCCTTTTCATTCTGTATAGAGAATGACAAGGATACACTGGTGTCAAATTTAAGTTTAGGTTTAGAGAATCATGTCAGAATTGACACCAATATAAAACCACGTTTAAGTTTCGCTGACCTTCTGTCCGTTCGCAGCAGAGATGACTGAAAATTATTGGACACGTATTTTTTCTTTTTTCATATAATCAAAATTTTACAGAGATTTATTGATTTGAAAAGTCACGGGACGTCACGTTTTGGTACAATTTTTACTTAAAAGTGACGTCACAACCCCACACTCCCATACTTTGTCCCGCATTATCTATTTAATTTTTCGGTTGATTGACCAAAGAAAAAATGCATGTCCATTATTTTTGATTAATAACTGACGGACTAAATATTTCGTATTCTTTACCCCGTCGTCACCCCTAATGATACCTACAAGAAAACTGTAATTTTACATTAATGAAATGAATAGAGATTGGACCGTGACCCACCACCCGGGCCCAGTGCGGATTGGTGGACACTAACGACTGCAGATGCAGCCGGGACCAACGGCTTAATGTTCCTTCCAAAGCACTGAAGAGCTCGAGATAATAAGTTTTATTGATCACCAATAATACTCAATATTACTATTTCTCCCGTAGACGATATGACGGGTGAAGTAAGAGCGGTGACCACCGTGATACTCATACAACAAGAGTTCGTGATAGGAGCGGCAGCCGATATCGGACCCATGCCGAAATACGACTTCCGGTGAGTGCGTTTAAAGTTAAATTTTGATGAAAACGGAACGCGTCATCACCATCCCCTTTAATTGATGTATTCTCAAAACGTAAAATTCGAAACGGTTAAATTGGCGCCCAACGTGGTATCACCTATTTGTAAAAGATAACATGCATCTTTTCGTTAGAATGGCAGATGTTATAGATCGCAATAGACGCGATAATAGTAGGTTGTGCATGCCAAACACGAGAACAGCTCTTATGGGAAAAAACATATTCTGTATGGCCCCTCGAATGTATAATAAACTCCCGACATATATAAAAGAATTAAATTTTAATTTATATAAGAAGAAAATTAAAAATATATTATTAGATAAATGTTATTATGATGTATCGGAATTTTTAAATGACAAATTTTGAATTTTAATTAAGTTTTATTATTATTATTTCTATTTTTTTGATTAATTACATTTACATTATTACATTTTATTATTGAATTGAAATAATTTGAATTTAACATGTTTTATTATTGACGTATTTTGACAAATTTTGAATTGTAATTATGTTTTGATTATTATTATTTCTATTTTTTTGATTAATTTTAACATTTTTATATTGAATTGAAATCATTTAAATTTGACATGTTTTATTTTTGAATATTAAGATTTTTGACATGATATTTAAATAACCTGCTGAATTTGTATGCCCATATCGGCACGACATGTTATGCACCACTAAAATCACAACACCTTACTTACACATGTTGTCTCAAATAAATATTTTCTTTCTTTCTTTCTTTTCAAACGAGTGAATCGTCTTGTTTCTATCGCCAGTGTTTTGGTATTAAAAAATCTACAGCCAAAAAATAAGTTGTTTAGTAGCGTTCTTGTAGTCAGTAAGTACTCATGGTCACCAGCGTTTCACAGGGCGTCACAACAAATAAGCGGGTGACTATTTTAAAACTACAACGGGCCTTTCAATATATTATAGTTTAGTTAAGCCTTTAACTGACGGATATTTACACTTAAAAATTATTGTCAATATAAAGGTTTAACTTGGTTCAGCGTATGAAAGATCAAAATTAAACCTTCTACCGATAATTTGTTTCTACTCAATTTTGTTGACAGTGAAAACACACGCGTGATATTAGGGGATGGTTGGAGGGGGAATCCCCTGAGGGTACGCAGCTACGTAATCCACCCGGAGTACGGGGAGACACTTAACACTGTAGCACTGGTGCAACTCAAAGACATCGTCAGACCCAGTAAGTATAGCTAACGAAAGATAGATTCAAAGCAACTGCGTCATCCACCGGAATTACATGAGTAAATAAGGCCTAGAGGCACAGCTTCATACAGTGCGCGTGCGTCGCCGCACACGGACCACACGCCACAACCACAAACGCCGCCACAAGAAGCTAGAAGTGGCTGAAGCGCGCGACAGCGGCCGACTAAGGTAAGGGAGAGAGGGGTGGGGAATCGCGCGAGTGACGTGTGGCGGCGTTTTGTATCGGCGCATTAAGTGGCCGGTGCGGGTCACAAGAAGGGAGCAACGACGATTTGTAGCGTGTGGCGGCCACCGACGTAGCGTGTGTGGCGAATCCATATAAAATGTATGAAAACTACAAGAAATATGCCGGTGGCGGCGTTTTGTGGTTGTGGTCGGTGGCCCGTGTGTGGCAACACTAATAGAAACGGTTCTCTGCGTAGGTAGACGAGAGGCGTCATTGCTCACTCACGCGCAATTGTATTTTTTTTATATATAGCCAGTTAGGCAAATGAATCTACCCCACCTGATGTTAAGTAGTGATAAAGTCCAAAAATGCTTCTTTTCTTTACGCCTCTCTTAAACGACTTGATTGTGGGAAGAAGGGATCACGTGCGCGGGCAAGGAATTCCACTTACGAATAGTACGACAAAGAAATGCATCATCAAATTTCTTTTTTCGTAAGTCAGTGGCAACATAGGCCAGTGCGCGTGGTCCTCTTTCTTGGCGATGGAAGGATAAGGGAGAATCACTTACCAGTACACTCGCCGTGGTGTAGTCGGTGGAATGCGCTTAATGATGCCACATCGCGGCGTAATTGTAGAAACTCGAGTTTGTTAGTTACCTCTTCATCGCAAATGATGCTTTATTAGTGTCGCCGGACACGGGCCACCGACCACAACCACAAAACGTCGCTATCGGAGTAGTTTTCATACATTTTATATGGACTCACCACACACGGTACGCCGGTGCCCGCCACACGCTACAAATCATCGTTGCTCGCTTCTTGTGGCCCGCACCGGCCACTTAATGCGCCTACACGAAACGCCGGCACACGTCACTCGCGCTATTCCCCACCCCTCTCTTGCTTACCTTAGTCGGCCGCTGTCGCGCGCTTCAGCCACTTTAGTAGCCGCTTCTAGCTTCTCGTGGCGGCGTCGGCGTTTGTGGCTGTGGCGTGTGGCCCGTGTGCGGCGACACTTACTGTGCCTTCTTTATGTGCCCAGGGCACGAGCAGACCGGTGGGCGTGGTATGCGTCGTCATCCCTACAAAGCTTGAAAATTGCACCCCCCCTTTATTCAAAACTTGTTGAATGGTACAATTTTGTTAAGATGAATGATGAATTTGGTATTATGACTTTTGATATTGAATCTTATCAAAAATTCGAGGCTTGCATATATCGACTGTTTTTTTAATCCAGGCAGGAAAGTATTAAACGATTCTAGCAAAATTTGCATCTAGGCACGTGTTTACGCTGCTTGTATGGTAAATCGGAAATCAGCTGTGCCCTAGGAATATTAAACACGATAAGGTAGGATCTTGATATCTTTTCTTTTTAATAACCACGTGACCACTGATACTAATATTTCTGAATTCAGCGCAGATAAAGCCAGTGTGTCCGCCGCCAGATCTCCTGAGGGACCCTGAGTTCTACGTCATTAAGTTTCACGAGAGTAAGTAACATACCTATGCGCTGACTCCTCCTAAATGTCGAAACGGATTTAGATGCGGTTTTGACCATCAGTTAGAGAAATTGATACAAATGTTTCCACTTGTTGTTGTGAAAATTCTTTTAAATTGATTATCATAAACTAGCAAACCTGTGAACCAAATGTTCATCAAAAAAAAAAATTAATTAATTGAGAACTTCGGAGATTTTGTGTGGTTTCGTTTGAAATAGAAATCACGTGATTTCTCGAAAACCGGAAGTGCTACGTTACTCACATCCGGTTTGTAGTCTTATCAGACTATTCTTAACTTATAACTTAAACATTCTCTATATCTATCTCTTACGGTTTGGCCGCTGAAACAGCACCACGGACGGACTTGTCTAATAGATAAGAGATTCTACAATTTAGGAATTTCAGGATTTTGCGAATTATACTATTATTAGTCAGGTGATGATATATATAAGGTACTACGCATTCGCTCCGATTTTTTGAGCGTGTATGCTGTTGGTCGCAGATGACCTTTACAGCGTCACCGGCTTTGGGGACAGCGATATCCTAAGGGGACCTCAAGTCGAGAATTGGCGAGTGCCTCTAGAAGTACCTATTCCAGGCGGATGGCAGCTTCTCACGGGGGAGTTTCCTCTCCGTCTGGAGCCTCTAGACCACTCGAACCTGAAGTGGGTTCGCTTCGCTTTGGCCGCTCCCACTCTCGACGGTAAGGACGGACGGCTCTTTGGTCGACGGTACCAGTTGTTATGAACCTGTCATTAGCCTGTGACGTCATTTTGTAACGGTCATCGATGACCAATTGGAAGTTATATGTAACCAACTAATTTGGTACTTTTATAATACACTCCTTGTAATTCTGGTCTGTGATAGAGACTGTAATAATGATATTATTTCCAGATTACAACGATTTGAAGAAGCAAGTAATCCCCGTGGAGCATGTACCCAGCAAGATGTGTAGAGATTTTTACGTATCCGCTAATGTGAGTTGCTATTTCCGTGCAATCAATGCTATAATATCATTGCATGCAGTCCAATTATTTGTATTCAGCAGAAATGGTTGATGTAATAAGGGTAATAGTTTTGTGTAGACTTGCAACGAATAGTATATTCGGAAGTATACCGAATACCGAATATTCGACGAGGCCCCTGACCGAATAGCCGAATATTATGCAAAAGTAAGTATTCGGCTGGATTTTAAAGCCAAAAATTTGTACAGACGTGATTGTTTCGCGCTCCTTTGTTTTGTTCTAATCTGCCGTCCTCAAGCTAAAATGCGGCTAAATGACAAAACTAACTTTTGAGATATAGCCAAAAACGGCGCGTAAACTTTAAATTATTGCTAATATGTCCATTCATCACATGACTGAATGAAGTAAAAACTGTTAACTTGCTTAATACAGAAAATGGTTAAATTATGTACCTGTTTTATATACCAATGACTAATTAATTAATGATTATAAAAGAAATGAGATTCTAAATTTTGATTACCACAATCATGGACGTATAAAAAAAGGCGGACAGAATTTCGGCTAAGACAATACTGAGGCACCGTAATGGCGGCGGCTATTGATGAGTGAGTGAATTGTAGGGTTGCTAGGTAAGCCAATTTTTTACCAATGAAACACAGTAAAAAGATGAAAATATTTTAATTGTACAAAATTTTACTTTTTGCCCGACTGTGGAGGATAATGTTTTTCGAGCGTATGTATGCATGTATGTATGTATGTGCAATAATTTGGCACGCCCTACAGCCTGAACGTCTTGATGGATTTTGACATGCGATGTGTCATTTGATTTGTCGTGATTGTGTGAGTGGCACTGGGTATATTAAAATTTCAAAAAATCAAAATAACTGATTTTATGCGCCAAATTGAAACTTTTTGAAAAAAAAGTATAAGTATTTTTATAACCCGTCAAGCGAGGTATCAAAGTGAAGGGTTGTAAAAGAATATTTAGAAAACATACAACTCGTGTAATTAAAATAATAATGAAATTACAATGTAGAAAATAAAAAAAAAGTACTAAAAAGAAAAAAACGAGTCCAGTTGTCTATAATTCTGTTTAATAAGGAACAAAGTTACTTTAACAGTCGGGACTCATTAGAAATTCTAGAATGTATCGAATTTTCTCAATCAATATTGAGAAAGACCAACAATATTTACCCAATGGTAAATCAACTAAATATGGTCTAAATATGGTCTGGCCTGCATTCTCTTTCATATTTCTTAAAATAAACTACATACTACTACCCATTCAGTACTGTTTGTAATTGAGGAGTTCCATTGTTTACCTCCGAAAGTACTCATCAGATCTCGAGTAAATTAATATGCAGCCATCTCGCTAGTAAACTGATTAAAACAAAAAAAGAATCATCATAAACGGTCCACGAATATCGGAGATCTGCGCGAACAACAATAAAAAAAAACAAATATGACGCATTGCGAACCTCTTTCTTTACGAAGTCAGTAAAAATTTTAATCAACCTTTTGAGGTAATGCATACGTAATAACACGCCGGAGTCCTCCTTTAGTTGTATATAAGTCTTGAGCTTCAAAATGAAGACTAAAAATGACACTACTACATATTTGTTTGGAAATCATTCATTTTCCAGTCATTTCTCCATACTACATTTTTTTAGGAAATCTGATAAAAAAGAATAATAAATAATAGATTGAAGTTAATGTCAACCCAATTTCCCATATTTTAGGTAATATGGTTACATGAACATTGGCAACACTGGACTTTAGACTAATCATTTTGTCCTTAGAATTAAAATTGATTTCGATTTCTAAAAACTAGAAAAAAGTGATTCAATTATTCATTTACCTATGAAACGTGATTCCTGGATTTTTTTTCTTTGGGTCATTAACGGTTTTTACACCTTTTTACAAGCAAGATATCTTGTTTAGCTTATTTTTATCTCCACGTAACGTGCCGGCTGCTTTGACGTTTGCACGCGTAGTGGCTGAATATTGTGTGAATGTGTGCGTGCCGGCTTGTACGTATAGCGACCTGGCCGACTCTGAGCGACACAGTTTATTGTTTAATGGGCCTCTGTCCGCCTGTTTTTATAAGTCCATGACCACAATAATTGAAATACAAAGAATCCTCCATTTTTCCAATTCAGAAGATGATTATGTACCTGTGTTATTCACCAATGACTATTTAAATGATTTATATAACAGAAATTAAAATATGAATATATGTATACGTAATCAATCGATTTTAATTTTTCATTTTACCAATTATTTCTCTATGACAAAATATATTACTTAAGTATTCGGTATTCGGCCGAATATAATAAAAGCAGCCGAATATGCCGAATACCGAATAGTAACCGAATATTCGTTGCAAGTCTAGTTTTGTGTGAAAAAAAAGCAATAACATTCTTTATAAATTGAAGAAGTTCGATAGCGTAGCACTAATGCTAGTAGCTCTTCACTCTCGTCGAAGTTAGGCGAGGCGAGGTTGCGCGAATTTACGCGAGGTGAGTCAACACTAGGTGACACAAGAAAGTATCCATCTTCACTCTCGCCTCTGTTCAATTCTCTCTATGTCGCCAGCATAATGAACGTGCTCGATGTGGCAAGTGCCGCGACTTTATCCGTCTTTGCGTATATGGTTTTTGATAACATATAGTAAAGTTAAAAAATTAAAAAGCCTTGGCGAAGATGGCGATGTTGGATAACATCTATACACCGTAACAGAACAAGATATGAGTTACAATTTTATTTTTCTGCTCAACATACGATTATTATGTGAGTTTTTTATTCGTTTTTTTCTAAGAAAAACTCTGGCAAAAAATGTTATGAATAAACGCGAGAATGTGGATGCCGTGCCTCGCCTCGTCTCTCCTCGCATCTCGCACCCTTTGACTCGCGCTCAAAAACCGACTGCAATCGGAGGACAGACGAGACGAGCCGAGGTGCGGCGATGTGACGCGAGGGCCTCCGCTATACTCTCGTGCTCGCGCTCCTTCCTCTAACCTCGGCGAGAGTGAAGTGCTAGCATCACACCTAGCCTCTAGCGTAGCCCCAGAGTAAGCTCTGTAAGGCTTGTGTTATGGGACACTAGGGTAACGTATAGAATACAAATACTAATACATATAGTATAAGCAAATTTTTATTCAGAAATACATATAAACATTCATGACTAAGGTACAAATGCTCGTATTTAGCACACAAACATTCGCCCCACCGGGATTCTAAGCCGAATGGTGATTAGAAATGTACTAAATTACCTGAACCAGTATACCTGCGTTCCCGATTTAAGATTCTTCCCCCTCCTTCACGCTCTAGGCGACCTTGCATTACTAAGACGCTTGAGCTTCCTAAAAGTAATACCATGTCCTATTTGAATTCCTTTTCTTTTAGGGCTGCACAGCTGTGGAATAAACTTCCGTCCAATATTCAGGAGTGTCCGACCATCTTCTCGTTTAAGTCTAAAGTTAAAGATCATTTTCTCAAACAGAAATCTCAAACTTAATGAATCATTCTCACGAAGTATCTTGTTTCTTATTAGTATTTATTTATCAGGTTTATATGTATGTTATGTATATTTGGATAGGTATTGTATTTATCTATGTATATTTATGCAAGTTTATTTATGTAGGTATATGTATCTGTATATGGAATGTGTATCGTATAAATATATATATAACTATTATTTATTAAGTCTATTTCCTATAATAGTAGTAATAAATTATTTTTTCATCCCACCACCTCGGAAAGTGTAATTTTGCGCTTCGAAATCTGGCTGGAAAATTCTATTTTATTCGCTTGAGCGGCAAAGTAGATTTGAATTTAGAACATCACATATAATGAGTACTCAATATAATTGTAAATTCAAAACGTCATTAAACCTATTTAATGTAACCTCTATGGTGCCAAATTTATGATTAGAACTTTTTAAATTGTGAAAAAATTTAAATTTGGAACCTTCTTGGTTTCTTTGTTTTATTTGCGTGCTTCGCGCCATTCTAGTTTTTCACGTTTTATTGCTTAATATAATTAACATAACCTAAAAACTGTACAAAAAAATCAACTAAAATGAGTGACATTAGCGACGATGAAGTTTATCTAACGCCAACTGAGTTAACTGAAACAGTTAATAATGCGCAAATGAGCCTTCTCCCTCAGCAATCACGAGAGAAGTATTTGAAACAGTACGATATATTTAACATGTGGCGACTAGCTAAAGGAGCAAAAACTTTCTCCGAAAACGTTTTGCTGGCATATTTTATAGAATTATCTGAGACCAAGAAAGCAAGCACGCTATGGAGTACGTATTCAATGCTAAAATTAACAATTAAGATGAAGAAAGACGTTCATATCGACACCTATCATAAATTAGTGGCATTTTTAAAAAGAGCCTCATCTGGTTATAAACCAAAAAAATCGAAGGTTTTCACAGCATCTGAAATTGCAAAGTTTATTAATGAAGCACCTGATTCCGTATATTTAGCGGCAAAAGTAAGTCAATACGTGTAATTTTTTGTTGTTGATAAAATTGTACATAGTACTTACAATATTTTTAATTTGATTAATTTATTTACGATTATAAATACTTCTTTTGTTACAGGTTGTTCTTATTATTGGTATAACCGGAGCATGTCGAACAAATGAACTTACACTACTTAATGTCAATAACGTATCAAAATATTCTCATAATTCTGATGAATTGCTATTAATTAATGTACTAAATACCAAGACAAAAAAAGACCGCAACTTCGTTATTCGCAAGGAATATGTAAACATTGTTCAGAAATATCAAGCTTTACGTCCTTCTAACACCCCAATTGAACGATTTTTTCTACAATATCGCAACGGAAAGTGTATCCGACAACCTATGGGTCAGAATAAAATTGGCAGTATTCCACGAGAAATAGCAACTTTTCTCGGACTTTTAGAACCCCCGTTATACACCGGTCACTGTTTTAGAAGAACCTCAGCCACACTTTTGGCCGAATCAGGGGCTGATCTTCTATCGCTTAAGCGCCATGGAGGCTGGAAGTCTAATTCGGTTGTAGAGGGATACATAGAGGATTCAATCCAAAGTAAATCAAAAATTTGTAATAGTATCGTGGAGGCCATAACGCTGAAAGAACCTCTGTCAGATTCTTGGTCTCGCCCTTCTACATCTAAAATGAGCCCCCATAAGATTGGAAACAATAGCCCTCTCTCGCCAACATTTACGCCAATAGAATCCAATGAATCGGCACAACTATTTAAAATTACTGATACGAGTAGTTTACCACAAAACAGCGCACAATTCACAAACACCAACATAACATTACCTAACAAAAATATTAAACTTAACATAAGTAACTGTAGCAACGTTACATTTAATATTTCTTAATTATTTTCTACTTCTTATTATTTTCTTCAATTTATAGATTATCTTAATGTGTTTTAATTGAAATAAAAATATTTTGTCATTATAAATTGTTTTCTTTTTCATTTTGTCATTTCCTCGCTGAGGTGGGATGAAAAGTTACGTATTGCACTCGAGTGGAAAGATTTTTCACCTTGTGCTCGTTTGTTTCCTTCGCTTGCTCGGTCATCCAAATCGAGCACGCGGTTAAAAAGGAACTTTCCACTCTTGTATAATAAATAACTATTAGTTTCATTTTTATTGCACTTTCTTTTTCCCGCTAAGTTGTGAATCTCCGACACCACCTAGGTTGGCTGGAAGAGATCTCTTTTAGAGATAAGCCCACCTTTGCTTACTATGTATTTTACTATATGTTTTAACTATATGATGCAATAAAGAGTATAATAATAAATTTAGCCCCTCCATACTTCGGAAGGTACCTACGTTAAATCTTATGTCCCAGCTGCATCTGCAGCCGTTAGCACATTTTTGAATGTCTATAAAAGAAATTAAACATTACTGTTGCACCAGTCAACCGAAACACATTTTGAGGACCTAGGCACGGTAATATTATCTATACAGTATTGTGACTCCGCCCTGTCCTTGAAAATAAATGCCTACACCGAGCGCTGTGTTGGCACGCGGTAGGGCCGCCAGCCTACAGTATTTTATGTAGTTTTGTTTTTAACGCGAGTGTAGGTTATTCCAGATATTTTGCCCGATGGAAAAACCGAAATACCTAAATATTAGAAACAAATAACGTACTAGTAGATAGGTATATAAAAAATATTCTATAAAGGTAAGACACCCTTCCAATATTTCAGGTAATTTAAAAAATGATATCTCTGGGTGTGTTATTGAAGAGTTCAAGCAACCAAAAACAGAAATGTGCTGTTGTACGATATTGATCGTCGTTTTTTCTTTTCCATACTAAATTATGTAGGTATCTACTTAATTAAATCAAATATTTACAATACAAAACGCATGTTTAAGCACGGCTAACTGCATAAAAAACAATTGAGACCGTTCGGTCGTCGTTGCGGCGCGGCGCGGCGGCGCATTCGCGACTGGGTGCACGCCGAGAGCACATCGAACTCGAGTGGCGTAGGTATGACTCGCTTTCCGACCGTTTGTATGAAGATAGAATACTGTATGATATTATTACCGTGACCTAGGTCTCTAGGTGTGCCGTGAGTGTGGGAGTAATTGTGGCACCCTGTTGAGACTGGCCACATTCCACTGTCGGCGATCGTACTGTAACGGTGTGCCATAACCGCAACAGGTCTCCCTGGTTTATTCCTTCATATCTGACCTTCTGGGCCACCACTAATTTCAAAATGTTCGTTACAATTAAAATCCGTGTAGGCTTTAAAAAAACTTATTGTCAGTCCAGCGGAAAAGTCGTTAAAGTTATAATTTTTATTATTTTTAAAGCATGTAACTGCTTGATGTTTAAATCTAAAGAAAATATAACTAGAAAAAATTCCACGCGGACCAGGCAGCAGACGGGACTCGAACCCGCACCCTTCGCAATCCGGGCGAATGCACTGACCAATTATGCTACCGCGGCCCTCACGGACCGCGTCGAAATTCTTTCTAGCCATTCTTAAGCTGCAAGGCAGCGCCATCTCTTCGCATTATAGGTAAACCCACAATTTTTTCTAGTTATATTTTCTTAAGTCGTTAAAGATTAATAAACCGTTCAAGCTTATCTTTCGCGAGTGATTAATTCTATCGAAACCACACCTGGGTGTCTACTCTCTTTCTCCGAAACGAACTTTCGATAACGAAGTTAAAACGAAATTGAATTTCGTCAATTAAGGTTATACTTCATTTGAACGATAAACTATCAAATTGAAGCTTTCTTTGAGTAGGTTTAGAAAATCTACACCTCAATTTATACTCCGACGCTTAATATTTTTGGAACGAAGTTCCTTACGGCAGGCTTGGAGGGGATAGGGATTTTGTTGCGCGACCGAACTGAAAAAAATGTGATAGTAAAACCGTAAGAAAAAATCCGTGGAAAAAAGTGCGTGGAATAAAACCGTTAAATGAGACGTGCGCAGGCGCGACAGTCGCATACACAAGCGAGTAGTGTGTAATATCTTTCTCTTTCTCCTTTCTATCAATAGAATTTGATGACAAGACTGATTAATAAGAATTACTTATAATAATAATAATAAACTTTTTGGAACGAAGTGATTTTGCTGCGCGACCGAACTGAAAAAAATGTGATAGTAAAACCGTAAGAAAAATTCCGTGGAAAAAAGTGCGTGGAATAAAACCGTTAAATGAGGGAACTTCGTTCCTACCTGGTGCCCCACGACACCACATCATTTTATAATTAAAAACGAACCAGACACATACTAAGAAAAGTGCGGAGATTCGATCGAAATTTCGTTTTGCTATGAATTAGGGTAGGCCTCTTGGCGCCCAACGTGGGGCCCGAACACATCCGTACTATCCCGCTAATGAGTATAATGATGATGGCGACATTTGTCGGCAGCTGTATGCGCCCCGGATGCGGCCCGGGTATGTGTCGTGCGCGGTGGAGGCGCGGCAGGTCGGGGTGTGCGTGTGGGGCGCGGGCGGCGCTCTCCTCGCGCGGGACCACTGGGGGCGCTGGCAACTGGTCAGGGCACAAGGGCCTTTCTCCTTCTTTCTTCAATTTCTGGGCCCAATTTTGAGTTACCCTAGAAACTTAAAAATCGTGCAAATAAACTAAAAGTAGTTCTACTATATGCATCAATTTATAACGATTAGAATTGAAATAGTGAGCTAAGGTGGAGACATGAAAAAAAAACAGATTTTTTCCGGAAAAATAATCTAATTTGTTGTCTGGATTAGCTAGTAAAGTTTCTCAGGTAACTTAAAATTAATGGAATATTAAAACGACGCCCAAGCTCGAATTTTTGAAAGTATGTACTGATACAAAATTAAACTCAAGAGCTCGATGGCACAGATGGTTAACGCGCAATAACCGGTCATTGGATGGTCGACCAAAAATAATTATCTCGAGCTCCTCCGTGCTTCGGAAGGCACTTTAAACTGTCGGTCCCGGCTGCATCAGCCTTAGCACCCACTATTCTGCCCTGGGCGGGCATGGTCCCGATTCGTTATCCCTATCCTATCTATAGGGAAGGCTTGTGCTCCACATAGGGGACATAAAAAAAGCTGATGATTATGACAGAATAATAGGTTTTTCATGTGAAAAGCTGCCAAAAAATCTTATTGGCCTTGCCTACCCTGACCCCTACACCGTACAGCCCTTTTTTTTAACGCAGGTAAAAAAATACTGTTTACAGACGACGGCGCCTTTAAGAGGCACACCGCCGAACGGACCTCACACCTGGCTCCCGCAAGTCTTACGTACCTCCCCGTGGCTGCCCACCGAGGACCCCGCAACTGTTACGGGCGCTTTACGGCATAATATCCGCTACAAAAGTCCAGCGAATACCTTCTACACTGCTTAATGCGAAGCCGCGGGGTCCCCGTTAGGGATTCTTCCGCGTCTCCGCACCCAGCAGCTTCCCTGCCTAGCCGGGGCTCTATGTACGGGGTAGAGCCCTGTGTTACTCACCGACAGAAATACAACACCACCAAAAGGCAGTTTTATTTTGCTGTGGGATTTTGTTAGTTGGAGATTAATTCCCCAGACGGACGGGCGGAACCCAATGCGAGCGGAAAATCCGCTATGCTGTACCTCTCTTAGGATATTAAAAGGTTTATGATGATGATATAATAATATCCGGTTATAGTTGGGTGTTGGAGTGCGAGGTCCAGGCTGCGGGGCGCCGGCTCGTTTCCTGGACATGCTCAGCTATTACCCCTGGGTCGAGGCCAGTCTGAACAAGTTCCGACAGCTCACCATCACTAGGCTGTCCAACCAGAAGTTCGTGCTCAGGAGTAAGTTGCACTAATGCCCAGGTACTACCCCTGAGTCGATGCTAGTCAGGCAATTTTCAGCGTTATTTATTGTTGACCCAATCACACGGTATTTTCCAATGCGTGACAGCAATCGTTTTTTCAAATACCTATTTCTCATAAGTTTCTCAGATCGCGTCCACTCTTAACCCGTCGGACCCGGCTGCACCGATCCACATTTTATGGCCTTCAAGAGAGGAGCCTCCACAACAGAGATAAAAAATAACTAAATTTCGACGGGTAATTAACCAGGGGGGAGGGGTGCTAGCTAATCGTATGTGGCTCGGGGTTACAGATTTTAAAATAAGGGTCCCTACCCATATCTTTATTGCCCTAGGGTATGGCCCTGGAGCCTTAACACCTTTAAAGGTGCTGTCCCACGTTCTGTGTTGTCGCGGGCGAGGACGCTTCACGCAGGGTTGCCAAACGTACGAGAAACTATAAGTGGCAACACGCCACAGCTAAAAACGCCGCCACGAGAAGCTAGAAGCGGCTACTAAAGTAACTGAAACGCGAGACAGCGGCCGACTAAGGTAAGGGAGGGAGGGGTGGGGAATCGCGCGAGTGACGTCTGGCGGCGTTTTGTATCGGCGCATTAAGTGGCCGGTGCGGGCCACAAGAAGCGAGCAACGACAATTTGTAGCGTGTGGCGGCCATCGGCATACCGTGTGGGGCGAGTCCATATAAAATGTATGAAAACTACAAGTGCCCGTGTGCGACGACACTAACGTTCGAGATTTAGCAGTCTCTGTACATGATACGAGGTAAATAGATATCTCGTACACTTTGTTATGAGATTTGAACAATGTTGACTGTTTGTGTTATGTACACCAACCAAAAATATTGTCGGAAAGTAAATAAATGTCTAGTTCACAAAGGGTCGTCTCAGTAAGTACAGGTTCATTGTGCCATCACTAAATGCATCATTGTTCGTATTATCGTATCACGTATTGATACTGCTCAATTTCGGACGTAATAGTTCTCATACGTTTTACGACCATGCGCGGCTTCGCCCGCGATAACACAGATCGTGGGATAGCGCCTTCAGCTCGGCTCTGGGCCTAACCTCCACATTCCGACTGTAGGGAAAGCTTTCGCCCCAGTATTCATTAATAGGTTGATGATGACGATTTATTTATACAAAGGTGGCGGTGGTCGTCGTAATGACGGCGAAGACGAAGAGATAGAACATCACGTGATGAGGTACGGAGCCTGTGATGAAGAGGAGAAGACCAACCTCATATACCGTGACCAGTTGTTCCTGCGCACCGACAACCAGCAGTATCAGTTCATTACTTACAACGTGAGTTGACATTTGTTTATGTTCTTCTTACAATCTGAGGTTCTTTAAGAGAAGCGTGAAGAAGCATTTTTGCAGCCTGGCAAGGTTTGGATGGTTTTTGTGGCAGTTTATAGCTGCTGTACCAGCTATCTTCGCGTTTGGACTTTATCACCACTTAACATCAGGTGGGGTATTGCCTACCTCGCTATGAAAGTATCAAAGAGGACGTCCGCTATTCAGGTAGATGCATCTAAACATGCTACCGAGACCTTAATGGCCAACAATCGACCAATGAAATAAATTCAACATCACCAAATGTGATAAAATATCACCAAATATAGCGCCGTATAAAAATAAATAAGCTAGTAATGAAAGCGCAAACTTCAAACGGATATGAAATATTGTTATAGACTTTCATGGTCAGTAATATTGTACCTTTTTTTTTGTGAGTCCGATATTTCGGCATTGTTGTAAGCGCCATGATCATGAAAAGCAAGTACAAGGTAGCACTCCCGCCAATTACTAGGGGATACGAAATGACTGAGGAGCTCGATGGCGTAGTTGGTTATCGCGTTCGGCTGCGATCGTTGAAGTTAAGCAACTTTCGCAGTGGTCGATTATTGGATTGGTGACCAAAAATCTTCTATCTCGAAGGCCTCCGTGCTTCGGAAGGCACGTTAAGCTGTTGGTCCCGGCTGCATCTGTAATCCGCACTGGGCCCTGGTCATGCCCTAATCTACATAGTCCATCCATATGGAAGGATTGTGCCCCAGCAGTGGGGACATTAATAGGCTGATGATGATGATGAAGGTGAAATGACTCAAAATATTGTTGTACAGATGACTATATACGAGAATGTGGAGTACTCGTGTCTTACCCTGGAGCTGGTGAATGCATCCGCCGTCTCCGAGATGAGGGTTAAGCACTTCTGTCCGCGCGAGTCCCGCGGGCCCATCTGCTACTCCTACAAAGGTCTGTACTGTGGCAAGGTCTTTAATTCTGCAGTTGATGATCAGCTAGAACCCGCGACTACCTACGTCTCAAATCCACGGACCACATATTTTTATTCCCCATTTCAGCGTATTCGAGTTTTTGTTTGTTTCTAGTCATATACTATGTAGGGTCAAGCACTTCTGTTCGTTCTGGCTCGCGGGTCCATCTGCTACTCATACAAATGTCTTTGTTGGGGTAAGGTCCTAAGAGCATGGTATGGTCATATAATTAGAGGTATCTGAGGTGAGATATAACCATACTGATTGTATGCGATTAAGTTATTAACTGTCGTACAAGAACACTTGCTTGTATATTCGAGCGAAAATGGCGATGTAAAGGTTTAGGCGTTAAAGCGTATCAGACAGAGTAGGTGTGATGACAGAGCATTGATAGACTGTACCTCAAGCTTTTTTAAAGAAATTGGGACATCAAACACGTCTGATGGTAATCATCAGAACAATAACTGAAGGCAGGTAATCGGCTACCATAGCCTGACAGATAGGCGCTTGCGATAACGGGTCTCAAATTCAATATAGTTTATTAAGTTAAGACTGTTACAAACACTTATAAATATCATAGCGCGATCGTTTCGCAAATCTACGGTGGGAGACCTTGTTGTCATATGTGCGTTTCTAAATTTTGACCCTATTTTCTACACTATTGAGCCCTTATACCTTTAACGATTATAATAACTTTGACCAGGCTCACTGTTCGAGATATCCGTGTACATAATATACTCGGACGCGTGCATGTTCGAGATGGTGGCGTGGGGATGGAAGAAGAACATGACGCTCATCGACGTCCAGGAGTGGAAGTGGGAGGAGGGGACTTACTACCAGGACTTCTCTATGACTAGGGTGAGTCATTCTTCTGATAGATGACCATAGAGTAACACGGACCAAGCCAAATCATTCGACTCTGGCGGAGTCCACAGAAGCGACCGCCATTTTGCAAAAACAAGAAAAGGAAGAGTGACACGGATGCAGTCCTACTTGCATCTTTTGCCTCATTTCTGAGGGTTGTAAATCCTTCTGTGGCAAGATATTATTTCCTTGACGTGTTTCCTCTATAATGCGATTCAAATAAGAATAGGAAAGCCAATGACTTCCATCTGTCAAATGTCGCTTGAAAAGTACCGCTTGCAAAAAAATCTTGGAACCCTTTTTTGGCACTCAGCTAATTATGGAATAAAAACCAAACATATGTAAACAAACAATAACAAATATTGTAAATTGATATTGGTTGATATTTTATTTTCATTTATTGAGCTTTGGCTATGAATGTTTGATAACCTAAATCGTCAACCAAATGTCACTTTAAGCTGCGTTCAGAAACTCGATTTAAAACTTTGGTTTACATATAGGTTGCATGTTCGTATGTGACCTAGTAATAGAGCATGATTATTCATATCTACTCCGGCGGTAATGCCGAGATGAGCGGAATTGAAGAGCTTAATTCTGATTAATGTTTTTTTTCGCACAGTCTTAATAAATAAATATTATTAAAAATCGGTTATTTTCTTTACTCAATTTTAGTAAATAAATTTTATTAAAAAAATCGGATGTTTTTTCTCACTTAATCTTAGTAAATAACTTATATTAAATAAAAACTTTTTTGCTCACTCTACCTTTTTCGTTTGAATTGACAGCTATGACGTCACAATATGGCGCTCCGTCGATCCTATTCTTAGTTGAATCGCATTATATCTATTCTGTCATTCGCATCGTGGAGTGCATCGGGCAGCAGTACATAATTGCAAGTAAAAGTACAGTATTCGATAATCTTGTCACATGTGGCCAGAGCAGTATCAAAACTAAGGAATGAGCTGCCGTTCACTGATTCGAGGTGGGAGCTGACGAACTAGAAAAGTGAACTAGTTCGTTTAGGGTCGGCGAACTAAGCGGAGCGATCTTAGTTGAGAAATACTATGCCCAATACTACTTCAGAGGACCACGAGAGCTGGCCTACGTTGTCACCGACTTACTGTGGTCATTATTCAAACGCGAACTAAGAGATTTGGTGACACATCTTTGTCGTACTATCCGCAAATAGAATGCTTTGCCCGCTCACGTGTTCCCTCGCTCCTACAACCCGGGATCCTTTAAGAGGCGTGAAGAAGCACCTTGCAGGTCGGAAAGGTAAGAGATGGCTGGTGTGTTCGGGAAAACTGCTGTACCAGCTATCTTGGCATCTGGACTCCGTCGTCACTTAATATCAGGTGGGGCGCAGTCATCTATCCAAACTTCCCTACCTCAAAAGAAAAAAACGGAACCCTTAAACCAATTTTGTTGTCCGTCGGTCCGTCCGTTAGGAAAAAAGATATTGCGTTGAAATTTGAACCATGCACTCAAGTCTATGGCCCCTTGAAGCTGTGGAAAAAATCAACTTACAAGTTAACATAGTAAAAAGACACGGGATGTATCTGTCTGTATGTCAAGACCCTTTATCTCGAGAATGCGTCAAGGTATCTAGTCGAAATTTAAACCATAGACTAGTATATGAATGACTATCTGTGCCCCGCGGTTTGTTAGGGATATTTTTCCGCAGTAAAACGTAGCCTATGTGTTAATCCAGGGTGTCAGCTAACTCCATACCAAATTTCATTAAAATCGCTCCAGCCGTTTAGACGTGGAGATGACAAAAACTTTCGCCTTAATAATATTAGTGTGATGAATACGAGTATTTGTGTTTGATATGTTTTTCTATATAAATATACTATATGTACAGTATATGTATTCTATCCGTTACCCTAGTATCCTATAACACAGGCATAGCAATGCTTACTTTGGGGCTAGGCTAATTGGTGTGAGTGTAAGAAATATTTATTTATTAATTATTATTATATAAGACTGGACTTATGAATACGTCTGGGCCAACTAGGGTAAGGCGTTCCTCAAAAACTTGTAAGTACAAATATTTTCGACGCCTACAGGTGGAGTACAGAGGCCCAGCAGACACGACGGGTTACGGGTTCGAACCCCTGGACGACAAGATGTGGATCCCGGAGTACGACTTCTGGACCACTACGCCCTTCGACAACTCCTCGTGGTTAAGCACCACGGAAAGAAGGCGGCAGGACGGTAACTATGATATTTTTTTACACCATTAAAAGTAAATAAATTAATGATTAGTTCAGTTCAGAACGCAAGTAATGTAAGGAGCATTTGCTTAATAATGAGAAAATTAATAGAAAAAATCAATTTTAACACAAAACAGAATATTTACAAAATTAGTTTTTATTTTAATTGTACTTCTAAATAGCCTATTAAATAGGCTGATGATGATGATGTGATATAACTTTGATTACTTTGTATTTCGTACTTCACACCAAAGGAACCAAAAATGTTTTAGTTTTGTCCAAAATGCTACTTTAATTACTTTTGCTCTGAACTATACTCTATTTAACTTCCTCTGAGACATAAGGTGTAAACCTGAAGACCAATGTTTCTATATATGTAGTCTGATTGAAAAAAATCACATTATAACGTAAATGATTTGCTTTATCATTACTCTTCAATTTAGTCTTCATAATGTTTCTTTTTTGAATTATGATTTTATAAGCATAGTAAGGAACAAAGCTACTTTAACAGTCGGGACCCATTATTGAAACAAAATATCCATTCTTGAATATCTAGTGGGTCCCGACTGTTAAAGTAGCTTTGTTCCTTACTTAACAGAATTATAGACTTGTTTTTTTATTTTCAGTTTTTATATCAATTAATATTATAGCAGTCGGGTTTTTAAATTTTGTTTTTATAAGCATAATATAAAATTTAAGCTATTGAAAACCCTTTTTATGGTTTGTTTACCCTTTGCCTCAGAGGAAGATGAATTTAAAAAAAACATCTTAATATTAGGCTATACTCTGTAGCCAATGATATTAAATATAAAATCATTATTTAAACATTGACAGTCGCCTTTAATGCATACTGCAGAAGGTCTTAATTAAAACGCATGCGTCAGAGAGTTATGATATTTCTTCGGAAGGCACGTTAAGCCGTTGGTCCCGGCTGCATCTGCACTCGTTAGCAGCCGCCAATCCGCACTGGGCCCGCGTGGTGAATCATGGCTCAATCTCCCTATTCCATCCATAGGGAAGGCCTGTGCCCCAGCAGTGGGTCATTAATAGGCTGATAATATGTGTGCCAAATTTCATCGCAAGCCATTCAGTGGTTTGAGCTGTGCGTTGAAAGGTCAGTCAGTAACAGTTGCCTATTATATAAAAAGATTTATATTAATTGTATTGTCTTTATGTCAGGTACGGAACCAGAGGCCCAGAAGGGCGGCTCGATGACACGAGGTCCTTTACCGCCACCAGGCACCAGTGACACCGACTCCGAATTCGAGATCGGAGTACGGTGGTAGATCATCAACACCCAGCCTCTATACATATATACCCGGCACCAGTGATGACGAAGACATTCTTAGCCCCTATTTTAATGCTTGATAGGACCGTAGTTAATAAAAATATTGTGCTCTGTACCCCTAGCATGAACCAATGTCGAGTTCGCATAGTTGGCGAGTCCGAAATGTCAATATCAAATGTGTATTGACTTTTAGTTCTCGTTACGTACTTTGTGGCGCTGCTTATCAAGTTTCCATACAAAATTTGACCATTGACATTTAACACTCGCAAACTATTCGAATTCGATAATAGTTCGTGTTAGAGGTACTGTTATCTTTAGCATAACAGAGAAGCATTAATTTAATTGTTAAGCTGGGGCCTGGGGCATGTTGTAATTATGTAATAACAAGTTATAAATAATATCAAATTATAATAATAATCGTAACAAATTAGCTCTGTAAATACGTACCAAATATTTTTATAATTATTTATGTCAACCGTGACAAAAGTATAAATATGTGAACTAAAATAAATAAACATTTTTTTAACGAATACTTGTATATTTTGCATTCATAATGCTATTTCATTCATTAAACATTTTAAATAGGTTTTTTAATATATCTGATTTGCTAAAATAATACTTTTATACACCTATTGTGACTTTATATTCTTAAATATCATTGTATAATAATATCACATTATTATTGTGGGTGGGTGATATAAAACTAAAAGGGCTTGTTTTACCAGTTTTTGATAAAGTCCAGATGAATAACGGCCATATAAAAAAATATTTGAAGTTCTTAAACTTATTTTAATCTATTGTCTGATATATATACTCAGATTCCAATCAAGCTTTCAGAGATTTTATCAGAGAGTGGTGAAAACCGCCTAATAAACCGGTTCATTGAAATATTATGCATGCATTTCTTTTTTAAGCATTAAACTGTTGAATTAAGAAAAATATTTCGCTAGATAAAATTCAACTGTGCCTAATTGAAATATACAAATCTAGCATTTAGTAAGTTGAATAAAAAAAAATATAATAAAATCAATTTGTTATTTTTCCTAATGTATGATACTTGTAAAATTATGTCATCTGACATTGTAGTTCCTTATAATATAAAGAGATGGCGCTGCCTTGCAGACAAAGATATACTATAAGATTTTTTTTATAGTAAAATCTTCTTTCGAAGTCCTAAATATTTTTAATTTATATATATCCATTGTCAACGCAGTGGACAATGTTATTCGCTTCCCTTAGTCTACCTTCTCTAGTCTTGAATGGACCTATTTGCCAAACGTCATCAATATTCAGTTTGTTGTCACCCTGAAAAGTAGAAATATAATGTTTCAAATTTTATTAAACAATGTTACTTGCAAGGAAATTCTATTTATTCTGGTTGTAAACAAATTCTAAATTTCTGATTGATCTCTTGAAAATAATAAATTAATAAGGAATTTACAGCACAGTTCACACATTTTTTCACATGCTTCAGTTTTATAACCACATAATTAAATATATCCTAGGCCGGATTAATAGATCACTTTCAACGATCTAGGACAACGATCTTGAGATACTGTTTTCATACTGAACAGCATCTTAAGTTCAGAGCTATCTATTAATATGGACTTTAAAATACTAAGCACTAGTAGATCAATGGAGACCATCTAAAATTACCTTCATATCCATATCAACAGCATCTTCTGGCTCCAAAACTATCATAGGAGTAGACTCGAAGCTGAATGCCAGCCCGAAATACGAATACTTTTTAACCTCAGCCCAGAAGGTTTCGCTAGAATAAACTAAATCAGGATTACTTCCCAAATCCCGTATTTGTCGACTCAGCACATCATAATAGTAATCTAAAAGCTCCTTATAATGTCCATCCCTCAGTTCCTTGTCCGTACAAGCATATATCACGAAAACTACATCGAGAACAGGCGAAGCACATCTTGACAATTGGAAATCTATAATCTTAGCATCAACAGGAACCCCATCCTGATACTTAAACAGGAAATTGTTGGTCCAACTGTCTCCATGGGATATCACACAGTTGGTTGTATCTGAAGTAGCTTCGATCATTTCGTCATATCTTTGGGGGACAGCAAATTCTTTAATTTTGTTGACATATATGGAGTTTGGATACTCTTTTTCTACTGCGTCTATGGCTATACCGGAGATTCTCTTCCAAAAACGATTATACCAACTTCTTAGACGCTCATGGTAATAAGTTTCAAAGACTAAATCCTTTATGTTATTAAAGGCATCAGGTTGCTGATCTTTCATAGCAAAGGAAAGGGCATGAAACTTGGCTAATGCTTTGAAAACTAGCTTACAGTGTATAAAGTCTATTCCGGTTTGCCTTACAGCAGATCCAAAGTTCTGCAACGTAGCATCTTCTAAGCATATGACATCATTTTTACCATCCGATTGAGCTAAGAATAACTTAGCATACTTTTCGAATGGTTCTGAGAGTGCTTTCTGTTCTTGAAACTTTAATAATTCTGGTAAAACTTTCTCATAGAAATTGATCTCATTCTTGAAAAATTCATCACTTCTAAAGGTTAGTCTTCTGGATAAACTTTTTGGAATGCTTTTTAAAATTACTTGCACTTGCTTCAAGTCATTATTTTGGTTTGTACCATAAATCCTTATGCGCATAAGTTCACTTAAGTAGGAATCACCTTTGTTTGTTTCACTTACATACTGAAAATTAAAACATAAATTGTTAAATCTAGTGGTAGGGGGAAAAAAGACTTAAAAAAACAGAATTAGATTTCCCAAAGATAGATTTTTTTAAATATTAATTATAAGAAGGGTGCCTAGATTTAACAAAATAAATGCATTTATACATTAAGTGCATTTACTTTTGACAAAATTTGTATTACAGCTATGATTTGATTTTTAAAATATTTTAGTTCTTAAAGGTTTTAATGTTTTGTATTGAAAGGATTGAATAACAAAAACAAATGTGTTTACCTCCCAGTGTGTGAACACAATAGACTCTTGGAACCATTCTGTCAAGGCTTCGCTCAAACTATCATCAGTAAGAAGTGGAGACACATTGCTCAGGTGTTTGAAGTCTTGAGACATAATTAAGCTATAACATTATAAATAAACTATGACTTTTATAATTATACTTATATATTTATATTGTATGTACACCCTGGCAATTTTTGAGCAATGACCTTAAGCAGGGAAGCCTGTGCAGTTGCAATTTTACAAACAAAACATCTACTGGGCAAATTTATTTTTCTGCGGTTTAGCTCAAGAAGATGCCACTACCTTTATCATTGTTCAGTAAATAAAATAAAGGTTTGAGTTATGAAGTGATCTTAAAACTACTTTAAGTACAGAGAATAATTTAAAAGAAAAAATAGCCCTTCATTGATACTGCCAAAAATAGTAAAAGTAACAATGTTACTACTTTAACTGGCAATGTCAAAAGTAAACAGGGATGCAATCTTAATTAATCTGATTAAAATATTCTTTTAAATATCATATTATTTGTTTTAAATTTTCTGTAACTTACGAAGTTGCATATGGTAATCTGATAAGCAACAGGGCTATGAATCTTGTATAGTATTAGGGCTACTTTTTGATAAGTTGTTTATAACATAAACATTCATGATGACGAAGTACCAATCTTATGTGTTGTGATGCCTCCATAATGTGTGAGCTGAGCAAACACTGACCTAACCTAACCTAGTGTGAAGTATCAACTAGTGGGCCCAGTTTAGCCGTAGTTGGGATTCAAAATGCAGATACCTAATTACTGATAAATGAATTTCATACATTTATAACAGTTTCAGTACTTACTTGATATTTTTGCGGCTACTTGAACGATTATTAATTCCAATCCTTTTCAAATTATCAATGGAATTGATGAATGACAACAGATCAGTCCATTCGTTACAAACTTTCGTAACGAACTAGATTTACAATAAAGATAGTGTATTCTGTGCGTATTAGATTACAATTGGATGATTGCGAATACTATAGTATTCGGCAATTGCCACGTCGCGGAACACATCATTCTTCATCGATTTAGCACTCCACAGAATTCTGCTTAGTTTATTAAAGAGTGCATTGTTATTTTTGTTATTAAATATAATCAAAATTATATAAAAATTATAAAATAGGAAACTCAGCCTACAGTTTGAGGTTATATTGTTGTTTGCTAGATGTCAATGTCAATGTGACGTTGATTGACACGACATATCATCCGAAGGGCGCAATTCGGACAATAACTACGCGTCCATCCATGATTCTGACTATGTCTTATATTAGAAATAGTCCCATCCTATAATAAATTTTTACTATGTTTTTACCAGTATAAACTTTTAAATTTAACTTTACTTTGTTATTTATTGGGCACTTGAAATTTAATAGGGCTTTTTCTTCATTGTATCATCATCATCATCATCTGTAGCTAGAACTTCTCAGACATGAAGGTTTCCTCACAGATGGATGTCTTCCTTCACCAAAAAGCCAACGATTGCTCTTTGGAATCCTTGCGTACCGACATGAAATATAAATTATGAATTCTTATTTCAGTGGTACTTATGTGCCCTGGGGATTGAACTCACACCCTTAGGAGCACTAAGTAGGTGTGTGATTCTATCCACTAGACTAACGTGGTTAGTGCTAATGTCAAATCACATTTTACACAACCGCAAATCGACTTTCGGCCGTTGGCCGCTCGAGAGGCATAGATAGTGGTGTCAATTTTGGCATGGTTCTATAAACCTGAATTTAAATTTGACAACAGTGTATTCTTGACATTCTCTACACACCACCTTCTCTTGACACCAGTATATGTCGTTGTCGTTTTTTCGCGTAAGGTTGATTTTTACCTTCTATAGTTATTGCTGAATATCTTTTAGCTTATAAATATATCACAAATAATAAGTTGCAATCGCCTTACATATTATGAACTGGACAAAATTCTACAATTAAATAATCTCCAATTGCTAACGTAGATTACCGCAGCCTACTGGTAGTCTACCTTTCGATTTAGTAGACTACGGCTCAGACCAAATACTTTTTATTTGGTCTGTGGACTACGGTAGATTAACAACTCTAACGACGCCCACTGCTGAGCTTAGGCCTTCCCATAGAGGTAGAAGAATAGAGTGGGGAAGGCGGCTCTAAAAATGTCCGTCTAGTAGAAAGAGAAAGAAGATGAGAGACGGCTAGCCTTTCTCTCTCTAATCGCGAATGCGCATTGGATGAAAAATCTACGGATGAATACCGACCAATCACACGACTGTGCAGCAATACCGACCAATCACACGACTGCGCACCGTCACAAGAGAGAGAGATAGCTAGCCTTCTCTCATCTCCTTTCTCTTTCTACTAGACGGACACTTCCACTTGTAGTAGAGTACATATCTCCCCTACTCTATTCTTATACCTCTATGAGCCTTCCCCAAGGATCTAAACACCGATCGGTTCAGAAGGTCGTCCACTTCGAAGTGGACACTGCATAAAAAATCTGCAATTCTAAATAGGTATTGATTAATACAAAAAAAAAATAGATACCATAAATAACTTTGAGACAATTTTTTACACAGATTTCGATGTGGATGTCGATAGTAAGTATAGGGCAAGGTCATCATCAGCCTATTAATGTCCCCACTGCTGGGGCACAGGCATTCCCTATGGATGAAATAGGGAGATTGGGCGCGGGCCACTGCGGATTGCCTAACGACTGCAGATGCAGCCGGGACCAACGGCTCATGTGCCTTCCGAAGCATGGAGGTCCTCGAGATAGTAAATTTTTGATCACCCATCCAATGACCGACCACTGCGAAAGTTGCTTAACTACTTGCGCCATCGAACTCCTGCATAGCAAGCGCGTATTTTATAAAAGTACACTTTATGAACCAAATATTCTAGGATTAACAGCCGGAATGGTACTTTTTCGATGATACGAACATTATTAATTATAAAGTTTCATTTATTAGAGGCTGTTTTGAAAAAATAAAAAACATTTAGAAGGTCGAAAACTTACTTTATTTAAAAAAAAAAAAAACCGGCCAAGTGCGAGTCGGACTCGCGCACCGAGGGTTCCGTACAAACCTCTAGGTATATTTTAATAATTATTAAAAAAAAAATATTATAGGATGTAACTAAGAATTTACGGTTTTCGCAATTTTTCCTTTATCTGTACTATAAGACGTTACTTCGTACTAAATTTCAAGATTCTAAGTTCACGGGAAGTACCCTGTAGGTTTTGATTCCCGTGCGAGTTTCGAAAATTTGCGACATAAACGGCTGTATCTTTTGATTGCTTTGGCTTAGAAGTTTGATTTTTTCGCAGCTCCAAGGGACAGTACTCCTGAGTATTATATATGAATTTCAGTTTGATACCTCTACGTGTTCCTGAGAAAAACGGTCTTGACAGACGGACGGACGGACAGACGGACAACAAAGTGATCCTATAAGGGTTCCGTTTTTTCCTTTTTAGGTACGGAACCCTAAAAACACTGCTTTGGTGGAATAAGTCGTTGAAATTCTTGATTTGCGCCTTCAGGCAGTGCGGTATATTTTAAGTACAGTAAAATACAACGGCCACAAATCATCTTGACTCTTAATTTCGCCGGTATAAGGGCGAGAGTCGCAAGTCCAATGCTTACCGTCTGAAAACCCAACCTTGTTATTTTGCACAAAAGACTGATTGTGGCAAGTTGGCAACGGAAGCCCCGTATAGGCGAAACTTCCTTGTAAGCGCGATGAAAGCAGATTGCTGACTTTTTTCTCTCCATTCCCTGCGTTTATTTACCTAAGTCACTATCTAAGTAGACACGTTCCTTTAGAAAAAAAAAAAATCCTTTGTTGAAGAAACAGGCGACGTTTTCGCGTATACTTTACTGTTTAGGATGATTTCTGACTTCCGCTCAGAAAGTTGTGTTACGTTCCGTTTCATCATCAAACGCGCTGTTTTTAGACTGTTACTTGAGTTTTTATGATGAATCCTCTGTATACCTAAGTACTTAGGTACTTGCTCGATGTTTTCAAAATAAATATAAATATTTCCAACACACACACACACCAATTAGCCTAGCCCCAAAGTAAGCACTATAAGGCTTGTGTTATGGGATACTAGGGTAACGGATAGAATACATATACTGTACATATATAAGTATATTTATATAGAAATACATATTAAACATCCATCCATGCACGTATTCATCATACAAACATCTGCCCCCACCGGGATTTGAACCCGGGACCTCTCGAGTCGGCGACACCATGAAACCCGGCGTACAAATCACTCGGCCACGGAGGTCGTCAAAATATATATATATGTACCAGCATCACTTGCGATGTAGACTGAGGTGGTAGAGCAGGGGCGTATTTTGAAATCTGGCACACCGGGCCATTTACCAAGTGCACAATGCCCCTGCCCTCTCCTAGAATATTAGTAAATCTCATCAAAATATAGGTAAGTAACGAATGCCTCTATAGCTATTACCGCCCCTCGAAGCTCTTGCAGCGCGTTATCCTAGGGCCAAATCGCTGCAAGCTATCTAATACGCTATCTAAATACGCTCCTGTGGTAGAAGCAGAGGTGACTAACAACTTGTTTCTCTCAAGCTTCGTTGGGTCTTAATTAGTGCGTTAGTCATACTAATATTATAAATGTGATAATATGTATGTTTGTTACTTAATCACGGAAAAAGAATACTGAACAGATACCTATGCATGAAATTTGGTACGCATATGGATTATGATTACGCATAGCCCACCGAATTAGCGAACTGAAGTGGCAGTGGGCTGGTCACATTAGCCGCAGAACTGAGCTGAGCCGTAAAGTTCTTGAGTGGAGACCGCGACTCGGTAAACGTAGTGTGGGACGCCCTGAGACAAGATGGGATGATGACATTCGTTGGCTGGCTGGAGTGGGCTGGATGAGAGTACCATAAATTCGGGAGCAGTGGCGTGCATTAGGGGAGACCTATGTCCAGCAGTGGACGAACATGGGTCGATGATGATGATGATGGATAATGACCTGGGTACTCTTTACACCGGAAAAAATCCGGGGTGAAAGTATCACGGGTTCCTGTGGGAGTCTAAGGCTCGTATTATAGAAAGATTGTCAGTGATTGATCTAGTCTTGAGCATAGTTAGAAAGGGATGTCGCTATATATAGCACATAGCGATATCCCTTTCTAACTATACTTAAGTAAAGATCAACACGTAGTTGTCATTCTGTAATACGGGCCTTAAATAACTAAAGTTCAAGAGGACGTAGTCGCCGACGGCTGCTAGTCTTAATATATATAAATCTCGTGTCACAATGTTTGTCCTCAATGGACTCCTAAACCACTGAACCGATTATAATAAAATTCGCACACCATGTGCAGTTCGATCCAATTTGAGAGATAGGATAGTTTAAATCTCAAATTATAGTCGCAATTTTAATTTATTGCAAATTATTACTTTTGGGCGGTACGAAGTTCGCCGAGTCAGCTAGTAGAATATAAAAATAACCATGTTTACGTTCTTAGAAAAGTCTGCGGCAACCGAGACATAGTTAGGAAGTGAATAGGACAGACTGGTGTGCTAAATAATGCAATAATAACATAAAGCACAAACATTGCAAGAAGACGCGACGACATCTGCCATCAAAAAGCTCTGAAAGTATTAGAAGCTACATCAATCCTGGAACTCGTTGCTTAATAATATCAGACGCGCTCAGTCTTTGAATATATTCAAAGGCCAGCTCAAAATTTTCTATCTTTATTATTTATATGTATTTATGTATGTGTCAGTATGTTTATATATTATTTAATGTCTTTTTCTTAAATATTTAATTAAAATACATAGGTTTGATGTTGATTGTATGTATGGATGTGACTTTTTATTCCGAGCCTTATAACGGCCCAACCTACAGAGTTTGTATAACTTTTCATACTTACGTTGTCTGGAAGAAATCGCACTTAGCGATAAGACCACCAATTATAACCTCTTTTGTTAATTATAATTTTTATTATTTTAAAGCATGTAACTGCTTGATGTTTAAATCTAAAGAAAATATAACTAGAAAAAAATCCACGCGGACCAGGCAGCAGACGGGACTCGAACCCGAATTTCGACGCGATCCATGAGGGCCGCGGTAGCATAATTGGTCAGTGCATTCGCCCGGATTGAGAAGGGTGCGGGTTCGAGTCCCGTCTGCTGCCTGGTCCGCGTGGATTTTTTTCTAGTTAT